CTACACATTATTAATTCAGATTCTAAATATTTTGATATATATTTTATTTTAATATTACGAATAAATAAAATTCTTATTATTTCTAATATATAATAATTTTATTATATTATTATTTATCTCATTTCAAACAAATGTTAACATGATAATTTCAATATCTTTGATACTTGGTTCTGCTTATCCAAACAATAAATTTGTTTTAACTGGGCTATAAATATTAGTTGAGTTTGCAGGAATTGTATATGTATATCCTAAATTTGATGATCCTTTCTAAAATTGCTACTGATAATTTATTTTCATATCTTAATATCCAAATCCAATTTCTTATTCATTCATAAATATTGCATAATTTTTGTTAGTTGAATTAAGAGGATAAAATTCCCCTAAAGTTTAAGAAAATAGAAATGATGTTGATGTTTCGTCAGGATGGTATAATCCATTACATTTAAGCCATTAACAAGGTGAATATCCACCAAAAATATATTAAGTTTATGATTTAAATATCATCAACAAATTAGACTTTTTAATTATACTATTGAAAAATGTATTTGAATTTAATCCAGACTTTTTTGAAGAAAATATTAAATATTTATTCTTAATTTTTTTGTTACTTTATTGTTCTATATATCTATAAAGTTTTTAGGCATAGTTTTATGATAATAATTCTGTATCTCCTTTTTCAAATGAATCATTTCCTATTTTATAAATTTATTTAATTTCTGTTATTTATTCATAAACTTAATTAATATCTTTAAATTTAATTTAAGCTTTTTCTAATTCTTTTTTCTAATCTTCTGTAACTTATTCTAACTCTTTTATCTGTGTTTTATAGTAATCTTCTTCTTAAGTTAATTTTTCTAATTTTAATTAGGATCTTTATAATTCATCAACCTTTTAAAAAATTTCTAATTTAGCTTAGCTCTACTAGAATTATTAATACCATTTTCGTTAATTTTAAAGTGCTTCATTTTGATTTTCCTAATCTGATGATTGTATTTTTAAAAGTTTTCCTTATAATTATAAATCATTTTCTTCTTTTTTAAATTAACTTAAAGAATTAAAAGACATTTCAAAGAAGGATAAATATAAATCTTGAATAGTTGATTTTTTAAGAAATTCTACTACTTCCTTTTCATTTTCAGAATCATTTGATCTTTTGGGTACTAATTTTAATTAATAATATACATTTATCAAAATTCTAAAGCCATTATAATTCATTTTCTATAACTAAATTTTCTTTAATTAGTTCTTCTAATACTCTCTTTTGACTTTAATATAACTCTAAGTCTTCTTAATTTGAAATAGATTCAATATTTTTTTATTAACCAAGAATTTTAACAATTTCAAGAAGATTCTATTTATCTTAATTTTTTAGATGAGTATTTTTTAATTTCATAAGTTCTTCATATTCTTTAGGTTATTTTTTTAATTGTTCATTAAGAGATTATATCATTTTATTCAATTCTGAATATTATTTCTCCTATAATTTTTTAATAAATGCAATAGCTTGATTAAGTCTTGATTATCTTGATTATCTTTTTTCCATTTACTCTTTAATGTACTCATTCCATTTTTCTTCTGCCTTCATTAATGATATTGTATTAAAAATAGCCTTATTACCTTTTGTTAAAAGATCTTATGCACATTCAATACATATAAAAGGATTTTCTTACTCAAATTAATCTTGATTTAAGTTTAACATAACTATTTCCATTTTATGAGTTGAACATATTAAATTTAAAGCAGGAGTTTTCTAAAAATAAAAAATTTATTTACTTTTTATTTTTCATCAATCTCTAAATTATTTGAGCATGTCTATTCTTTATTCTACATTACTTTGTCTACATCCTATAATTTTTCAAAATTGTCTAATTATTTAAGTAATTTTCTAATTTAAATTAGAGATCCTGTAATTTCTGTATAATCTACTATTAGAGAAAAGTTATCTTCTTGATAAAAGTTTTACTATAGTTAAGAATCCTCATTTGTCATTGTTAATTGTAGATTATATTCCAGTTTTTTCTATTAATTATTTATTAGTGTATCTAAATATTTCTTTAATTCTTCAAACTAACTCAAAACAGATTCTTCTATTGATTTGATTGCAGCTGAGACTTTTTTAACTCTCTCCATTTTTTCTGAATATTTTTATTATTAGTTAGCAATTTCAACCTTCTTTATAGCTTCTTCATAAAGAATAATCTGTTTATTTCCAATCTTTTCTAAAAGACATTTTACACAATAATATTAATTTTGAACATTTTCTTTATTTAATTCATCTGAAAGATCAACAGCAACTATTTAAAAGCCTTTATGGTCATTTTATATGCATTCTTTTTTAATTGCTTCTTATTTTAACATTTCGTAATTTTTTTTAATTCATTTACATTATTTAATTATAATATATAAGATTATTAATAGAATTGCATAAATAATATAAAATGATAGAATTTAAAATTTATCTTGAAAATTACAGATAGATTTTTAGTTCTGTTTTTATTTTTTTATTTTAATGCTCCCTAATTACTAAGATAATAAATTTATGATTAAAAAAAAAAATAATGACAATAATTTTTAAATATACATATTATATTCTCTTTAAATTTTGTTTTTTGAAGAGTTAAGACAATAATACAAAGAATATTCAATCTCAGTTAATTTAATCAATACTCCATTTATCTAAAATCTTTCTTTATAACTTGAAACAATTCTCATTATGACATATTTCCCAATAATTATAATCTTTAATATAATAGTTTTCTGTATTAGTTTTTAAATTCCTAATTATATATTTCAATTGTTAAACTATCTATTTTTCTTAAAAGGGTGAATAATCTATAAACTGTTCGAAAAAAAATAATACAAAATTTTTAGAAAAACAGGGATTTAAGTAAATTACTTACACCAAAGAGAACTTTTGTATTCTTTTGTATTTAAATTAAAAGTTATTATATTTATCATATTATTGAACATGGCAAATTTGAAATTGTTTTTTGGATCAGAAATTTATTAAGGCAATCACTTTGAGATGTAGTTTAACTTTTTTCAAAATTTTATAGATCAACTTAATATAGCGGATTTTGCTGATTTATTAGATATATAGTTTATTCATCTATGCAAGTTAATTAAATTACTATTATATAACAATCAGAGAAATTTTCAGATTCTAATTTAACAATTTTGGTTTAATAAATTTTAGGAAAATCGCCCAATTATCTAAAAAAATTAAGAAAAAAACTATTATTAAATTTATATGGAAAGTGAACAGGTATTATATTAAATGACAAATTTTAGAAAGAGAATAGCTAACCTTTATTGAAATAAAGATATGAACCCTTTTCAATCGAAGAAACAAAAGAAAATGTTGAGATTGAATAGGAAAACAAGTTTGATTAATTCAAAGACTTTGTGTTTGGAATAAAAATATAAAAGAGTTAGAGAGATGTATATCTGGATGGGAAAGTGAATCCAATTAACAAATAGAACAATTTCATAAAAAACTCAAAATACAATGCATTTACATTTTTACCTCTAGTGTTGTTTGAACAATTCCATTAATTTATAAACTTATTTTATTTAGGTTTAACAATAACTTAATGTATAAGTTTTTTAAAAGTTGGTATAATGAAATGCTATTAAAGGATTTTTAATTGATTATTTAGGACCGCTTGCTTTGGTAGTTGCAATATCTTTACTGAAGGAATTGTATGACGATATTCAACGACACATGAGGGATCACTAAATTAACAATTATGAATATGGATTAATAACAAGAAATGGAATTCAAAAAATATCAAGTGGAAAAATTAAAGTAGGCTAAATAGTAGAAGTCAAATGTAATGAAAGAATACCAGCAGATTTACTAGTATTATATGCTGAGTAAAAAGATAATTATATAATTTAAGTGATGAATAAGGAAACGTCTTTATTAGAACTGATTAACTTGATGGTGAGACTGATTGGAAATTACGAAAAGCAGTAAAAGCAACATAAAATTTGATTAGAAATGGTGCAGATCCTAGTTCATTGATATCCTAAAATAGTTATGCAACATGTTAAGAACCTATTGCAAATATCTATTAATTTTCAGGGTTGTTTAATTATAGATATCAAAAAGAATCCTTATCTTTGGAACATGTAATGTGGGCTAACACAGTATTAGCAACAGGTAGAATTTATGGATTGGTGATATTGAATGGTAAGGAAACACGTATGGCAATGAATAGTAAGACTCCAAAAACTAAATTTGGTATTCTTGATGGTAATTAGATATTTTATTTATACTTTAGATGAAGTAAATTGGCTAAGCTTTTTGTTATTTGTTATGATGTCAATAATGGCAGGGATAGTTACAGCATTTAGTGGATAGCCAGCAACAGCTAGTGTTGTAACAGTTGCATATATTAGATACTTAGTATTGCTAAGTAACATAATACCAGTAATGCTTTTTTTTTAATTTAGATATCAATGAGAGTAAACTTAGAATTTGCTAAATTGGTTTATTCATATAAAATTAATATTGACCCATAGATTGAAGGTACAATCACGAGAAATTCAAATATACCAGAATCTCTTGGCAGAATTTAATATTTATTAAGTGATAAAACAGGTACGTTGACATAAAATGATATGATATTTAAAAAATTATCATTGGCTTCAGCTCAATTTTCAGAGGAAGACAAAGATGAAATGAAAAAGATATTGATTGAGTAATGCAAATTAAATGAATACCCATTATAGGATGTAGTAAATTTTTTAAATAAAAATAATTCAAAATTAAGACTAAAAAGAGAAAGAGATTAAGTTTTTAGAGATTTAATGTTTGCCTTATGCTTATGTCATAATGTGACACCAATTTATGATGGGGAGAATCCAAAAACATTTTAAGCCTCATCTCCAGATGAAATTGCTCTTGTAAAGATTGCAGAAGAAATAGGAATTGAATTAATATCAAGAGATTAGATTCAAATAACAATTAAAGATTGCATAGAGAGGAAACAAAAGTATGAAATTTTAAACAACTTTCCCTTCTCAAGTGAGACAAAAAGAATGGGCATTATTTTATACAATAGAGAAGCAAATAGATATATATTCTATGTTAAAGGAGCTGATGCAGTAATGAAATAATTAGTCTAAGAACATTAAAGAGGATTCATAGATGAAGAATGTGAGAATTTAGCAAGAGAAGGTTTTAGAACTTTAGTAATCACATAAAAATTACTTACGAAATCAGAATATGAAAATTGGAAGTGTAAATTTGATTAGGCAAATGAATAAATAGAAAATAGAGACACTGAAATTTAGAAAGCAATTTCATTATTAGAAAAAGATATGGAATTTTTAGGTATTACTGGAGTAGAAGACAAATTACAAGAAGAAGTATGTTCTACATTGGAAAATGTTAGAAATGCAGGTATAAATGTATGGATGTTAACTGGTGATAAAATTGAAACTGCAATATGCATAGCTATATCAAGTGGAATCAAATCTCCCACATAATAAATATTTTTAATCAAAGAAACTTCTGACCCTGAAAAATTTTAATAATAAATTAATACTTTTGGTATTGAAACTAATAATAATTTACTTGTAATTGATGGAACCAGTTTAAATACTGCACTTACATATTTTGAGGAACTATTTTTTACAATTGCTACTAAGAGTTAATCTGTTGTTTGTTGTCGTTGTTCTCCAACTTAAAAAGCTTAAGTTACAGAATGCATTAAATTTTATACAAAAAAAGTAGTTGCATGTATTGGGTATGATTTCATAATTATATCTTTATTAGAGATGGTGGTAATGATGTAGGTATGATTTAATCTGCAGATGTTGGAATTGGTATTGAAGGTAAAGAAGGGAAATAAGCTGCCTTAGCCTCTGATTTTTCTATAGTCAAATTTAAATATTTGAATGTTTTATTATTATGGCATGGCAGATTATCATACAAAAGGAGTGCCTTATTATCATAATTTGTTATTCATAGAGGATTAATCATTTCAGTAATTCAAGCTGTTTTTATGTTTGTGTTCTACTTTTTGTCTATTAGTATTTTTAGTGGTGGATTATTACTTGGATATTCTACTATTTATACGTATTTAAATTAATTAAAATTTAGAATGTTTCCAGTGTTTTCCATAATATTTGATGAAGATGTTGATATTAAAATTGCTCTTTAATACCCTCCACTTTATAGATCTTTACAAAAAGGTAGAGATCTAAATGCTAAGACATTTATGGTTTGGGTTTGGAAATCTATATTTTAAGGAGTAATAATTATGATTTTGGCTTTGGTTATGTTTAAGAATATATTTTTGGAAATAGAAACAGTTGCTTTTACAGCTCTTATATTTAATTAATATGCATTAACATTAAGTGAAGTAAGGTTTGTATTTAATATTTTAGTTGCATTCTTTGCATATTGTTATGATAATATCTAATGTTGCATCAGCAGTTATTTACATTTTATCCATTATGTGGTTTCCAAATCAATTATTGGTTTCAGCCATGACCTTTTAATTTTTCTTTTATGTAATTGTGATTGTACTGGTCAGTTGGTCTCCTTGTTTTATTGCCTAAAAGATATTAAAGAAATATGATCCATCAGATTATGAAAAGATCATGGCTAATGTAAAAAGAGAATTAATCAATACCAAAATTTTTAAGTGATTGTTAAAATCTTATTTAATTTAACACAAATTGTTGTTTTTTTATTATATACATTTTATACTTCTATATAATTTTATTAGTTTTAATATTTAAAATAATATAAAATAATAAAATATACAAATTATAACTGTTATTAAACAGAACTTATTAAAATTACATTATCAAGTTCAAGAATTTAATTCTATGATACATTTTTTATTAAAGATCTCTAGTAGCATTCAAATCTAATATTAATTTTATGAAAGAATCTTTTAAATTATTTACCATAATAATAATAATAACAAAGTATAAAAAGTGTAAGAAATGACTTAATAACTGTCTCATTAGTGGGCTGGGATGGTTCAGAAATAAATGGCTGAAAAATTACTAAATGAGAATCAATAAAAATATGATTAATTGTAAAGGAAATAAAGATACAAGGAAGAATTGGAAACAGACATGAAATTGAAATAATAATAAAAAATAATTTAACATCAATAAGATTAGTAATTAGAATCTTAGATGTTAGAAACTCTTAGGTAAAGAGAATCTAAGAAATTAAAAGAAATGGAACAAAGAAAAATTAAACAAATTGAAACTAGTTTAGAGAATCTCAATCATTTATTAATTCGAAAAAAAATGAACTAAGAGAGATCATATTAAAGTTTATTGCTCGAATAAGAAGATATCAAGTAAGAAAAATTAAAAGAGATAAAAAGTTTAGAAAGAATTAAAATTCATAAGGATGAAGAATCAAGAAAACTACGCGAAAATTATGATTCTGTCATACAATAAAAATTGAACTAAAAATAATAAATTAAATCAAAGTTATTATTAGTTCAAGAGACTGATCCAGATTAATAAATTCAAATATAGAGAGGAGATGCATAATCATACTAAATTGAATTAAGCAAATAATTAGAAGAAAAAAAAAGAAAAATACTCGAAATTTAAGCTAAAAAATAGGAAGAAAGATTAAGAGTTGAATAAAAAATTGCATTTGAAAAATAAAAGATATTAGAAAACAAATTAAAAGATTATAATATGCATAAACAATATGAAAATGATAATTATGAATTATCAAATTAAAGAAAATAAATAGGTCATAATTCATCCTTATAATCATATAATATTAAAGTAAATGATACTAGTCAACAAAAACTACCTCAAATATATTAAGATAATTATTAAGCATAAGATAGGAATAAATAATTACGTTAGCTTGATTAAGATATGCTAAAATATTAGAAAATGTAATAACAATTACAATAAGAATAGACCTATAATCCAAACTAAATTTCTAATTAAATTTTGAAACCGTAACAACATGCTTAAACACCATTGAAAACTCCATTATCATAATCATCGAAACAATCTAAATAATCAAAGAAATCCAAATAATTCATAAACCCTATACATCAAGAGGGTCCTGGATACTCTTAAATACATCAAAGTAAAACATAAACTCCTAAATCTAAATAATCAAAGAAATCACTACCTCTACCAATCGAGATTACAGATTCCTCAAACCAATAACAGAGACCTAAATTCAAAAATTATAATATTTTAACAGGAATTCTGCATATATAATGATATAATATTTATTATATGCTAATTTAAAAATATTATATCTACATAACTTTAAATCAATATAGATAATTAATATAAGGAGGAAATCTAATTCTATATTGATTATTTCTAGATAAAAAAGTATAATTTATTGATTAAAGTATTTAAAAGTAATAAAATTTGATAACACTAATTTTAAATATAAATGAAATAAATTTAGGATTTTATAAAGCTTTCTTTTTGTATTGATATATAATATGTCAATTCAAATATTCTTTTATTTTAATAATTGATTCTTAATACAATAATCCTTCTAAACCATATTTTAATGTAGAGAAAAATAGATATTTAAAATCAGAATCAATTTAAATTCAAATCAAAATCTTAAGTTTATAAACTAATCTTAAAATATTATTATTCAATTTCTTCTTCAATTATTAAATACAATTTCTAATAATCACCAATTTTATAAAAAAGTATTCTATTTGTATTAAATAATCATCTTAAATATCAAGATAATACTCCTCATACAATATTTTATTCATAAAGTATTCAATATAGAATAACTACTTAGATTTATTCAAGCATTACCTATTATTCTTTCTTAAAATTGTTATTTAGTATACAATATGTTAAGCAAATTGAATTAGGTGTGAAATGAGATAATTAAATTTTATAAAAATAGTAACATAAAAATGAAAAAGAAATCAAAGAAAAATCATAAAAAGAAACATCATTCTTCATCATCTTCGTCTTCTTCTAAATCATCTAAATCAAGATCAAGATCAAGATCAGAATCAAAATCTTAGAAATCAAAATCAAATTAATTTAATAAAGAAAAGACAATTGATTCTACTATTCAAGATCAGTATGAAAATATATTATATTAGATCAACTACACGACCCTATAAAGTAAATAAATTTGCACTTGGATCTATGCTTTTTGAAAATAGAAGAACCAATGATAGAATGGATAAAAGTGAAGTGTAAAATGCAAATACTTTACTTAAGAAAATAGATAAATCAGGAAGAGATGCTGTATTATTATCAGCTGCAATAAATACAGTTCAATAGGATAACAAAAGAGAAGAGTAAGTAGATTTTAATTTGATTTAGATACTAAATTGAATTAGTAAATGGATAGTATATTAAGATAGCCAAACCATATAGTTGTGGATTTAGTAATTGTTAGATGAGATTTGTAACAACAGAAGAATTAACAAAACATTTAAAAGAACATGATAGAGTATAATCAATGAAAAATACACAAAGAGCTTAAAAGTTTATGGAAAATTTATGAAAATTTATGTTTTTGTAAAGACTTAGTAAAAAAATCAATCAAATATGGTTACATTTTATTGGATTAATTTTGGTAGTATTTGTTAAGTTTATAATAACCATGAGTGATTGTAAGCTTATTTTTGCAGTTAATCTTTCTCTATGTAATCTTTTAACTAAATTTTCAATGATTTCTCTCAATTCTTTAGATGTTTAAGATGGAATTATAACACAAGCTTAAATCAAAATTTTAAACTATACCTTACAGTTTTAATTAATTCTTGTTAATGCTCTTTCCATGAAGGTATACCAAAACATAATTCATATATTAAGTAACCAAAACCAAAAATATCACATTATTTTATCCTATATATCTACTTTAAGAATTTCAGGTGAAGCATCTATGATATTATCACAAAATGTTTATCTATAAAAATGAGGAGAATAAACACAGAATGAAAAATTAGCAATTTTAGCTTAGCCAAAATTTAAGAGAATATTATCTGGTTAAATATCTCGATAAATTAAATCATTATTATGTCTGTACATTAATGCAAAAGTTATTTAATGGACATAATTAGAAGCTTCTTTTTCTTAAAATCTTTAATTTGGTTATTTTTTTAAATAGATTTAGTAATTAGCAATGTGAACATCTAATGACATAATAAATAATTCTAATAATGATTATAAGTTTAAAAAAAAGTATACAACTTAGTAATATTTGGATGATCAAATAAATATTGAATTTTAATCTCCTAAGCTTCAATCATTTCTTCTATCATTTGTATTTTTTAAATGACTTTTTATGCTATAAAAAATCCTGTCTACAAATGTCTAGCTAAATATACATCACTATACCTGCCATCTCCAAGTTTTTTTCTTATTTTAAAATTCTAAAAGCGTTCTTCAGCCTATTATGTGATGTTTATTATTAAAATGCTTATGTCTAATTTAAGTAATATTGTTTATTTATTTAAACTATTCTTTTAAATTTTACATAAGTGGAATTAATGGAATTATTAGCTATTTGTCTATATTTTATTATGATTAATGAAGGGTAATAGTTTTTTAAGGTGTAGTTTCTTATTTCTAATTGATTTTATATTCTTATTGTATTATTTTAGGTGAATAGATGATGCTTTTATTTTCAGGGTCGGTATTGATATTTTACTAATTTGAATTAGATTTTAGGTTTGATTGTAGTTACTTGTGTTAATTGTAATTGATTCTAGATTTTTAGAGAACCTACTCTACATATAAAAGTATTTGATTATTATTTTAGGTTTATTGCTGAATTCTAGAATACGGTTTATACGATTAATATGAGTTGTAATTCATTTAATTATTTTAATTTAATAAACACATAATTAATGTTGAATGATTAAAATGCATGGTATGAGGTTTTAAACTTTATTGAATGGATCAATATAGAGAGTTGGCTAGGATGGATTATATACTTCTGCTGTTTGATTGCTGCTATGATTTTGGGATATTTTTTACTGACAGTAAATTTGCATATATTTTAAAGTCATTCATTGTTCCAGATTATGATATCCACTCATTTTTCACAATCTTTTTATTTTGTTTAACTTTTAGTCTTAGTACTATGGCATTGGGGATGTTCATTTTTGAGATTTTCAAGATAGGATAATCATAAACTAGACCAAAATTATGGTCATTCACTTTATTTAGCGATGTTTTATTATTGCTATTTATATTACCTTCTTTAACATTGAATTTCATTTTTCAAAGATGGGGATTTAATAAATATCCTAAATCATGTATATATATAATTTATCCATTAAGGTATTTGTGTATCTTCAGCTATAATCCTTTTGATTTTGTATTTAATCAACAAATTTCAATTCAATAATTTAGATTTTAAACTAGCTTCCTAAATTGATTTCATTACTAACATAGGAACTTATATGATAGGAATTTTATCAGGATTTGGTGCTGTCTATTGTCCTTGGGCATATTTTCAAATGATTAGTTTAGATAGTAAAATCTATATTTAGAATAGTTAATAAGGTGAAATAAGGTAAAAAGGCAATAGTAAGTAACATCTATTTCATTCTTGCAGAAATTGAGAAATCAGTAGTTAAATTAGTTTTGATAAATGAACAATATAGACATAAAATGAATGGGGAAGAAAAACCAACTGATTTTTGGGCCAGAATATCAAGTTGGTTTAAAAAAAAACCTACAGAGTCTTAATAAAGGAAAGATTTGAAAGAAGAATTACGTTAATTAAAGGCTATACATAGTTAATTGTATGATCATTTCAAAGATTATATTGATGAAGAAACTAGATACTATTAATCAAAATCTTTGTATGGTAAATTTCTTAAAAGATTGGCATGGATTGTATTAATCTATTGTATATATAAAATGATAATGAGTACAATAAATGCTATTTGGGGAAGAAAGAAATCAATAGATCCTATAAGTAGAATTTTAAAAGTTATTTTACCCTTTTTTGGATTTGAATTAGATCAAATAACTTATGAAACTCTTGCTATGTATGGAACATTCATTTTTATGGGTTATTTGATGTTTAGTAATGTTAGATCATTTTCTTTGAATTTAGTTAATATATTTAACACTTTTATGGGTATGGCTGTGTTATAGAAATTACCTTATGAAATTATGGTATTATTTATTGCAGAAGTATTTGGAGTATATCTTTTATCAACAGTTATTTTGTTGCAAACAAGTTTACCAGATAGTTTCATATCTAATCTTAAAGAATATTCTTAAGGTATTGAAATATTAAGCCACTATGAAAAAATTGATAAATTATTTTTATTAAGTGGTTTTATAAGTACATTAATAATATATGCAAATTATCATAGAAGAAAATCGAAATTAGAAAACTTTGAGAAATCAGATTTGAAATTACGGGATTGAATTTTGTAATATATCTGCTGTATTTTATTCATTTAATTATCAGTTCTTCAATATAACCATGTTTTCAATTGCTTTTTTAGTTATTGTTTCATCCTTAAACACATCATGTAACAAGACTTTCTCAATTGGAATTCTTTTCTCTAATTTATTCAAAAAATCCTTAAATTTTGGAGATATCTGTTATCCTCTAATTATATACATTAATAATTTGTATAATAAATAGGAATCTACAGATTCATCAAACATTTAACCTGTACTTACTTCAGGTGAAGCAAATTCAGATAATTTTTATCTATTATATAGTTTAAATTGATATGTTGAATAAGTGAAATTGCAAATGGCTACTTTTTCAATTGAATCTGGTTCTTGTTTATTTGGAATAACTCCTATTTAATTTGGATTCAAACAAACTATAATCACACCCATCATATGAATATAATGAAAGATAACCAATAATTATTTAGCTATTAATCTTATTTAGAATTCTATTATATAGATTATAATTATCATACCACTTAATTATTTTATTTATGATAGATATTCATCAAGAGTAAAGGGGATGTTTTCACAAATTTAATATATTGTAGTTGTATTTTAAAATTGAATTTCATGACATTTGATTACTCCTTTAAAATTAGATAATGAATCATGAATAATTAAATTTGAAATAGAAATATTATCTAATTAGAATTATTGAATTGATAATTTCAATCCTAATGATTTATTAACACATTCAATATGTTATTTTTTATTATTATTATTATTTAAAATTTAATATTTCTAAGAATAAGGACAATAAAGTTAATGTAATTCTATTTGAGTATCAAAAAACAATTAGACTTCTATTTTTAATTTATCACATTTAATAGCAATTCCAAATTTATTTACATATTATTATTTTGGGATTTCTTATATTATAGAATATGCTAAAGGTATTATTTCTATATATTAAATAATAATAAAATACCAATTATATCTTGATGTTCTGATCCATAAAGAATTAACAATTTATTTTCAATCAATTAAAATTTTCTTTTTACAAATGCATTAGTATTTGTTTTCTACCAAACATATTTTTCTTCCAGATCTAATTAATTGAACCATAAATTAATAAATAAGGATTGTTAAAGATATTATATTACTTTTTCATTTATCAACCATTTATAAAATTATTCTTCTGATTAAGGACAATAATGATCCAAATAATCTTAGATTAATTTTTGATGATTCATTTTTTCATCATCAAAATTAGCTTTCTTTATTGGAGATACATTATTATTATTGTCTATACCAGAAAGATCTAATGATTAATTTGCTAAATCAATCTCTGGCTCTTATTCCATTTCGATATCAGATTCATCAAAACAAGAGTATTGTTCATTAAAAACTTCTTCTTTGTTTATCATATTCTTTTTTAAAAAAGCTTCATCAGATTATATTATTTAGTAAAACAAGGGCTTAGGTAAATTACTCAACTTGATATATATATTACATATTTTACTGCTAATTTGAAATTTTGTTTGTTTATTGGAAATAATTGGGAGAATATCTGCTGATCTTAATGCACCTAACCTAAAAAAGAATATAATGATTCTTATATTACTTAAAAATAATAGAAGTTTGCCATCACATTTCTAATATATCCAGTGATTCCTACAAGTTTAATAATTTCATATACCATGCACCCTATTTAGTAATAAATATACCTAAAGATTAAAAATTAAAAACATCTCTTCACTACTTTGAACTTAGATGATATTAACCATTTATTATACTTAATTGTAGAACTTTAAATTTGTCATACTCTTTCATCTGATATCTATTTTACGCTTATTCTTATTTTCCAAAAAGACATCCCATAATATTAATAAATAGTTGTTAAATTAATGCTTCGGTCTGCTTTATATGAAATAGCTCATGATTACATTATTCAAGGAGAAGATAGTTTGTAAAATCAAGAAACTGAAAACTATTAACCTAATCGAATTCCTCTATCAACTAAATAAGAAAATTTTGTAGATCCATTCTAAAACTTCTCTAATCTTCTTCAGGCATAAAAATAAAAGAAATAAATAAGAAGAGCCTTGATTTCTATTGATACTAACTTCAACACACTCTCTGGCTCTCCTGAAAAAAATTAAAATGTTGCTAACTGTAGCTCAAAACATTAATCAACTTATTCATCCCCAAAAAACTTTGTATTTTATGATAGATAAATTCGTTGGTTGAATTAAGTAAAATAAACCATCAAAGTTAAAGAAGTTATATAATAATAGAGATAAAGTGTTGAATGCCCATTTAAACCAAAGAAATGTCCAACTTCCTTACCTTAAACCACAAAAAATCAAAATAATAAACCTACTAAAATGAGGAAAGACTCATATTCAACAATTCATTTATTAAAACAGAAGTTCTACTGATTTTGCTATATATATATATAAGATTATTAATTATATTTCATTTAATCAATAATTAAGATTTTAGGATATATTAGAAATTACAAATAATAATAAATATTCTTAGAAATATGACATTACTATAAATCTTATGTCTTCATAATTATATAAGGATAATTAATTTTATTAAAATACATATTAAAAAATGGCAGAACAAGTGGTTCCTAGTAGAATGAACCTTGCTTTGTATAAGGCTAAGATTATATCAGCCAAAAAAGGTCACGAATTGTTAAAGAAGAAATGTGATGCATTGAAAACTAAGTTTAGAATAGTGATGGTTGCTTTATTGGAAAATAAAAAATCCATGGGTGATGAAGCACAAGAAGCATTACTCTTAATAGCAAAAGCTTAATATGCAGCAGGTGAATTCCAGTATTATTTATATTAATAATAGCTAAAATGTTAAGGATGCTGTAAAGAGAGCCACAATCAGATTGGAAATCTCAAGTGAAAATATTGCAGGTGTCATGTTACCTGAAGTTAACATTAGAGAAGTTGATGATTCAGATTCGAGTATGAGTCAAATAGGTTTGGCTAGAGGTGGTCAATCTATTTAAAGATGTAGAGATAAGTTTAAGGATTTATTGGTTCTTCTTATAAAAATTGCATCATATTAAGTAATAAAATTGATTGGATTTCAAGACTTCTTTTGTCTCCTTGGATCAAGTTATCAAAGTAACTAATCGAAGAGTCAATGCTCTTGAATATGTTGTCATTCCTAGATTTGTTGCTACTATGAATTATATTGATATGGAATTGGATGAAATGTCAAAAGAGGACTTTTTCAGGTTAAGTTAAGAATTAACTATAGATTGAAGAAAGTACTTGATAACAAAAGGAAAATAATAGAAAAACAAAATTAAGAAACAGCTAAAAGATAATTGGAAGTTGAGGATATGAATTGGTAAGAAAGAGAAAGTTATGATATGTTGGCAGAAGAATAACCTGATGAAGATGTATTCTTTTGAGAATTATATACATTTTGAATAGAAAAATACAATAACATTTACATTTTGAAATAAAAAAGATTCATAAATGTTTCAAGGCTATTTTTTCTAAGGAAGTATAACCCTTTTTTAATTTTGTAACATAACATTTTTAGAAAACACTGAAATTTCATCTAAGCTCTTTTTTGATTACATATCGATGGATTATCGAAACTTACATTTTTATAATTTCTCCTCACTCTTTTTATCTTATTAATGTTCTTCAGATGTATTAAAAGCTAATTATTTTCTAATTAAGATTTTCTTAATTAGTCTTTCAATCTATAGATTGTTGTTTTCAATTTCCTCAAGAATTGTCAGACAAACTTTTGCATTTAATCTCAATTAAGGATTAGATTCTAACATATAAGGAAGTAGAATCTATTGAATATTCTTATATCATACAAATAATTAATCCATTTTATTTGAATTATATTCTGGATGTTGTGATTACTTTTTTAATTCAAATATTCCTTCCTTATTTGATTGATATATAGTCTATTTGCTCTATTTGGTATTAAATAGATTCTCTCCTGTTAACCTTTAGTTAAAATATCTTTACTTACAATTTATATAGAACACATCCTAAACTGAAAATATCTGCTTTCTCATCATATGGCTTATCTTTATTGAAATTAATTATTTCTGGAGCCATATATCCAGGAGTTCCTGATGTTGGAAATATTAACTAATTCCTTATCTTTCTTGCCAATCCAAAGTCAATCAATTTTACTTGTTCTGCTTTCATTATATTCAAAGGGTTAATATCTCTATGCATTATACCCTTATTATGAATATATATAATTGCCTCCAACAATTCCTAAAACTCTATTCAAATTTTACTTTCATTATCTTTATCGTTTCATTAACCGAGAGACCATATTGTCTACTCTATAATTCAGTATATAAAGTTTTCCCGTTTATATATTCCATCACTATATAATAATTTTGTTGATCCACATAGGTTTCTTTCAATTTTACTATACTCGGATGCTATAATTAGTTCAATAGACTTAGCTCATGTATTAATTGAGGCTTTGATTTTACGAATAATTTACTATTGCTCCATCATTTTAAGCTATTTTCATCTTGTCTACTTTCTTTATTGCAAAATAGTTCTCATTATTTTCTGTGGATATACATCTATAAACTGATCCAGTCATTCCACTACCTATTTCCATATGAAATTAGTAGAATGTAGTCACCGGGTTGAAAAATACTTTTCCAGCAAGCATCTCCTTTAGAAGATTCAATTTTGGTCCATAGACTTCTTTCAATCTACCGTTATATGAAAATTCAAAAGCCACTATTCTCTTATTCTCACAAATCCACCTTATCGTAGTTGTTAAATTCGTTTTTAAATTGTATTTTGGACTTTTAGTCGGATCCTATTTTGAACATCAACTTACATCAGTCATCACCATTTCGTCGGCAAATAAATACAATTAGTAAGCTCTATCTTTGAAAAAGTGTTTTCTTATAACTTGTACATTAAATAATGCTTTCTCGTAAGATTACATTTTAATTCATAAAAATCATCATTTCAATATGATGCATTCTAATTTCTAAAATGATATTCAATATTAGAGAAAGGATTGTGTGAAAATAAGAACTTTTTCTTATAATAAAATAGACTATTTATAACTTTATTGTCTTACAAAAAGATTATGTCCTTAAAATTAACTATAAATTTATTAATTATATTATCAATCAAATATCAATTGTAAAATTGAACAATGTTTCATTAAAATTAGACATCAATTTTATTTATTCTTTGTTTGATATTTCTTACATTTAAGACTTTATAATTATTAAATATTTTTTTATTTACAAAATAGATTGAATAATCTATATTAGTGAGATAATTTATAATGATATTCATATATTTTATATTTGAATTTGAAAGCAATAACATTTTATTATTATCATTATTTTGCTAATTAAATAGTTAAAAATTATTTAAATAAAAATATATGATTAAATGTATGTATAATGAATCTCTCTATATAAAATTACAATAATTAGAATTTTAATTTGAATTATTTAAAATAATTATATTCTATGGCTTCATAAGTATAAAATAATAAAGATTATAATCATCTACTAACAATTTGGAATGATTATTTCAACAAACCTGCTAAAGAAACCATTGATCTCCAAGACAATATTCATAATATGATAATCTTATTTTACAAATTATTCCAAGAAAATGATTCAATTATTGAATATCAACATACTCCAAATTTGATTGAATGTAAAATTGACATATAATAATTATTCAAATTGATTGATGATGGTGAATAACTTCAAAATTTATTTATCAATGACCCTTAAGATTGGATTAATTCAATTTCATTAGCAATTTCAAGTTTAAACAATAACAAGAAAGTTATTTGCCGACTTCATAATATTCCTTTATCAAAAAAATTAGCCTCTTAAGACATTGGTAAATATATAGCAATAATGGGAACCATCATTACAACTGGTTCATCAAAATTATTATTAGAGAGAGCTTGTTTTGTTTGTATTTCATGTGATGAGTATGAAAGTAAATAATAAATTAAAAATTAGAATATTATGTTAATTCAGATGGGTCTATTCCAAAAGTAAATCAATGTAATAAATGTGGGAATTCTAATACAATGAAACTAGATAGAAATAGAAGTGATGCTGTATTATACTAGAAAATAAAATTGAATGAATTGTAAATAGAAGTAGAATTGAGAGATCTTTATGTCAATTGTTTTATGTCAGGAGATGAGATAATAGTTCATGGTATAGTAAAGACAATATAAGATGAATAAAAGAGTTCTCTTTATGTAAAATATATACAAGCCTATCATGTTAAACATGAATAAATTAATGAAAGTTTTACAAGACACGAAATAAAGACAGTTAATGATTTAGCTAAAAATGGAGAGTTGTTTTATGCTTTAATAAATAATTTCTGTCCAAGTATTTATGGACATGAAATTGTAAAAGCTGGATTATTGTTATCTCTTGTTGGAGGTAGTACTTGTAATAGAAATGCATCACATTGTTTATTAGTAGGTGATCCTGGTTAAGGAAAGAGTTAATTATTGAAGTTTGCTCATTTACTTTCAACTCGTTCAATATATGTTTCAGGGACTGCTGTATCACAATGTGGTTTGACTTGTTCAGTAAATCATAAAAATGATGATACAATTATAGATGCTGGTGCATTAGTATTGGCTGATAATGGAGTTTGTTGTTTGGATGAAATTGATAAAATGTAGAGTCAACATTATGCATTATTAGAAGCTATGGAATAATAAACAATCACTTTGGCTAAAAGTGCTGTTATGTGTTAATTTTATGCTAGAACTACAATTATTGCAACTGCAAATCCAGCATAAGGTCATTTTAATAAAACAAAATCATTAATTGAAAATTTAAAAATATAAAATACTTTATTATCTAGATTTGATTTAATTTATTTATTGATAGATGAACCAGATATGGAAAGAGATTAAAAATTATCAGAACATATTATGAATTTTCATAATATGAAAACATCAAGAATCAAATTTAATAATAGTGATGAAATGAAAACCCCAAATGCTTATAGAACTTTAAATGAAAGATTACATTCTAATTAAATTAATTAAGAATTACCATATTAATTAATGAAGAAAATTATTGCTCATGTTAAAAATATTAAATCAATTCTTACATTAGGAGCTTAAAAATTAATAGCTTCCTATTATTTGAAAATTAGATAAACTGCATTTGGAATGCCAATTACTAGTAGATAATTAGAATCACTTATTCGATTGTCTTAAGCCAAAGCTAAATTATGTTTAAGATAAGAAGTAACTGAAGAAGATGCTTAATTTGCTATTGACATTTTTGAAGAAAGCAGATTTGATTGTTTTATTAGTGGATTAAGCAATTAAACAACTAATAAAAAAGGTTAAGCTAATTCAATTAATAATTCAAAAAATATTGGAACATTATCAAAACCAAAATAAACTTAAATCTTTTTGGATGAATTACATAAAGTTTCATTATAAAAGGATTCTTATGAATTTTCAATGGAAGAATTGAAGAACACTGCTAGAAAGATAAATCTATAAGTTGGAGATTTAGGTGATTTCATTAGTAAATTAAATTATGATTGTATGCTCATAATGAGAGGAAATAATGTATATGAATTAAACTACAAAAGATGATCTGATTAAATTATAATATTAATTAATTAATTATATATATATATTAATAAATATGAATTAAGAAATTCAAGTTGAATAAAGACTTTCATTATATGATATTGTAAGGGAAAAAAGAGAAGAAAAATAAGTACCAATTAGTAGAATGGTTTATGCTACTTATTTTAGTGAAAGTGCTATTCAAAAAATTGATGTTGAATAAGTTTTGACTAAATAAGTTATATTATCCTTTTATTTTAGATTAAAGAATTGAGTGACACTCAAGGTTAAATTTCAGGTTTTCTCTTAATTAGAGGTCTCTTTAGTTTACATCTAGTAGAAACTTAATCACATGTTATGAATCTATGGATGCGCAATCTCTATGCTGAATATAGAAAAGAAAAGAATATTTATAGCATGATTAATATTGTTACTGTAAATGAGGATAATCCTACAAGATGTTTTGATAGATGGTATTGTGAAAACTTATTTTAAACTGGTCCATAATTATCAGATATGGATAAAACAGAAGCATAATGTTAAGAGAGAGTTTGGGAATTATATTAATAAGTATGCAATGCTGGTATTAAACACAGTGCAAGAACTTAAAAAGACAAATAATAAAATAAAATAGCAAATGATGTCCCAATATCTTTGGATGATATAAACATGTTACTGCATAAAAGATTTATGTCGATTGAAGAATATAATGAATTATATTTAGGGGATATCAAAATTGAATTAGAATAAGAAAAAGTTTATCCATAAACATTACCATTAACTAGAGCATTAGAATATAAAGATTTAGGAGAATGAAGTAAAATATTTACAATTGTTATTTAACAACTATAAATCATGTCCAAATTATGTTTTTCTAATATAACATTAATTATCTATCTTTTTTATCAATAATTCTACTCTCAATTAAATAAAGTACAAAGTGAGTATATTTATAATAATCCTAATCTTGTTTATTTTAATATTAGTTTATGATATTTAAAATTATTGTGAATTATTTCTAAGCTTTAATTTTCTTAATTTATTTGATAAATTAAAGTAATTATTAAATACCAAATCATCGATAATCATAACTTAAATATCAATAAAAAATATTAAGTTAATCCTATTCAAAACCAATATAATCTTTTTTTTCCTGACACAATTGAATGTGTAAACAAAAATTACTTTAATTATAATAAATAATAGATCATCGAACTCCAAGTATGAAAACAACAAATGATTAATAAAGTAATGTTACTTCCTGTAAGATGAAGACTTTTCTAAGAAAACAGTGATATCTAAGAAAATGTTGATAAGATCAAAATAAATTATAAAATTTAAAACTAATAATCTATCTGTATTACTAGAATATGGAATTCATAAAGAATATAAAGTGATTCTCATTTCATCAGATATTTCACATAACTCAAAGGGATTTAGTAAATGATATATAAAAATAAATATATCAAAAACATAATAAAAAAGAAACCCAATTACTTAGATGAAAAGTAACATAGATTTGATTCTAAAGAATTATAACAAATTTAGTTTTAAAAATAAAAAATATTGAATCAAGACTTATTAATATCTTTAATGAATTTTAGAATAAAATACTGCATCTTTGAGAAAATATTTTAGAATAGCTTTAAATTAAATCTAAAATATTAGAAATACATAATAACGAGATATAAAATGGAAACCAAAAAATTATATTAGAATCAGAAGTTCTAATTAAATCAATAATTAACCAATTTTCAAGATAAATTTTAAATTCTATCATTTTATATTATTTTTGCAATTCTATTAATTATCATTTATATTTTCTATTGAATAATTTAATGAATTAAAAAAAATTACTAAATGTTAAAAGAAGAAGTAATTAAAAAAGAATGCATAAAAAATGACCATAAAGGCTTCTAAATTGTTGCTGTTGATCTTTCAGATGAATTAATTAAAGAAAGTGATCAAAAAAAATATTATTGTGTGAAATGTCTTCTAGAAAAGATTGGAAATAAAAAGATTATTCTTTTTGAAGAAGCAATAAAAAAGAGTGAAATTGTTAACTAAGAGTTAAAAAAATGTACAGCTGATAAACAAAAAGAAACAAGGGAAAGTATTTAAAAACTATCAGATGTAATCAAATCAATAGAAGGAAGTTTTAAAAAATAGTTTGATGATTTAAAGAAACAGTTAGAAATACAAATAGATAATGAATAGAAAAAATTAGATAAAATTCCAGAACCCACTACTCCAAATGATGATATTAAACTTTTGTCAAGTTGTTATCAAGAAGATGGTAAATTAGCAAGTCCTCCTCCAAATATAGATTATAAAGAAATTACAGAATCTTTAATTTAAATTAGAAAATTACTTAAATAATTAGAAAATTTTGAATAATTACAGGATGTAGACAAAGAAATATAGAAAATAGAATAGACATGTTCAATTAATTTAGAGATTAATGAAAAATACAAAGTAAATAAATATATTTAATATTTAGAAAACTCCTGCTTTAAATGTAACATGTGATACTCATAAAATGGAAATAATTATGTTTAACTTAAATCAAGATTAATTTGAGTAAACAAATCCATTTTTATGTGTTGAATGTGCATAAGATCTTTTAACAAGAGGTAATAAGGCTGTTTCTAATACAATATCATTAATGAAGGCAGAAGAAAAATGGAATGAGTACATTAAAGAGTAAATGGAAAAAAGATCATAAAGATAATCAAGACTTAATTAAGCTATTGCATTTATTAAAAAATTATAGGAGAAATAAAATTCAGAATTGAATAAAATGATATAATCTCTTAATGAATAATTAAAAAAATAACCTAAAGAATATGAAGAACTTATGAAATTAAGAAATACTCATCTAAAAAATTAAGATAAATAGAATCTTCTTGAAATTGTTAAAATTCTTGGTTAATAAAAAAATATTGAATTTATTTCAAATTAAGAAGACTTAGAGTTATATTAAAGTCAAAAGAGAATATTAGAAGAACTAATTAAAGAAAATTTAGTAATAGAAAATTAATTATAATGGCTTTAGAATTATGATAAATGTATATTATTTAATTAAAATTAGTACCCAAAAGATCAAATGATTCTGAAAATGAAAAAGAAGTAGTAGAATTTCTTAAAAAATCAACTATTCAAGATTTATATTTATCCTTCTTTGAAATGTCTTTTAATTCTTTAAGTTAATTTAAAAAAGAAGAAAATGATTTATAATTATAAGGAAAACTTTTAAAAATACAATCATCAGATTAGGAAAATCAAAATGAAGCACTTTAAAATTAACGAAAATGGTATTAATAATTCTAGTAGAGCTAAGCTAAATTAGAAAAATTTAAAAAGGTTGATGAATTATAAAGATCAAAAGAAGAATATGATGAATTATTAATGTAAAATACAGAAAATGAAAAGAAAATAAAATATTTAGAAACTTTGAATAACAATTTGAAAACATAAGTTTAGAAAGCAGACATAAAAATTGAAAGCATGAATTAAATGATATCGAAGAATAAGATTCAGAATTAAGAAGTGATAGAAGAGATACAAAAAGTATATTCAATTTAACAATTATAATGGAAGACAGGAGATACAAGATTACTTTAATATGATTATGCCTAAAAGATATACAGAAAAATAGAAGAAAGAACTAAAAAATAAATAAAAAATAAATATTTGTTATGTTCTTTAACTGGATGGTAGTTAAACTTCTCTAAATTATGGTGTTCTATAGATAAAATGTCATCTTTGTTAATGATTTTTAAATCAAAAAGCCAATTTATTTTTGGTGGATTTTCACCTTGTTAATGGCTACTAAAAAGTGGTGGAAACAATCAAAATGATTAAGAATTATAATCATTTTTATTTTCTTAGACTTAAGATGAAATTTATCCTCTAGAATCAAAATCAACAGCTATTTCTGGTAGCGAATCATAAATAAGTTTTGGAAGCTAAGACATTATAATAAACAATAATTTTCAAGAAGGATCATCAAATTTAGGATATTCATATTCAACTATTCAATATAAGATACCTAATAAATAAAATCATTTATTCGGATCACCTAAACCAAATATCATGGTATGTGAGGTTATCATGTTAACATTTGTTTGAAATAAGATTATTATTTATATAAAAATATATTCCAGATATTACAGTTGTGAGAATAATCAAATTTTTCGTACATATTGGTTATTCAATCTTTAGAAAACATTAATAAAATGTCTAGATATTTGGGAGAAGAAGAAAAACATAAATTGATTATATCCTAATAGAAATATCAAATTTTCTTTAGTTTAGTATAATATGAAATTATAGCTATTTAATTATTTAGTTAATGAAAGATTTATAATGAAAATAAAATAATTTAAAGAAGTATTTCAAAAATACCTTCGTTAGCAATTTAATATTTCATTACTTTTAGAATATTTATAAGTAGAATTAACAATAGAATTTTATTCATGATCATCTAAAAATCAGTAATAGTCATTGAAATTATTGGCAATTTTTTAAATTAGAACAATATGATTGACAATAACAAATTTATAAATTAGCTTATTGTAAGGAGTGAATTGATATTTTACAAAGAATATGAAAATTTGATTATATTATAATTCTAAGGTTTCTTTATTTAACACATGATATAATATATGTTGTTATAATTTTACTTTAAAGTATGTATTCTCCAAATTATATATTATTTAAAATTAGATACATGTATAATTAAAGAGTTATCATAATAATGATTACAAAAATGATATAAGAATAAAAAATAATTAGTATATATTATAATTAATATATTATTTTAATACATGAATATTTATAGACTCAATTAGAAGCTCAGACACATAATGGAAGTGTTTGATATCATCTAGAGAGAGTATTGTATATATTAAATTCTAGTCAATTGCAAACTTTAAATGGGTGTTATTTAGGGATTCATTAAGATTATATGATTCATTAAGTATTAAAATTTCCTAATCTCTTTGATATTAATTATGATGAATTAAAGTTAAATATAGTTAACTTTTTTTAAATGTTGAAAGAACACAATATCACACCAATAGTTATTTTGTCATCATAAATCCATTAGAAAATAAATTCAAAGATTATAATGAAATGTTAATCTGAAAAAAATAAGTAAATTAATAATCATATCATATTTATAGAGCATAATTTNTTCCTAATTATAATTAGAACAATTAACTTAAGAAGAAGATTAATATAAAACACAGATAAAAGAGTTAGAATAAGTTACAGAAGATTAGAAAAAAGAATTAGAAAAAGCTTAAATTAAATTTAAAGATATTAATTAAGTTTATGAATAAATAACAGAAATTAAATAAATTTATAAAATAGGAAATGATTCATTTGAAAAAGGAGATACAGAATTATTATCATAAAACTATGCCTAAAAACTTTATAGATATATAGAACAATAAAGTAACAAAAAAATTAAGAATAAATATTTAATATTTTCTTCAAAAAAGTCTGGATTAAATTCAAATACATTTTTCAATAGTATAAATAAAAAGTCTAATTTGTTGATGATATTTAAATCATAAACTTAATATATTTTTGGTGGATATTCACCTTGTTAATGGCTTAAATGTAATGGATTATACCATCCTGACGAAACATCAACATCATTTCTATTTTCTTAAACTTTAGGGGAATTTTATCCTCTTAATTCAACTAACAAAAATTATGCAATATTTATGAATGAATAAGAAATTGGATTTGGATATTAAGATATGAAAATAAATTATCAGTAGCAATTTTAGAAAGGATCATCAAATTTAGGATATACATATACAATTCCTGCAAACTCAACTAATATTAATAGCCCAGTTAAAACAAATTTATTGTTTGGATAAGCAGAACCAAGTATCAAAGATATTGAAATTATCATGTTAACATTTGTTTGAAATGAGATTAATAATCATATAATAAATATAAATTATATTAATATTAAAATAAAATATATATCAAAATATTTAGAATCTGAATTAATAATGTGTAGGTCTATTTAATAAATGAAATTATTAAATGAGAATTTGAAGATCTTGGATAGTTCACTTCATTATTAATTGAAATATTTAATAGTATTTCAATTTATCTAAAAATATATTCATGTCAATAGATTTGAAAATATTATATATTTGCCTATCATTAATTCTAATACTTATTTTTCTTCATAAAATTAACTATCTTATTATTAAAATTCAATTAATAATTGAGTATCAACACATAACTTAAATTAATAATTATATTTTAGTATTAAATTTAGCATTCCATAAATTATATAAAATATTTGTTTTTCTATTATTTATTATTAATAATAGAAAATAGAATGCAAAATAATCAACTAATATTAAATGTTAAAAGAAGAAGCAATTAAAAAAGAATGTTTAAAAAACGACCATAATGGTTTCTAAATTGTTGCTGTAAATCTTTCCGATGAGTTAAATAAAGATGATGATTAAAATAAATATTATTGTGTGAAATGTCTAATAGAAATAATTGGAAATAAAAAGATTATTGTATATGAAGAAGCAATAAAAAAGGTTGAAATTCTTAATTAAGAGTTAAAAAAAATTTCAGATAAATAAAATGAATAAAAGTTAGACTATTTTATAAAATTACAAAATTCAATTTAAAAAGTTGAATAAAGATTCTAAAAATCTTTTGAAATTTTGCTGAAATATATAAATTCAAAAGTAACAGCAACATAATAACAAATAGAAAAAATTTCAGAACCAACACCTTTAGACGATGATATTAAATTATTGTCAAGTTGTTATGAAGAGAATGACTAATTAGTAATTCCGCCTCCTAATTCAAATCAAAAAAAAACTTATAATTTTTTAAAATACATCAAGAAATTTAGATTATTATTATAAAATTATGAATAAATACTTGAAGAAGAAAGAGATGAATAGACTATTGAATTGAAATAATAAATAAATTCAGTGTTTGATGAATCACAAAAAGTAAATAAATATATTTAATATTTAGAAAACTCCTGCTTTAAATGTAACATGTGATACTCATAAAATGGAAATAATTATGTTTAACTTAAATTAAGATTAATTTGAGTAAACAAATCCATTTTTATGTGTTGAATGTGCTTAAGATCTTTTAACAAGAGGTAATAAGGCTGTTTTCAATACAATATCATTAATGAAGGCAGAAGAAAAATGGAATGATTACATTAAAGAGTAAATGGAAAAAAGATCATAAAGATAATCAAGACTTAATTAAGCTATTGCATTTATTAAAAAATTATAGGAGAAATAAAATTCAGAATTGAATAAAATGATATAATCTCTTAATGAATAATTAAAAAAATAACCTAAAGAATATGAAGAACTTATGAAATTAAGAAATACTCATCTAAAAAATTAAGATAAATAGAATCTTCTTGAAATTGTTAAAATTCTTGGTTAATAAAAAAATATTGAATTTATTTCAAATTAAGAAGACTTAGAGTTATATTAAAGTCAAAAGAGAATATTAGAAGAACTAATTAAAGAAAATTTAGTAATAGAAAATTAATTATAATGGCTTTAGAATTATGATAAATGTATATTATTTAATTAAAATTAGTACCCAAAAGATCAAATGATTCTGAAAATGAAAAAGAAGTAGTAGAATTTCTTAAAAAATCAACTATTCAAGATTTATATTTATCCTTCTTTGAAATGTCTTTTAATTCTTTAAGTTAATTTAAAAAAGAAGAAAATGATTTATAATTATAAGGAAAACTTTTAAAAATACAATCATCAGATTAGGAAAATCAAAATGAAGCACTTTAAAATTAACGAAAATGGTATTAATAATTCTAGTAGAGCTAAGCTAAATTAGAAAAATTTAAAAAGGTTGATGAATTATAAAGATCAAAAGAAGAATATGATGAATTATTAATGTAAAATACAGAAAATGAAAAGAAAATAAAATATTTAGAAACTTTGAATAACAATTTGAAAACATAAGTTTAGAAAGCAGACATAAAAATTGAAAGCATGAATTAAATGATATCGAAGAATAAGATTCAGAATTAAGAAGTGATAGAAGAGATACAAAAAGTATATTCAATTTAACAATTATAATGGAAGACAGGAGATACAAGATTACTTTAATATGATTATGCCTAAAAGATATACAGAAAAATAGAAGAAAGAACTAAAAAATAAATAAAAAATAAATATTTGTTATGTTCTTTAACTGGATGGTAGTTAAACTTCTCTAAATTATGGTGTTCTATAGATAAAATGTCATCTTTGTTAATGATTTTTAAATCAAAAAGCCAATTTATTTTTGGTGGATTTTCACCTTGTTAATGGCTACTAAAAAGTGGTGGAAACAATCAAAATGATTAAGAATTATAATCATTTTTATTTTCTTAGACTTAAGATGAAATTTATCCTCTAGAATCAAAATCAACAGCTATTTCTGGTAGCGAATCATAAATAAGTTTTGGAAGCTAAGACATTATAATAAACAATAATTTTCAAGAAGGATCATCAAATTTAGGATATTCATATTCAACTATTCAATATAAGATACCTAATAAATAAAATCATTTATTCGGATCACCTAAACCAAATATCATGGTATGTGAGGTTATCATGTTAACATTTGTTTGAAATAAGATTATTATTTATATAAAAATATATTCCAGATATTACAGTTGTGAGAATAATCAAATTTTTCGTACATATTGGTTATTCAATCTTTAGAAAACATTAATAAAATGTCTAGATATTTGGGAGAAGAAGAAAAACATAAATTGATTATATCCTAATAGAAATATCAAATTTTCTTTAGTTTAGTATAATATGAAATTATAGCTATTTAATTATTTAGTTAATGAAAGATTTATAATGAAAATAAAATAATTTAAAGAAGTATTTCAAAAATACCTTCGTTAGCAATTTAATATTTCATTACTTTTAGAATATTTATAAGTAGAATTAACAATAGAATTTTATTCATGATCATCTAAAAATCAGTAATAGTCATTGAAATTATTGGCAATTTTTTAAATTAGAACAATATGATTGACAATAACAAATTTATAAATTAGCTTATTGTAAGGAGTGAATTGATATTTTACAAAGAATATGAAAATTTGATTATATTATAATTCTAAGGTTTCTTTATTTAACACATGATATAATATATGTTGTTATAATTTTACTTTAAAGTATGTATTCTCCAAATTATATATTATTTAAAATTAGATACATGTATAATTAAAGAGTTATCATAATAATGATTACAAAAATGATATAAGAATAAAAAATAATTAGTATATATTATAATTAATATATTATTTTAATACATGAATATTTATAGACTCAATTAGAAGCTCAGACACATAATGGAAGTGTTTGATATCATCTAGAGAGAGTATTGTATATATTAAATTCTAGTCAATTGCAAACTTTAAATGGGTGTTATTTAGGGATTCATTAAGATTATATGATTCATTAAGTATTAAAATTTCCTAATCTCTTTGATATTAATTATGATGAATTAAAGTTAAATATAGTTAACTTTTTTTANATCAAAAGAAGAATATGATGAATTATTAATGTAAAATACAGAAAATGAAAAGAAAATAAAATATTTAGAAACTTTGAATAACAATTTGAAAACATAAGTTTAGAAAGCAGACATAAAAATTGAAAGCATGAATTAAATGATATCGAAGAATAAGATTCAGAATTAAGAAGTGATAGAAGAGATACAAAAAGTATATTCAATTTAACAATTATAATGGAAGACAGGAGATACAAGATTACTTTAATATGATTATGCCTAAAAGATATACAGAAAAATAGAAGAAAGAACTAAAAAATAAATAAAAAATAAATATTTGTTATGTTCTTTAACTGGATGGTAGTTAAACTTCTCTAAATTATGGTGTTCTATAGATAAAATGTCATCTTTGTTAATGATTTTTAAATCAAAAAGCCAATTTATTTTTGGTGGATTTTCACCTTGTTAATGGCTACTAAAAAGTGGTGGAAACAATCAAAATGATTAAGAATTATAATCATTTTTATTTTCTTAGACTTAAGATGAAATTTATCCTCTAGAATCAAAATCAACAGCTATTTCTGGTAGCGAATCATAAATAAGTTTTGGAAGCTAAGACATTATAATAAACAATAATTTTCAAGAAGGATCATCAAATTTAGGATATTCATATTCAACTATTCAATATAAGATACCTAATAAATAAAATCATTTATTCGGATCACCTAAACCAAATATCATGGTATGTGAGGTTATCATGTTAACATTTGTTTGAAATAAGATTATTATTTATATAAAAATATATTCCAGATATTACAGTTGTGAGAATAATCAAATTTTTCGTACATATTGGTTATTCAATCTTTAGAAAACATTAATAAAATGTCTAGATATTTGGGAGAAGAAGAAAAACATAAATTGATTATATCCTAATAGAAATATCAAATTTTCTTTAGTTTAGTATAATATGAAATTATAGCTATTTAATTATTTAGTTAATGAAAGATTTATAATGAAAATAAAATAATTTAAAGAAGTATTTCAAAAATACCTTCGTTAGCAATTTAATATTTCATTACTTTTAGAATATTTATAAGTAGAATTAACAATAGAATTTTATTCATGATCATCTAAAAATCAGTAATAGTCATTGAAATTATTGGCAATTTTTTAAATTAGAACAATATGATTGACAATAACAAATTTATAAATTAGCTTATTGTAAGGAGTGAATTGATATTTTACAAAGAATATGAAAATTTGATTATATTATAATTCTAAGGTTTCTTTATTTAACACATGATATAATATATGTTGTTATAATTTTACTTTAAAGTATGTATTCTCCAAATTATATATTATTTAAAATTAGATACATGTATAATTAAAGAGTTATCATAATAATGATTACAAAAATGATATAAGAATAAAAAATAATTAGTATATATTATAATTAATATATTATTTTAATACATGAATATTTATAGACTCAATTAGAAGCTCAGACACATAATGGAAGTGTTTGATATCATCTAGAGAGAGTATTGTATATATTAAATTCTAGTCAATTGCAAACTTTAAATGGGTGTTATTTAGGGATTCATTAAGATTATATGATTCATTAAGTATTAAAATTTCCTAATCTCTTTGATATTAATTATGATGAATTAAAGTTAAATATAGTTAACTTTTTTTAAATGTTGAAAGAACACAATATCACACCAATAGTTATTTTGTCATCATAAATCCATTAGAAAATAAATTCAAAGATTATAATGAAATGTTAATCTGAAAAAAATAAGTAAATTAATAATCATATCATATTTATAGAGCATAATTTAGAGAATTATTATATAATGATGCTATTATTGATACTCTATTACCGAAAAGAATGATCATTGATTGGTTAAGAGAATTACAAATACAATTTCTAGTAGTTCCAGATGCAGGAAGTTAAATTCGTTATCTCTTTACTAATAATTTTATAAGTGGGTAAATTGTTGCAATTAATTATTTAGAATTTTAGCAGAGATCTCCTTATTAGAGAAGTGCTTTAGTTTTAAAGAATTAAATTATTTGATTTTAAACATTTTTGATAATTCATTTGAATGGATTGACATAAAATAATTAACAGCAAAATCTTAATTAAGTTTAGATTCTCTTGCAGAATTATATTAATTGCATGATTATTGTACTCGTAATGAATGTATAGGCTATAATGATTAAATTCTAAATTAATTTAGTCAAACAAAATTTACAAAGCCTTTTTCAGAACTTGCAAGATCTGATTAATTTAATGTTCTCTATAATATTGGATAATAATTCTTTGCTGGAAAGCTAACTTTATAATAGAGAATTTAAAAATTTACAAATTTTCTTATTGATTCAACTAAGATCACTTAATTTATGTAGTAAATCAAAGATTCACCATATATTGATATCAATTTTGATGAATTGAGATTATAAACTGCATCTGCTAGTGCTATTTAATATCCAACAGAAATTTTGGTGTTTTAGAGTAATGGAATAGGATTATTTTAAAAAGAGCAATCACTCTTATAACCATTAGAATTTTAAGAATATGAATTTGTTGAACCTTCTTAATTAGCCTTTGAGAAATTGAATATTGGATATTATTAAGGAAAGAATCAAATTAAATTAAATACTTCTTTTAATTTATTTAAAGAGACTATTAAAAATCCTACTTTATTACGTTCTATTCATTTTTATTATAAAACATTAAAATTGACATCTAGAAAATCTTCATTTGAACTTGGAGAACAATCATAATAAATTAATTCTGATCTTATTTAATTAAATTTAAATCTGAGGTTCTTACATTTATAAGGTTTAATTGATTTGGATAATTAAAAAGGTTCTTTATATGCATCTGCCTTATCATATGTTAAACCTCAATATTTTGTTCCTTTTTTCATTTATCTAAAATTATTAGAATCACCCTATAAACCTATTTTATTTGGACATTTTTATAATCCATAAAATGAGAAAGATGATGAGATTATTACAACATTTGCAGATAAAAAGGATAATTTGATAACAAAATAATTAAATAATTTGTCTGAACATTATTAAGAGGATGATGAAAAGATTTTATTACTTTTAAGATTTTTTATGATTAATAGTATATCTAAATTAAGTTAATTGGATTATTTTGGAGATTTTATTACTTGTATAAGTAAAAATTATGGTTAATAATATGATGCACTATTAATAGGATTATATTTTGAACTTAATTAACGTAGTCTTATAGAACAATTTATAAATATTGGTTAAATGAATCCTTTTTATAAAAAATATAATTATAATGAAGAATTTTATTAATTTTTGAAAAAAAAGAAATCCAAATAAGAATTTATGACAAATCATAATTTATAACATTATATAGATTGTTGGACAGAATTTCTTAAATTATATGATTACATCCATTAAAAAAAGGGTATGAGATTTGATATTTTGTTAAAGACTAATGAGTATTTTCAGTAGTTGATTAAATGAAAAAAATTGTTATATATATATATATATTTATATAACATAAATTTTATGATATTTATTATAATTATTAACATAAAGTTTTTTTCATTGATTTTAAATAGTCTTTAATCAAATTAAGTCTGAAGTATGTATTTATGTTAAGGAAGATGTTTGAAGTTAATAATTAAAAAGTTAACTATTTGCATTTTTGAAATTTTATAATCATAATACTAATTTATCATTTTTTTTGAAGAAATTACTCATTTTTAAATTTTTCTTAAAAGGTTGATTAGATGAAAAAAAAATAAGAAAGCAGGATTAGAATTATCTTTCTAGTAAAATGATTATATATTTTAAATCAAAGAGATTATTCAAAAGAGAATTCGATTTCTTATCTGTAATTAATTTATAAGTTTTTATAAATATTAGAAAAAATCGCTAATTCTTAAGGATCATTTTTTCGATTTAAATATTAAAAATAATACATCAATATTTCTCGAAAAACTCAGTTTTATGGCAATTAAATTGAATTTTAAAGTTAGATGTGAAACTACTCTAAGTGAGTCTGTGTGCATTGTTGGAAGTATTAAGGAGTTAGGGTTATGGAACCCTTCAAATAGTCTTTAATTATCTACAACCCCTGATATTTATCCATTTTGGGTTGGTAACATATCTGTTGATGTGAATGAAAGTATATTATTATGCTTATATAGACTAACTTATTGAGTTTAAAGGAATAATAAGAAAAGGAAATTAAGTTAATTGGGAGGATAGTGACAATAGAGTAATTTAAATTCGATACTAATCTCAGAGTATTATATTTTCATTTAACTCTCAATTATTGTAAGTAATTCGAATATAATCATTATATGACCTTTCTGATGATGAATCCATCAATTTAGGTATATTTTTATAACGATTTATTAGATAAGATAAAAAAGATAAAACTTCAAAATGTTTTGAATCCATTCGATTAAGAGGGATTTACATCTGTAAAAATAATTATATATTGTAGGAATCTGATTAAGAAAGTGACCATCTTTCAAATTTGGATTCAGTTGGATTTTCACCAATTGTAAAATCTCTTTCTATTTAATATCAAGAAGAATCATTTGAACTTCTTGTCCAATAATGAATACATAATTAAACAGACTTGTTAATTATTGAATCTTATTTATTTAATATTCATTTGAGAAATTAGATTATTCTTTTCCAACAATAATATATATATGTATTAATATTTATCTATAATCATCTTCTATATTTTCAGTCTCTACTTAAATTTATGGTAAATAAGATGTAATTTAAAAATCATAATAAATGTATGAATAAATTTTATTTGATTATAAATTGTGTCTTTAAATTAAGAAATCAGATTTATTAAATCATAATAAATATCATAAGATGTATTTCTAAGTATAATTATATTATACAATAATCTTAAAAAGTGAGAGAATAACTCTATTCAAAATTTGAAGTATTTGAAAAGATAAAAATATAATTTATTATCAAAATCCTGCATAAGCTTTTGGTTATCTTTATAATCTCATTATTTATTCAAGTAAATCCCTTTCTCTTGCTTATAAAAATTCTACACGTTATTATAACTAATTATTTGTTTATTTCAATTAAACTATTTCATGTAAATCATTTGGATCACTACTCTTTCCATTAAGATTTTTTCTAGCAATCTATTAAATTTTATATAAATTTCATACTTAAGCTAACTCCATATTTTTTTCTTCTAAAGATGCTACTTTTTTTTTTAAATCACTATTTTCTATCAATAATGCACTAGACATATATTCTTCTTAAATCTTTGATTTTTCCTAATCTCCTTTAGTTATTGGATTACCAATAAATATCTATTCTAAATTCTCTAATTTCAATTATAAAGCATTATTTTCATTCATAACAATATGATAATTCTTAACAGAAACATCACGAGCATTTCTTAATTCATCATTTTCTTATTTTAATTTATTTATTTCCATTTAATATTCATGTAATATTTTATTTACTGGCAAATCAATCTTACTATTATTAGAATTAACCTATTAATCAAATCCATTTTATTAACTATTAAGAATTTAATTATGACTAATTGGTCTAGATGGTAATGGAGGTAGTTATTTCTTTTATCCATTTTTATCATTAAAATTAGGTATTTCTATAGGTAATCCATTTGTATATCTAAATAATTATTATGATTAATTACCTTTATAATTATTCTCTTAGATACTGATTTTCCATCTTTAACAAATCTCTCTCTCTAGTCAAATTATATATAATTTAATCTTTTTCACCCATAGAAATCACTGGCTTATTTTAAATATTCATAGTTGAAGTGGCATAATTTATAGTACTCAATGTTTCTTCATAATAAGCAGCAGAAGGAGATACACAAGCAATCATTAATGCCTTAGCAGTTCCTCTATTAATATTAAATTTCATTAATACCCTAATGAATCCATTAAAAGCATTGTTAATTTACTATCTCTATAAGGAATGTAAGGTAATTTATTCTTTTTATCACTTAAAGACTTAATAACTTTACCCAAAGTAAATAAAGATTTATTAATATTACCAGTTTCTTTTATCATATCACCTTATGATTTAGATTCTTTCAATCTTTCTGAACCAGCTAAATCAACAAATGAAAATTTTCCATATCTCTATTTTATTATATTATAATTCAATACTTTAACAATTTATCCATCTATATTCTATTCTCCAATTAAATAAGCTGTCAATATTGAATGAGATCTACTTGAATCTTTGTTTAATTCATGAGATCCTTACTTTCTATTTCTCATTCCTTCATGTAATACTGCTTAAATATCAGAGAATGATGTGCATTCAACAATCATTAAATCTTCAACAAAGAATCCATTTTATAAATTCCATCTACAATGCAAGATTCCAGAAGCAGGATTTAATAGATCTCTCAATTATTCATTATATATTTCTGTAAATGAAGCTTTCACATAAAATTACTCTGCTCTTTGTGCCATAATTTACCATAAATATCTAGTAGCTCTTGGAATTATGCCTTCAGATTCATCAGAAATATACTTTTCTCTTGCTAAACGTTCTTCTACTCCAGAAATGCTTAAATATTAAAATTGAAAAATTTACGTATAAGTTTTACCTGATCCTGTTTAACCATATGCAAATATTGTAGCTGAATATCCATCTAAGGCAGCATCTAATAATTCTTAAATATTGCATTTCATAAACACCTCTTATTAAGTACACCTTTCATCCAAAACAGCATTAAATCTAAATTACTTTGCTACTCCTCTTTGCTAATTAAGATCGCGAATTACTTATAATAGAGTTAACAATTTGAATCTGATATAGCTTTGATACATTATTCATCTCCTCTTCCTTATTCTAATTAGTTCATTGGTCTAATTCGCAATGCAACTTTTACACTCTCTCCACCAGATTCATCCAATACTGAAGTATCAGGTTAAGATGGAGATGGTCCTGATTGCAAAGACATTGGTTACATCATAGGAGAAGGTTAGTTAATTTGTTGATTTTATGGTTAAGATGATTGTTAAGGAGTTTTACTCTTTTTATTCATTATAATAATTTAATGATTTTTTTTCAATGTTAACTTTCTTTAGAAATTTAAAATAATATATATATTTAATTTCCTATATTAAATTATCACTTGAATGCAGCTAATCCTGTTATTTCCCTCCCAGCAATCAAACTATTAATATCATAAGATCCCTTTGAAATATTTAATTTTATAATTTACCTCATATGTATAAACTACTTCAGCATCAGTTAAAGCCTTAATACAATAATTTTCAATTAAAATTCCATCTCCTCCCATCATCTCTCTTCCTAATCTAGCTACTTCTCTTGTTTTATCAGAAACCCATGCTTTAACAGCTGCAATCTATCCTAAAGTTGCTTTTTTCTCTTATGCCAATCTTGAAACTTATAAAACCATCAAAAAACTAGCTTAAAATGTTGTTAAAATCTTAGCCAATCTCTCTTATTATAATTAGAATCCAGCAATATTTTTTCCAAATTACTTTCTTCTTGTTGTAAATTTAATCACATTCTCATATACTCCTGCTTATATTCCCAAAGCTATCCAAGGAACTCCTACTCTTGAATGTTACAATACTTAAGTTACACCGTTCTAAAAGTCTTTAGCTTTAGGCATCTTATTTTCATCAGGTATAAACACATCTTTAAATGTAATTTAACAATTTTAAACTATTCTCAATGCTAATTTATGTTTGATTGGTTCTGCATGAACTCCAGCCCATTTGTTTTCTATTATAAACCCTTCAATATTATTATTCTCAATATTTCTAGCCCAAACAACTAGAATATCCTTATTTCCATTTCCAATCCATCTCTTATTACCATTCAATAAATATCCTCCCTAAACTTTTTTGACTGTAGTTTATATACTAGATGCATCAGACCCATATTCTTTCTCAGTTAATGCCCATCCTCCCAAAATATCCATATCCTTAATCCTAGTTAAGTATTTCTATTTTTATTATTCTGAACCAAATGTTTCAATACTATAAGGTACCAATGATGAACTAATCAATCATATCAATTTTTACATTAATAAATAGAATGTTGATAAACCAGCATCAACTTTAGCTAATTCTAAATAGGCTAAACCAGTTTTCACATATGTATCAGTTTTATGAATTAACTTTAATGGTTTTAAAGCTTCAACTATTTCTGTAGGAAATTCAGCTGCTTCAACATACTTATTGATTGTTGGTGCCGCCTTATTAATTGATTCTTATTACTTTTTCCTATGCAAATTTACGAACAGCATAACAAATGTCCTTTTCGTCTTTTTCAAGCATGTCATACAATTGAAGATATTCAAGAGGATCTGCCAAGAACTTGACTTCCTTAAATTGTCCAGCCAACTAATTCAATCTAAACATAAAATTATAATTAATATGTCGTCATTTTATATTATAATATGCAATAATAATAATTGTGACTTAATAATTCAAAAAATTTCATAATACAAAATTCTATTTTATTATGATATATATACTTTACAATAAAAACAATTCCATGTGTATTCAAGATTTATAAATTATGCTTAATTTGAATTTTAGAAAAGTTATTGAATTTTTTTTCAATTTCTTATGATATTATAAAATAAGATATAAAAGATACATAAATAGTATAATAAATTTAATAATAACTATAAGTAGGTCAATATTTTCTCTTTAATAAAAGGCTATTACTTTATGGATGAGAAAATCACAACTTTATAACAAAGAAAGTTTCTTTATTACTTTCAAAATAACAATACAGTGAGTTAAAAATTTGATAGTCAATCTGAGTAAGTTTTTAAAAATTAGTAAACTCAATTAATTGATATTATACTATGTATCTTGATAACAGAGAGGTTTTATATTATAGAACCTATAATAATATTTTAGAGTTTCTGGGTTAAATAGGTGGACTTTTAGAATTAATGTGATTTTTTGGTAGGAACAACTGTCAAACCATTTAAGAGACTGTCATGCAATTTATTTTTAGCACCAGAAATGTTTATTTAAAAAATATAATGGTTATTAAAAGATCCATCCATAAATTTAAGTCTTATAGACTGAAGAACTTGTAAATTTAAGTTAATTGGTGTAATTAGAAAAATGTTTTAAATTAAAAGCCTAATAAATTAAAATATTTGATCATCAATATTTATTTACTTGTGGATAAGATAGATAATTAATTCAATAAAGTATTTAGTCAATTTAAATTAAATAGATATTAAAATATTATTAATAAATTAATTGAAATTGATGAATGAAAGAAAGTATTATTAAATGAAGATTAATAAAAATTGTTTAAATTTATTCATAAACATAATATCTAATTAGTAACTCGAGATAAAATGAATGCGAGTATTAATCAATATAATAATGTGAATAAACTTTCCTTTGAGGAGAAAATAATTTAGGTATTCTATTCTTATAATATGATTAAAGTAAGTAATCTTAAAAAATATAAACAAATAAATCAGAGTAAAATTGGTTTATTGGATTATAGTGTTAAATTGATTTTCCAAACTAATGATAATTAAAAACCATTACAGTAAACATTTATTTTTTAAATACAATAAATAAGTTCATTAGTTGATTTAAGTCTTTTAATAAAATAGAATTGATCTGTGACTATTTTACCATTAATTTATCAAATTTATATATAATAAGTAAAAACTTAAAGAATCATATAAGAGGAATTAAATTTAAACAGATTTTATTGAATTAATTTTTTAAGCAATTCATATTTTTGATAAATGATTGATTAAAATAATAAGATATGATATTAAGTAACACTGATTTATCTCTTTATTTCTCTAGAATATCTCTTTATTTTTGATAAGTTCTAAAAGAATATTTTTTAATGTATAATCTTAATTTGCCTCTATATCAATAATGCTCAAAAAAAAGATGTCTAAATTTTTCTAAAAATTCTTAAACAAATATATTAATCTAAATTAGTAAACGATAATTATATTATTGCTGTAATAATAAAAAATTTATTTAATTTTAAAAATCCTATTTATTGTTTTTAAAAAAGAATCATTTTTGATTTATATTGAATTTCCTATTTAGAGTTTAAGGTCTTAATTAGAATAGTTATTACTAAGTAAACCATTTTGTAAATTAATTTATTTAATAGGAAATAATATTTACAAAAAAAATATTGAAAATTAATTCTTAATTTTTATATAAAGCCTTGTTGATCTAGTAAAATCTGTTTAAGTATGATAATGTCTTTATTAATTCTACAATTTAATTTTTGATTATTATTATATTCTAAATTATAATACGAAATGAAAATTAACTAAGTATTAGATTCTAATGTTATGATTACAAAGAAACTAATAATATGATAATTTTAAAGTATTATGTATGAATTATTAAACTTTATATATTAATTTCTTAATGAGAAATTATATACATTAGTAAAAGAAATTAGAGAAAAAATGTGGAATAATAATAAAGAATCTGTATAAGGGTAATTTGAATGCAATATGAATTGATTTAATAATTTTCATTATTCAATTCAATACCAATTTACGCATTTCTGCTTCTTCAACTTCAGATGGATCATTAGCTTAGATTTCTTTTGATAAACCATTCAATTTCTTCTTTAATGCTTCTTTTCCTGCAGCATATGACATCTTTTATTTAACAGGCTAATTAGCATCTGGAGACCAAAATATGAATACTAATTTTTCAACTTATCTTGGTGGAACGTCATCAGTTTATGCTTGATAATCGTAAACTGCATATCGTGACTAAAAATAAATAGTAAATAATATATACTTCATTTTAAAGATGACTAACAAATTCAGCATAGGTGCTATCTCTTGCTCCAATTTAATCAACAACAATCTAATATTAAAATTGTAATAATCACTTAATTTGTATCAGTGTTTAATTTAAAGGTCAAATATCTATATTATTTTCCCAATTTGAGTTTATTGAATTCTGTTACGCAATCATCATTAACATGTGTACCGACGTTCATAATTAAATCTTATAATATTTATTTAAATTTTCTTTTTTTTTTTTTTTTTAATTAAATCACATTTTCTTATCATTTCTTTGTTAAATTTTTTTAAAAATTTGGAGATATAGAATTAGTTCTTTATATTCTAAGCAACTAAGGTTTTTTCTAAACAGATTCTTTAATATTTTAATTGGTCTTTGTTTAATTGATTTATAGTTTTTTATTTGAAATATCTTTGAGTGTTGATGTTGGTCTTTAACTTTTTGGAGAAACAACTTCATATAATTCTTATTACCTTGAGGAATCTAAAAAATTGGATCCAGGGTTGTATGGTACATGAATTTACTCATGCAAAAAGGCATATTCATTAGGTTCAAGAGATTATTGTTTAATAGCTGAGGATTGATGAGACTTTTTATATGAATATCTGTTATTAGGTGATTATGAAGGTGTTAAGTATTATAAAGAGTTTGGATAAAATTATTAATTTTAAGGGGAAATTAAATTAGAATTCTAATAAATATTGTTATCTTAAAATTATAGTAATTCTAAATTAGCAAAATTATTAGATTTCTATTTTGAATGAATTTTTATTTAATCATGATTATTTTATTCAGATATAGATGGATTAACCTTCTTTACTTATTTTTTTTATGTTTATTTTAATTATGATTTCAAATATTTTGTTTTATGTTCTGAAATTATTTATACAGATCTTTAAGTTGGATTAGTTTTTTTTAAAGTATTTGTTGATTATATTATTTATGTTTTAATATGTAAATTTTTGGATTAATGTATAGGTAATATTTCTTTAATTTATTAATTTGATATTTCATTTAAATAATTTGATTGTTAATTTTCTATTTTAATAGCTGATTACTACATCATTTCTACTAAACTTTCTTCATAAATAGATAAATAATTAGGTCTATTTTCTGGTTGTAATTCCAACATTTTACTGATTAATTTATTATCTGCTTTTTATAATAAGTCATCCAAAATATCTAATATTTTTATTATAATTTACTTATGTTAATTTAATAGATTTCAAAATTATAAATTTTCTGAATTGACTCTTATAAGATTAATTCTAATGTTATAAGACCAATAGAAAATATTTCACTTTTCTCTTTATTATATTCAGGTCTATATGAACCTCTACCTAAATATTCTAATAATTCAGGAGACAAATAACAATCCTCTTATGATCCATTTAATAGACGACTATAATGATTAATATTGGGGAGAAAAAGTTTGACTTAATTTTTAAAGAGAAATGATGAAGGTATTAAATCACCATGATATTTATCTCTATTTTATAATTCTATCAAAGTATGCATAACTTGCTATATAAATTAATAATAAGGAAGTTAAGATGTAAATGGAATACCATATTCAAAGATTGCATCTATTTTGTAAAAGTTACTACATAAATATTATTCTTCTTATTTATTTATTTCTAACAATTTTATCAAACCAGGTATATTAGATAATTGTTAATATTGTTGTAATTTCTATAACTCAATTTGATATTAATCATCATTTTAATATAGCTTACTAATAACTGCAACTTATTCCTATTAATTTTAATAGACTTCAATTAGACTTCCAAAACTAAATTGAAACTCATAATTACATTTTGCTTTGATGTTGATCTAATTTTTACCAATTTTTTAAAAAGTGTTATTTGGACTGTTAAACTTAACCCATAATTAAAGAAAATAGTGAATGAAATAATTATATATTATTATTGTACTTTGATAAATTATTTTGTGAGCTCAAATAATTCCTATCTTGTTGGCTAAATTGAGAGCATCATTCTCTCCACCCAATCTAATGTAGGCCTTCTTCTTACCACCAAAAGTATTAAGGATCTTTATAATATTAAGCATTATTACATTAACTTTTCTTACTTTAACATCATAAATTTTCTAAAATGCTCTTTTTATTTATGGCTTTGTTGATTTTTAATTAACATAAAACACCATTGTATTTTCATCTTCCATTTTTTTCATGTCCTTTTCTGTTATAAGTGGGTGTCTAAGCACATTTTAGAAATCTAATCCTTTAGAAACTGGAGTAAGTTATCTTGTTAATCTATAATTATTTCAATAATTGTTAAACCTTGTGAATTTTGGTTTTCTAGATAAAGCTAATGGCTTTTCAGTATGGAATCTATTTTGAAAATGTTTTCTAGCTCTCACTACTTTTTTAGCAACTCTTGTATTTTTAGCTGCCTTTTATGCTTTTTATGTAGTTGTTGTTTATCCCTTTGGCATTTTTAAAATTATTTTTAAAAAACAATCTTTTTTTTTAATTATTTCATAAATAATAGTATATAAATAGAGTGTTATCATTTCACAAATGCTTTATTCTCAAATCAATACTTAACTATCTATCTAATCTTCATCATAATATAATCAAAATAAATAAATATTAAAATAAACAATATGAATTTTTCATAATGTCCAGATGAATTCTAAATTGAAGAATAACAATTCATTAGAGTACCTTAAAGATCATCTTTGAGTAGTTTTAATTTTGAGGTATATAAAACAGCATTTTAAGGAATTAGATTCTAAATATAAGTTTACTTATCCAACTAATGAAAAATAGAATGAGACTAAAAGAAATCAACTTAATTAAACTCCACCTCCATAAACTAAATAGATTTAATAATATGAAATAGATAAAAATTATAAGTTATAGATAGAATAACCTAATCAACTTTCCAAATCTCCAAAATAATGTCATTCTTTTAGAGATCAAGGGAAAATATAATTATGCTAATAATAAATAGAAAAACCTCAAAAAGAAATTAAATCTATTCTAAACTTCTAAGTTGATACTAAATTCATTAATATGAAACCAAGTAAAAAGAGAAATCAAAAACCTATTTTACCTTAATTCTAATAATAATAATATAAACGACCATTAATGATATAGAGTAATCCAAAATATTAGAGAATTTCTCCTAAAAATCAAAATAAAAATCCTATTCAAAATAATATCATTTAAAATTACTCTGAAATTACTTTCCATTAAGAGCCAAAAGTCAATAAATTTTAATAATTATTAAATAAAGCTCCAAAATCAATTGAAATTGATCATCAAAGATCAATAAAATGGTTTGGAAATAAAGAACTTTGTGAAGGTGAACTAAATGGAAAAATTGTATAATTTATTAAGACTTAATAATCAAATGTGATATTATGATATGGATCTTAATATTTTACTCAAAATTTTGCATCCTTTGGTAATAAATCTGGAGTGAATTTTGTTGCAGCAGCCATATTTCCCTTGATTTTCATCTTGCCTTGCATAAAAGCCTATTATGGATTCAACTTTCCTTGAGCCATAGCAATATATCATCATCTATCATTGTAAATGTGGCATCAGCTGTTCCAACCTTTCCTTTTGAGATTGACTATCACTATAAATAATATTATATACTCCTGATCCATTTTTAAGATCAACAATCCAAACTTCTGGAGTTTCTCCTTTTGGCCTTAGAAACTTCAAAATAATAATCAGCATTGATTTTTTTAACTAATTCTGCTCCCTAACTTTTAATGAATGGATCCATCTTTTAAAATAAAACAACTGATTTCAAATCCATTTTTATTAAATTATTAATAATATTTTATTTTTCTCAAATCTTAAAAAATATTATTAAATATCCTATTAATAAAGAAAAATAATTTAGTTATATAAAATATCATTTCTTTCCCTTCTTCTTTTTTTTCTTCTTTCCTCCTGCAAAAGGATCTTATGCATACTCTACCCATAATTTAGGAAATTCTGGTTTATTTTCAAACCAACAATTTTTAGATTTATTTATATTTCTAGCAGCTGTCAATGTTCTAGGATGAAATTAACCTAATTAAGATTCTAATATAGCATGTGCCAATTTAAAATATCCATATGACTATGAAAATATAAAAAATATATATATTACCTCCTTATTACGTTCTAACATATACATACAACATCCTAAATTATTATATACAGTAGCAGTATCAACTGTATCTACACCAATACTATTTTCTCTATATTCTCTTGCCTAAATAGATATTTATCTAATAAAACCAATACCTTCAAAAATGATCTAAGTGCCCAATCATATTCCTCTGTATTATAGAACACTGATCCTAATCCACAATAAGCCAAAGCTTTATCAGGATTGTTTGTTGGTAATTTAGTTGAAAACTGTCTTGCATTCAAATAAGCTACTAATGCTAAATCATCTCTTCCAGCAGATTCAAACACAGTAGCCTTACTGAATTCGAAATACAATTCTAATCCATCAGTTAAATCTCTTCCTGTTGAAGCAATCCATTTTTTCTATTATATCTATTTATATCTTACTCTTGCATCATCATAATTCTATATAGCAAATACAAAATTAGCTTCATTATGAGAATTTATTGCTGCTTCAACTAAAAATTATACATCCAATGGAGGATTAGGTGGATATAAAACTTCTGGTATAAGTACAGGTGCAACTTATACATCTGAGAGAGAACCACGTTCAACATCTGAGATTAGTTTTTATTCGAATTTCAATTTATCAGCTAATTCCTAAATATAATATTCTGATTATTTCGGTTCTGTTTTTTATTCAAATATAATTTTCCTTGGTTCTGGTTCTCCAGCTTTTCTTCTTTATTATTGTTTTTTTGCTGGTTTAGGCTTAGGATTTTTATTTTTAGGAGACTCTGGTTTTGGATTTCCTATAACTAATCTTGCTTCTGGATCCCATTTTGCCATTTATTTTTCTTATTAAGGTAAAGGAGGAATTGGAGGTAATTCCTTATCTAACATTTTGATTACCTAATCAACAGGAATATTGAGAGACACTTATTATTATATTTATATATATATATACCTTATTCAAATAATAGTGATCCTTATAATGCAGCAATTCTTTATAATTCATCTGTTCCATCTGGTTCATCATCTGAAGAATCTTTTTCTTCAAAATCACTTAAATCATTAAGTAGTTATTGAGTGAATTTTTCCAAGTTTTTAATGAGTTTTCTATTTAAATTTGGAAGTGGACCTTCTATATTTTCATTTTTTCTAAATAACATTAATTCACCAAAAAATTTTCTTAAATATTTTTCAACATCTAATTTTCTATTATTTTGATTTCCTCCTCCTTCTTCTTTAAGTCCTAATTCAAATGAGATTCTAGCTAAAAGTAATTGAAGTTCATGTATTAACATTTATGGATCAGTTTCATTACAATCTGATAAATTTTTTTCATAAATTTAAATAAAATGACCTTTTTAAAAAAAGTCATATTCTTTGTTATTAATAGGTGGAATAATCTTGAGTAGTATTTCTTCCAATTATTCAATAGATAAAATATGAGGTACAATTTCTGCATCTCTTAAAAATCTTACTAATGATACCATATTCATTTTTTTATTCTAAACCCAAATTTCCTTCCATCTTAACATTATTATTCCTCTTGACAAATTTTCTTACATATATATTGTAAATATATTCTTTAATTCTCTTTCATAAAGTGATATTGCTTATATAGATGATTCAGCTAATAATCTTTTATTTGTTTCATCAAGCACAATTATTCTATTAGGCTCTACATTATGATCTCTAACTGCACTTTTTTCAGATAATATTTCATTTAACATCTTTTCTAAATGAAGAGGATCATTATGAAATATTTTCTTTGCCAGTTACTTGAGAAAGAAATAAAATTAAGGCTTATTCAATGCTCTTTCCCCTTTTACATCTCCTAATGCATCATCAAAATGAGTCAGAAACATACTAAAATTATTACCATTTGTAACAAGACTTCTATCAAGAGCAAACATAAGAATATCAGCAAAATTTAATGATGTTCCATTTCTTGAAAATTTATTAAAAAACTCTTCAAATCTTCTTTCTTCTCTTTCTTTTAATACAACCGTATCTTATCTTTATTATTATTATGTCGATTGTTATTGTTATTGCATATTAAATATTTAAATATAATATATAATGGGAACTAACAAACAATTAAATCGTAGCTTTAAACATACATCAACTATATTTGATCAATTATTCTAATAATATTCTTCCATTGGATTCAAAAAAGCACATATACTTAAAGCATGGTAACAATGTGGAGATAATTAATAAACATTCCATGAAGAACTCATTAAAATTAGGTAATCTAATTTTTCTTATTATTATTAAGTTAATAAGAAAATGCCTTAATTTTGAATGAGGATGATTTATTCAATTCTATGATGTAACTAAAAATGCAACTTGAATAAATAGAATAGTAAGATTTAAAAATTGCTATCCAACTTTCCTTGGATTAAAATGCTTAGTATTATCTATTCATAAATATTCATAGATCAAAATAAATTAATTCAGAAAATAGAACCAATAAATCAATTCCTGTAGGACTTAAGAATTTAGGCAATAGTATAAATCATTTAAATTTATAACTTTTTAGCTTGTTATATGAATGCCATGTTGTAGAGTCTATTTAATGTTCTACCATTTAGAAAATTCATTTTAGAATTAGATCTTAAAGATAATCAATCATTAGCCTATAATTTTCTATTATAATTATAATTGCTATTTTTGATGTTACAAGAATCAAATCAATCATACATAACTCCATATAATTTGTTTGAGGCACTTTAAAAATTCAAACCTAGTGCTATGTTTATAAGAGGTGTCTAAAACGATTTTAATGAACTATAAAATTCCTTTTTAGATGCTATTGAATAAGCTTTAAAGGAAGAAAACTTTGAAGAGGAAAAGAAAAAATTTTGTGAGATGTTCTATGGTGAAGCTAAAGAAATATTGAGTTACAAAGAGAATGATAAAGAGATTATCAAATTTAATGATACTACTTTTGGATCTATTAGTATTGAGGCAGCAGATAAAGATTTAGAAAAAGGTTTCATAAATACAAGAATTCTTATTATTGATGAATATGAAACAGATAACAAAGAAAAAACTAAAGCTAAGATTGATTAAAATATAGTATAAGCACCATTTTTAATCTCTTTTTACATTAATCGTGTTTATTATGATCCAAAATAAAAATAGGTATGTAAAAATAATACTTAATTTAATTTTAATTCATCATTAAATATTAATCAATTCAAAACTATTAATTAGGGTTAAAAGAATTTAGAATTATAAAAATTAGATGAAGAAGAGTAAAGAATTTTAGATTAACTTAAAAGTTTTGGAGATACAAAAGAAGAAATAGAAGAAAATTTTAATAAAGTTATTAAATTATTTAAAAGAAATGAAGGTTAAATTGATAATTTGGTAACAATTGATGGATTTTGTATATGTGATGAAAACACAGCAAATCCAAATATTATACCAAGTGATTAGATGTTATTTTAATTATAATCATATAAAGAAAAAATGATGAAAACTGTTTAATTATTAACAGATTAATTAGAAAGAATTTAAGAGTAAAAGAAAAAAATATTAAAATCAGATTAAAATATGTATCTATTAACATCAGTATTAATGCATGATGGATCAGCTAATAGTGGACATTATTATTGTTATGTATTAGACAAGAAAGATTTAACAACTTGGTGGAAATGCAATGATAGTACAGTTACTAAAGTAGATTTTGCTTAAGTTTATAAAGATGCTTCTGGATCAAATAGAGTGAATTCTAATGTCTCTGGTTTGATTTATGAATAAGAATAATGGTTAAAAGTAGATAAAATTTAAATCAATCAGAAATTATTGTCTTTTATTTAAGAAGACAAAGAGAAATAATTAATTGCATAAGATGAATAGAAAGTGTTGAATAGAAAAGCTATTATATTATAATAAATTTAATAATAGAAAAATAAATTATTAAAATATAAGGATTAATTAGATAGAGAATTTGAGAGATTCAGTAATTTTGATTAGTTTTTAAATTCAGTTAATTAAAATGTATACTAATATTATTTGATATTAACAACAGTATAATAAGATATAGTATTGATTAAAGATTAATTAAATAAACCTCAAGAAGTGAATAATTACATTAAATATTTCATTACTCAAACAAATTTAATAACAACAAATTATGATACTGAATTGAAGAAATTAAAGGATGAGTATTTAATGATAAATTCATTATTATAATAATTACCCTTAAAAAATATTACAAATTAGAATTATTCAGAAAAAATAAGATATTATTATACTATATTGAAATAAATATCAGATATTAAATCATGTTCTACACTTGCTAATCATTTAAAAAAGATATATGAAGTTCTCTTGCTTAAGGGATGCTTTTATGTTGATCTATCTCTATAAGCTAATAATATATAAACATGTATAGAAATTAGTTAGAGTATATTAATTTCAATCAATTAAAATTAATATGTTGATAAATTGATATTCTAATAGGTGTTTGCTAATCTAAAATTATCTAGTGAATAAGTTAAATTAATAACTAAAAATACAGAGATTTCAGATCAAATCATTTAATTACAAAATAAAGGAGAATTATTTATTAATTTAAAATAATTAGAATTTAAGTCTTTAGAATCTGAAATATTATAATTATAAAGATTAAGAAATGATAGTCTAAAAGTAAAATTTTATATTAATATTATAATAGCTTTGGATTCATTAATATGATAAGATTAAAACAGAATAGAAATTATTAGATTAGAATGATAGATAAAATGCTGAAGTTTTACTTTATTTTTGATAATCATTAATTTGCATTGATATATTACATAGTTGATTATTTCATTTATCAATTTATTTTTCTTTTCTAAACAAATCTGCCATCAATGAGTTCAAATAGAAAAATACACTGAGTAAATCAACATAAACTCTAACACTTCCATTCAAAGAACCAGATTTAATTTAACTTAAATTACTTTAAGTACTATAAATGAGTAAGAAACTAGTATAAAATTAATAAATTTACCCAAATACAACTCCTGAAACTAAGGTGATAATCATTTCAAAGAATGGAATTATAGAATAAATGATGAACAATTAAAATATGATAAGTCCTCCTGCCAATACATATAAAGACTATTAATGATAATACATTTCAATTCTGCTTTGCATCACTGATAAGAATTATGAAAATATCTTGACAATTATAAAATTCTATATATTACTTATCCAAAAATCATGAAAGCTACCATCATAGATTGTTCAATATTTGTTATTGCTGTTAATGAAATAAAAAAGAAATATAAGGCTGTTGTAAATAGTAAATAGAGTACTACATTTACAACAGTATTCTCTGGATTTGTAAAATAAGCAGCTAAAGATAACAAAAAACATCCAATTGAAAGAATAATTATCCAATAAGAATTCTTTTGAAAATAATCCTCTAATGACTCTAATCGTAACTATGATAATTAATAATTTATTTACATAACTAAACACAATTACTATAAAGAATTAAAGTAGCATAAGGAAATATAGTTTTCTTAATTTGGCTGTTTCAGCTACAATTTCTCCTTCTTCTTAAATTTCGTTTCTGTAATTTTAATAACTTAAAAATTGAGGATCTTAGGCCATTGAATTTTATAAGTATTATGATTAGGCAGGGTCACCAATCATTCTTGATTATGGCATGTTAACCTATTATTAACTGTTTTACATATATATTTTATAAATATAAATTATGCATATAGGGTTGTCAAATAAATTTTCAATTTAGAATTCAAAACGAAAAATCACAAGTTTACATTTCAATGAAACAGAAGAATATAGAAGAGCAATATCAATTGCCAATTCTCCTGATTATCATAGTATTTGTAATATATAGAGATAGACTCCCCTTTGCCATAATTGTATAGTCCAACTGAAAAGAAACCAATGTTTTAACGAGTTCCACGTACAAGTGTTTTATAATCATTAAAAAAGGAGGATGATAAAACGAATAATAAAGATATAATAAAATAGTTAGAGGAATCTCCAGAACAAAAATTAGAAGATCAAATTCATAAACCTCTTGTTGGATCTCAATCAGCACGAAGCTATTTTTAACATTATAAAGTACTAAATAAAGTTAAACAATAAAATGAATATCATAAAATTAATGAGTCTATCCAAACATAAATGCTTAAATAAGCAGAATCATCTGATGCTCTACCTTGTAAATTAGGATTGGTTAAAATGAATGGAAATGAATCATAAGTTACTATCAATAATCATCATTATGGTGATAAATATATAAAAATGTTATCTGAAGGTTTACGATAAAATTAAGGAATCAAAGAATTCTTTTTGAGTAATAACAGAATTAAATAAAGTGGAGCTGTATCAATTTTAACTTAAATTGGAAAATAAGCTATAGTTTTGGATTTATCAAAAAATTAAATTGGATAATTAGGAGTGGATTGTTTATGTTAATAATTATAATTGAGAGACAATAAGTAAAATTATATGTTTAAAATAGAATAGAAGTTCTCAATTTAGAAGATAATAAATTGGGTGATAAATTTGTCATTAAAATTTTATAGTGTTTAATGAGTACTACAAATAAAGTTAAATCATTAAATATTTCAAAGAATTATTTAACTAATGAAGTTGCAGATACTCTTAAAGATACAATATTATAATTAGATTTACTTGAAGAATTATATATTCATTGGGTATATTTTATTAATATTATATACTAGAACTAAATTAAAGGATTAGGAGGTTAAAAGATATTTGAAGCACTTATTGAAAATAAAACTATGATAGTTTTTGATGGAAGTTGGAATTGTTTTGGAATTAATGAAAAATCAAATTGTACTTCTAAAATTTGTGAATTTCTTATTGGAAATAAAATTATGTTACATTGTGATTTATCTGCTAATCAATTTACATTATAAGATTGTAAATTGATAGCAACAAGTTTAAAATAAAATAGAACTATGTATGGTTTTCATTTTAATGGAAATTGGGGTATTATAGATCCTAGAGGATTTTTAATTATTGATGAGAATTCTCAATAAAAACCATTAGGTGAAACACCAAGAATGAAAGGATTAGATTAAATTACAACTCTTAGATATGAAAGTGTATGTTGGATTTGTTAAGGTTGGTAAGAGTAAATTTTTGAATGGACACCAGAAGGAGAATGTGATCCTTTGTTTTTACATATGGATTTTGAAGATTACAAATAAGTATATATTCCTAAGAGATTTGATAATTTATATAAGCTACCATTAATGGTGCCTTCTGGATAAACATAATTTTTATTTACTGTAATTGATAATCAAATGGTAAGTAATAATTTTAATTAAAATGTTTTTGGTCATCTTTTAAAATTAAAAGTTAATGGCAATATTGCAATTTGTTAATTAGACAATATTAATGTAATATAAAAATTAAGACATTATTAATTAATGGATAAGAAAGAATTAAAAGCTTTAACTTCAATATTACCAAGAACTCCAGATCCTTTATATATTCCTCCTAAATTAAAAAAATAAAAAAGAATATGGACTTTTCCAATTTCAATATGGTTTAAAGATTTTAGATTTGAAAATGAAGAATTTTTAAGAAAATGTTTTGAAAAAGATTGGAGTTGTTGTAAAATTATGAAAGTTGTTAAGAATTTAGATGAACTTAATGAAGTGAAAAACCTATTATGGAAGGATTATAAAATGATTAAAGAAACTTATAGATGGTATTCATCTTATAATCCTACTGGAGATGTATGGTCAATTTCATCAAATGTAATTACAGATTTTTCATCAGCTACTGAATTGATTGACAATAAAACATTGAAACTTTCAGATTTAGATTTAAAATTCATTGCAACTTGTGCAGCTTCAATTGAATATAAAGGTAATTATCGTAATCCTGAAAGAGCATTATGTAGATATTAATTTATGGAATTTTTGGTAAGAGTTGCAGATGATAAATATTTAAAATAAAAATAAGCTAATTCAATGTTAGAATCAGTTTAAATGATACTTTAATAATGTAGACCTGTTATGGAATAATATAATGCATAAAAATGGAGAGATGATCGTTATTTTAATGAATAATGTGATGACTGTCTTAAATATTTTAAGCCATTATTGAATTAAGTGTATAATAGATTTAGTAGTAAGAAAGTAAAACCAGGATAAAAGAAATTTATGTGTTTAGATGAACTACATGAAATTTGTGGTATAGCAGGTTTATTTGATGAAAGATTTGTTGATAGAGATGCAGATTTAGTATCTATTCTTAATTTATTATTAGGCATTTAATCTATCAATGATGTTATAAATAGATGAATTAGAAAGTGATAGAATATTTTAAATGTCATTAATTGAATTTATGGAAGCAATAGCAAGAATTTCAGAAAAAGTCTCATTACCTGCTACTCCTGATATGAGTTGGGAATAACGATAATAATAACCATTGCATATTAAATTGGAAAGGCTTCTTATTTTAATAGCCTAAACTTGTGCTTCTGAGGAATATAAATAATAATTTGGAAATCCTCAAAAGAGTATATTTGATATCCAACCTGAAGATGATTGATTGATAATAAGTCTATTTAACAATTAATTAAATATATTCATAATCTAATTATTAAATAATAGATCTTATTTAGAATATTATCTTATTAAAAGATTCTATATAAAAATTAATATATTTTACATTTGAATTAAATAAACAAACAACTTAATATGTAAATATATTTTTAATTTTTTTAAATAATCATTTATATTTTTGATAAAATACTTATATATATATATATATATAATTTATTATTTCAATTAATTAAATGATATAGATATTAAAGAATATCTGATTTTCAATCATTTAATAGTGATTTTATTTACTTTGTGGTAATAAATAATATGCAATAATCAATCTCAAAAGAAGATTTAAAAACTTATCTAAAAGGTATTGGACTTCCAACTGATATACAATTATCAGTTTCAGTTGAAACATTATATCTCCTTACTAATAAACAATTCATTTATACTTTCTATTAAAATACAAATGCCCATTTAAAAGAATTGAAACCAATTTCACTTGAATTTGTGGATATTTTACACAGACTATGTGTTCAAAAGATAGGTGGCCTTTGTTATGAACATGAGTTATTACTTTATAATGTTCTTAAGCATTTAGGATTTTAAGTGGAATTAATTAGATGCTTTATTTAAAAAGCAGGACCATATAATCCTAATTAACCAACTACACACAGCCTAATGTATGTTAAGATAAATAAAGAAATCTTTCTAATTGATATTGGATTTGGTATTAGATCTTTGAGATATCCCATATTGATTGATTTCTAAAATCTAACAAATTCTTATGATCTATTTCCCTTTGAACATTTTAGAATTATAGAAAACGAAACCCTTTATTCATTTTAACATTTAATTGATGGATCATGGGTGACTTGTTATCACTTTTTTAACCCAATTCAATTTTAAACCTAATAGGATATTAAACAAGACTGTTAAAATTATCTGGCTAGTAAACAATTTTTGGTTGGAGGAGATAATAGAATTCAAATATGTAAAAATACTGAATATGGAAAAATTCAATATTTATGGTTCAGAAATGAATAACAATTTACAGCATTCAAGAAAATTCACAATTTTGATAAAGCAACAAAAATAGAATTTGCTAATTATGAAGATTTCAAAGTAGATATCAAATAAGAAATCGGATTCCTCTTACCAGAAAGGACTTAACTCAGATGAAATATATAAATATTTAAAATTTTATAACATATCTTCAATTTTTACAATTAAACTGATATTCAAAATCTACTTTATTGATATTATAAGATAAGAAAATGACAAAAAAAAATAAAGGGAATTTTTTTACACAATTATTAATGATAAAATAATTATAAACTATATTTTATTACATGATTATGTTTGGATGAATAATAATAGTTATTTTTTTTCTTATAAAAAATCAAATTAGGGTTATTTAATTATTTATATTGATCATAATTTAAAGAATTTTTAATCACAACTTTGTATCCATCTCATTAATAATTGATTTATTATGTAAAAATAAATAAAGGTGTCATAAGAAGACTTTAAGACTTATTTAAAAGGTATTGGACTTCCAACTGATATAAAATTATCAGTTTCAGTTGAAACCTTATATCTCTTAGCTAATAAACAACTAATATATACATTCTATTAAAATACTGTTTTGCATTTGAAAGATTCAAAACCTATTTCCCTTGAATTTTCTGATATATTGCAAAGATTATGTGTGTAAAAAATAGGTGGACTTTGTTATGAACATGAACTATTATTTTATTATATTCTTAAACATATCGGATTCAATGTGGAATTAATTTAATGTTTTGTTTAAGAAGCTGGATGCCCTTATGATCCTGAATTTCCAACAACTCATGCTTTTTTATATGTTACCATAGGAGATGATGAAACATACTTGATAGATCCTGGATTTGGAACAAGATCTCTAAGATTTCCAATGAAAGTGAATTTCAAAGACTTGGATGCAACTTATAATTTATTTCCATTAGAACACTATAGATTTACAGAAAATGAAAGTCATTATTAATTTTAGCATTTAATTGATGATAAATGGGTTACATATTATCATTTTTTCAAACCACTTAGATTTGCAACCATTGAGGAAATTCATAATGATTATCATTATTTATTTACATATGAAAAATTTTCAGGTGTCAGAGATAATAGATTCTAACTTTGTAAATATACAGAATAAGGAAAAATTTAATTTTTTTGGTTTAGAATGGAAAAAAAATTTACCTCATTCAAGAAAATCTTTAAATTTGATGAAGTTAAAAAAATAGAATATAAATCTTATGAAGAATTAAAAGATGATATAAAAACGGAATTAGGATTTGATTTACCAGAATTTCATTTAGTAAAATCAAATGAAAACTGATATTATTAATAAAAAGTATTATTGTTTTTATTTTATTTTGAGATGTCTAAAATTTATTTTTTTATATTAATTTAGAGTATATTTTGTTTTTTTTGATTTATTTTGTTTTCAATTTGATTATTTGATGTAAGTATCTATATATTTTTTTAATTTTCCATATTTTACAATATATTTTGATTTAGAAATAACTTCAAAGTAATAGCAATTATTTTTAAATATATAGAAAAATACTAATCAATTTAAGATTATATTTTTGTTTTTTAGAAATGAAGATAACTTGCAACACTACTGATTTGATTTTTAAGTAATCGGAAGAATTTTTCAGTTAAACTATAAAATAAAAGAATAAAGATTAATTAAATTTAAAATATATACTATTTTATTTAAAAAATTGATAATATAGTTATATTGTCGATGAATTAAATCGTTGGTTACAAGTAAATCAAAGAATAAACAATTATGTAAATAATTTAAAGTATTTTAATAATTAACTCTAATTGATAATATTAATCGAATAATTATGTAATAATTAATCTCATAAGAATAATATCAGACTTATTTAAAGGGCATTGGACTTCCAAAGGACATCAAATTATCTGTTTCAGTTGAGACCTTATATCTCATAGCTAACAGACAGTTAATTTATAATTTTTATTAAAATACTGAGTTACATTTGAAAGAATTGAAACCAATTTCACTTGAATTTGTTGATATCCTGTAAAGATTATGTGTTCAAAAGAGAGGTGGTCTTTGTTATGAGCATGAACTTTTACTTTATTATGTTTTAAAATATTTAGGATTTCATGTGGAATTGATTAGATGTTAAGTCAGAGAGCCAAATAGCCCATACAATCCAGACCTTCCTAGTACACATGCATTTTTGAATGTTCGAATAGGAGATGAAACATATTTAGTGGATCCAGGATTTGGAACAAGATCATATAGATTCCCCATAAAAGTAAACTTTTAAGACTTGACCCAAACTCATGAATTATTTGCTTAAGAACACTATAGAATTTAAGAAAATGAGACACATTATTAATTTTAACATCATATTGATGAAAATTGGGTTACCTATTATGATTTTGAGAAGCCATTGAAATATGCATCTGTAGAGGATATTCATAATGATTATTTGAATTTATTTACCTGTAAATAGTTTTTAGGAGTCAGAGATAGTAGATTTGTGATTTGTAGAAATACAGAATATGGAAGAGATTAATATTTATGGTTTAGATTGGAAAAAGAGTTTACTGCATTTAAGAAAGTTTTGAAATTTAATGAAGTAAGTAAAATTGAATTTAAATCTTATGATGAACTAAAAGAGGATGTTAAGAAAGAAGTAGGATTTGAGTTGCCAGACTATGAATTGCTTAAATGAATTGATTTATTAGAGATATATAATTCACAAAATATTAATATTTTTTTATTAATTTATTAATTGAATTAGAGTAGAGTAAAGAATAATAGAATTCATTCATTACTATTAACATTTATATCTAAATATAGGATATATGATATTTTATGTAATATAGATAATTTCATTTAAAACTTTCAGCATACCATTTTTTAGTGAATTCATCACAATCAAGCAACTGAAATCTCCATCCATTTATTATAACTTCATTTCCTACAATTAAATCTTGAGGAGCAAAATATTCATTATTATTGTTTACATTTTTGTATTTACGTTTCTCCAAAAATTTACCATCTGGGATTCCTGAATTTCTTACAGTTGGCTCATAAACCAAAAGACTATCATCATTCAAGAAAAATGTGATAACAAAAACTCTATTATTTTTATTTTTAAGAAATACATACCTATCTTTATCCTCTGGTTTTGTTGTATTGAACATAGCTAAAAATCTTAAATTGACTTGATTGTCAACCCATTTAAAGAAATCTTTTTTTGGAGGTATAGGTTAAAGTCTATATATGTAACCTAATGAATCCTATTCATCTCCTATTCCATTATGAGGTGGTATAATGATATCTAAATAAATTAATATAAATACTTGATTTTTATTCTTATTAGAATTCTTCTTAACCACCCAAAGGAAAATCTACATTAAATTTTTCTTAATAATAATATCTTGTAAATGGATCACAACCTTTAATTAAAAACTTTCTGTTGTAAATAATTAATGGTTATCCAAATTGAATATCTTATGGTCTAATAAAATCTTCTGCATAAGTTTGACCAGGTTGATTGAGTGAGAATTTACGAGGTAATTTTTATCTTCTCAACATCATTGGAAATGGAACTCTACCAGAATTGGCTGAATTGATTTCTTTAATTTCAATGGTATCATCAGCCAAATAATAATGTAAAACATAATCAATATCTGAAAATACATAAAATTTAAGCACCTATATATAAATAATAATCAATTTACTTTTCTGTCATTTTCTAAAAATTATTTTTATGATGTAACTTTGCCTCCACCTAATTTATGTTCAAGATAATCTTTCATGACTGTATCTTTTTATGGTATATACTTAGTCATAGTTTTAGTCTCAAAAGAATCACAACCTGGATTAAATGATGGTGCTTATTATTAACCTATTCCCTAATAAAATTAAAATCATTTTAAAACCTCATAAAATTCTCTAGTATATTGATCACAATCATATAATCTAATTGTTTTACCAAATATTTCAATATCTTGGTTTATTCTAAAATCTTCAGGAATAATAAATGTCTTTGATCCATCAGCTCTTAAAACCTTTAAATTATAAATATACTGCTACTTTTTATCTCTTTAGAAATGCTCCCTGAGGAACTCCACTATTTTCTTATTTGGGCTCTGTAATACTTAAAGAGTGATCTTCTAAATAGTAAAAGATTGTTATTTTGCGAATTCTGTAATTCTCTAGAGCTGATTCAACAACTGCTTCTTTAAAATAACCACTAAATCTTAGAACATGTCTATCCATCTTAACCCAACTTGGTTAATAAAGCTCTTCTGAATCATTTGCCACATTCTCATATAATATATTTTATCAAAGTACCTTTGGCATATGCATTGCATGTGTGGTGCTTAAGTAATCTGGATTAAACATTCCTGATTAAGGAGGAATTTAAACAGGCTATTTTCTAGGAACAGGGTATTCTTTATTTGGCAGTTGCTTCTATTATATTGTAAAACTTCAATTTGTTACTATTTCTCGATTTTATTCTTATTTTACAGAAGACACTTTTCTAAAGTTTGGTTTCTTAGATTAATTTTAAATATACGTCTAATTCTTATGTTGGTACAAAACCTGGTAATTTTGGGAATGCAGAAGCCATTTTATTAAATAATTATTTAAGATTTACTTTTAGCAATAGTAAAACAAATATAATCAAAGTATGACTTGAAAACTTAAGTTCTTAAACTAAAAATAAGTCACAAGAATTATTATTAATTTAAGTACTCAAAATGAAACATATTTCATATATTATTGATATAAATTTATATATAAAATAGAAGACTCATTTTTCGATTGAAACTTCTAAGTTGAATTTTTTATCTATCTATTGTGATTTATTAATAGGATTGTTCAAATTAATAGTTTATATTTAATGGGATGATTATATTTGCTCTTCTACAGGATTCTGTTTAATTTATTCTAATTTTTCAACAGCTCTAATTTCTGATTATGTTTAGGAATTATGAAGATATTACAAGAATTGACTTTCGATATAAGTTCTAAATATACTCTTAATTGTTTATTATGGTTGAGCAACATTTAAAATTTGTTGAGGGAATAAATTTGAATTACTACTTAATTGATCATGATGATGTAAGGATTTTTCTATGATACTATCTTATAATTTCACAGAAATTTTTGGTCTAGGTCTTCTTTTTAATTGTTCTAATTATTCTCTACTCAATAATATCTTCTTGATTAAATCTAAATCTTGTAATTTTTTTAGAATTGTAACAATGTCTAGATTCTTTATTATTTTCTTCTTTGCTTTACAAAATTGTTGATGTTAAAATTTTTTAAAACCAAATATTATTAGAAGATTTTAAAAACAAGAAGATTAATTTTTTGATTCTTTATTTTGTGTGTTTTAATCGATTGAACAAAAACTTGGTAATTTATTAGAAGGAGATTAAATTTCCCTTTCAATTGAAAGTATTTAACCTGATGAAGATATTTAGTCTTGTAAATCATCTTCATAACTGTATAGAGATGAGGCAATCTCAAATTTCATTAGATTATCAATTAAAGGTTTAAGAAATATTCCTACAATCATAGTTAAAATTTATAGGATTCCTCCTATTTTAGCAAGAATAGTTTGGAGTTTAATATAAGTTCTTTTAATATTGGTTTATTTAAAATCTAATTTAATGTAATGGCAAACCAAATATTAATGATTATAGAATTCAGAAACTTCTCTCCATTCTGATTATTACAAATTTACATCCTAACTATCATCTTCCCAAATTAATCCATGATCTGTTTAGGTTTGCATGATTCTATATGAATGTACAATAGTTTTAGATGTACTTAGAGTAAAACTAGTGAATTCATTTGTGATTATTTATTGATATGGTTGTCTAGATTCAAATTAAGTTAAGAAATCGCTTTTATATACATTATATTATCCTTATTCTAAAACTTAATTAATCTCTTCTTGAGGAGCACATCCCTAAAAATCAGTTGTGTTGTGACAAGGTTTAAATCTAATTATCAAATATTTATAAGTTTGAGCATTAAACTATCCTTACAACTTCTTATATATAATTATGATATAATTACAAGTGGATTTTATTATAGATATTCACTGTTAATGCATTAGACTGTGCCGAATCTAATCGTGGAAAAATACTCTTTCTGTAATTCAGTTCTAAAATGAGACATATTACATGTTTCAATTGGAATATCTTGACAACTAAAAGTTTAACTAAAATACTATACTTTAGTAACACAGTAGTGTTGCCTGTCTATTCATCTTTAATTCTCTGTCTTATACATTAGCTAATGTTTAGACGATAATATTTATTTATTCCTTATTTTGGTTCAGAAAATTAGCTAGCAATGGACACAGCTAGTGTGAAATTTTTATTAGTAAGTGAATACTCCTAAAAATCAATAAAAAATATACTTCAGTCTCAACTACTTGAATTTCCGATTAATAAATGCTAGGCATTTATTTAAGAATCATTGAAACTATCTCAGAATTTAGATAATATAAGGCCAAACAGCCAATTACTAAAGACATTAAAAATCCAAAATTTGAAGTATATCTACTCTTATTTAATACTGTAAAGCTTGGTAATTGTCCAAAAATATCAAACTAATGAACTGTTTCGTTTTTTATTGTTATCATAGTATTTTAGAGCTTTTTAAATATCTTTGACATAATTTAATTTGAAATTATATATCATTCGTTGTGTGTAGATATAAAAGACACAAAATAAATAAAAATTCTTAAATCATTAACAATGATAATTTTTAAGACTTACCATATATTTTTGAAAGAAATTTTGTTTATCAAATTAACAAGTAAAATTATTTTGATACAAATGAATTATAATAAATTTATTATCAGATGATGCAATTCGAGTAAGCGATTAATTTTAGAATAATTGTTATGTCATTTTTTGTATATAAATATAAGACAAACTATTGTATATCATATTAATCAAAACAGAATTCCTCTATATTTTCAATTAAATAAAAATATATATTTATATATAATATTGTTATAATGAAAAATAAGTAGCAATAGAGGCAAGAATATTTGGTTTAAGTATAAGTAATAGAAGTTAGAGATCTTAAAGGTGGAGATAAGACTGGAGCTTGTGATCCTTTTGTTAAGATCTCTGTAGGTAATTTGCCTCCCTAAGTAACTACAACTAGAAAAGCTGCAAATACTGCTGTATTTAACCAATCATTTACATTCACTGGATTATTAATGAATTCAATAGAATTTGAAAGTTTTGAGATAAAAATTGAAGTGTACGATTTAAAACAATTTGGATAAAATTAACTTATTGGTATATACTCAGTTGGAATTTCAACTCTCTATAGAAATCCTGCTCATGAAATCTTTAATACTTGGTTACCTTTAGTTCATCCTAAACAAGGATTAGAACCATAAGGATTTTTATTGGCATCTGCATATGTTATTTCACCTACTGATCGTCCACCTGTTCATGATATGAATGAAAACAATGTAGAAGAAGAACCTGATGAATTTGGAGGTGTTCCAGATGATTAATTGAATCCAGAATAATTATAAGCAAGAATGGAGAGAAAGAATAGAATTGCTGTTGTTTCTAAACCTGAAATTAGAGGAAAATCTTATTAATTAATGGTTAATATTGCAAAAGCAGAAGATTTAGCATTAATGGGTTATCCTACTCTCGATAGTTTTATATCTGTAAGAGCAGGAGGAACAGCATAAATAACATCTGTAATGAAAAACTAATAGAAACCCTAATATTTATCTAGATTGATGTTCCCTTTACATTTTCCTTTTTTTAATGATAAAATAGTTGTAAGAGTTTGGGATAGAAGAACTATGGCAACAGATACTTTTATAGCTATGATTCCAGAAGTTCCAACAGAAAACGATTATTTTAATATCAATTTTTTATAGAGTAAAGGAGGAACTATGCCATTTAGATGGTTCAATTTATATGGAATTCCTTAAGATGAAAGACCAGGTGGATTTCAATAGGCATTTTTGGGTTATAAAAAAAGTATTATTGGTACTGATTTCATGGGTAGAGTCTTAATGTCAATAAATCTTACATAAAGTGAAAAACCTGAATTAATGGTAGTGCCATTAACAACTTAAAGAGAACCTCCTATTGATAAATATTTATTGAGATTTGATACATATGAGATTTAGGAAGCTAAAGATTGTGGAGAGAAGATTGTTGTAAAATTCAAAGTTGGTGGATAAGTCTTTAAATCAAATGAAGCTTATATAAAGACAGAGAAGAAAAGTAAATATAAGTAGAAGGCTTAGAGTGAAAATAAAGAGATTTAAGGAATTACTTATACTTGGGGTAAATAAATTTAAACAAAAGATGAGAAATTGGATTTACCTGCAGATCCACAATAAATTCCAGATTTGATTGTATCGTTACATAATGAAAAAGGGAAAAGAGTTGCATATTTGAGAATTCCATATTCAGACAAAGATTTAGAAATAAATAGACCAAAATGGTACACATTCAAAAGTGTGAAATAAACAGATAACAATGATATTCCTCACAGTTTTTTTTTAGTTAATATAATATTTCGAAATGAAAGCACAGTGTTTAAGATTCCTAAAATTATAGTTAAAAGAGATTAATAAGTATATTATCATTTGTATGCATAATTTTATGCTGGATATGATTTATGTCCAGATCTGTATTCAGAAGAAGTTGAAGCAACTTTTGTAATGAAAATAGGTGGTCAATATTTAGAATTAGATAAACCATAATCAGGAAAGAATCCAATATGGAATAAGGCATTTGAGAAAATTGTGAAAATTGATTAAAATCTTGAGTTTGCAAGTAATATTATAATAACATTTACAAATAAAAAGAAAACTAGTTCATGGTTTAGTAATAATCATATTGGAGATATTTGTATTCCTGCTCTTGTTTGTAAATATGAAGGTGAACCAATCTTTGCATTTCATCACATAGTTAATCAAGGTTAATCTGCTGGAAGAATTTTAGCAGCATTTAAATTAAAAGAATTAGGAAAGAATAAAGAATCCTTTTAAGAAAAACCAACTCCTATTATTCCTTAAGAAGGATTCATATAAAAATGGGCTTAATTCCCTGTTTTTGGAGTGAGAAATTTAAAATAGAAAATGAAAGATCCAAAATTAATTGTTTAAGTACCAGTTCCATTTAATATGGTTGATCCAAGTGTTGAGAATTCAACTTATTATAATCGTGAGCCTTGTGAAATTATTTAGGCTTAAAAAGATTTATTAGAAAATGATAAGAGTTGGTTTGGAGGAGGAATATAAGATCCTGTCTTTTTAAAATTAGTAAATTTAAAAGTTTATTTGCCAGAAGATATTAAATTCTATCCACAATTAGAAATTTAATTATCTGATTCATTTAATAAAAATGAAAGATATATATGTTCAATTCCTTTGATTGAAGTTGCTTAGACAAGAGATTAACTTTTAATTGATGAAGCTAGGAATTTTTTTGAATAAGGGAAACATTTTGATGATATATAATTAAATGCAGGTAAAAATGAGGATCTGTAAGAAGATAATGATAATGTTGTTGTAAATAATGATGCAGCATCATAAAAATAATTAGATTAAAAAGATACTGTTATGCCAAAAGAAACTCAGCCTAAAGAAACAGTTAAATAAAGTGTTGCACCTGAAAAAATGAGTTAATAAAAGTAGAGTAATTAATCTGGTAAATCACAAAAATATTCAACAATGTCAAAATTAAATGTAATGGCAGAAAGACCAGATTTAAAAATAAAATCTAATTTAAAGAATAAGGGAATTTAGAATGTTGAAGTTACTGAAATGACACATCTTACTTTAGAATTAGATGATATCATAGAAAAAAAGAAGGAGAATAAAGAAAAAGAAAAGAAGTTATTAGGAATGATTAAAACTTATAAAGTAAAATATAAGAAATTTGATTAATTGAAATTATTGATCAAAAGAGAAGTTGAAAAACTCAAAGGAGTTGAAATTAAAGAAACCAATTATTTTAAAGGAACTAATGAAGTAGATGAGGATGAAGGTTATGATTATGGTAGAGAAGTTTTAAAGGGTCCTTATGAAGAAAAATTAGCTCCAAAGATTCCCTTTAGAAGATTTGCTTTATATAGATTATCTTCAACTAAATATGGATTAATTGGAAATCCAACTGATGCTGTTATTAAAGGAGATATTAGAATTTCAGATAATGGGGGAACTGTTATTGATAATTAGAAGTAAACCAAAAAATCGAAGATGTCAAAGAATTCAAAAAAAAAATCATCTGTAAAGGATGTTCCAGATAAACCAGATGATTATTCATTTAATTTATTTGATGAAGGATTTCTATAATTCTTCAATTAGCCTTATAGATTAAAAGTTAGATTATACATATTAAGATGTCTTAATTTAGCAGCATAAAAATAAGATATAGATGCTTATCATAAAATGGCTGGACTTTCAGCTGTATGTTCAGCTGATTCCTATCCAGAAATATTTATAGGGGAAAGTGGACATGATAATCAAGATTTGATTAAACACATTACTGATTAGGATAGACCAATTGAAAATACATTAAGTCCTAATTTTTTTAGAATGTATGAATTAGATGCAGAATTACCTACTGATTGGAAAATGAAATTACATATTAAAAGTAAAGGAATGTTTGATTCTGTTATTGGTAGCATCCAAATTGATATTGAAGATAGAGTTGTTGGTGAAGAAAAATTAAAATAAAGAATAGCTTATACTGTCTTTAAAGAAAGGTTTGAAACTGAAAAAGAAGCTTTAAAATATGATGATAGTCAGAATGCTGAAAGACGTAAAGGTTATCTTTCAGGATAAATTACTGATTTATAATAAAGAATTGAAAATTTTGATAAGAAATTTAAGGTTCCTGTTGAGTATAAGGATTTAAAAATAGATGGAAGACAACAAGCATCTTAAGGAACTGTTGAGATGTTTCTAGAAGTCTTACCTATTGATATTGCAAGGGATATTGAACCTGCCCCATTATAGGCACCATTACCATAAGAATATGAGGTAAGATTAATCATTTGGGAGACTTTTGAAATTCCAAAGGTAGCTACTAAAAAAGTTGTTGATATAATGGTAACTGTAGCTATGGATGCTTCTGCTACAGGTAAAGATGCAGAAGTATCCAAAGAAACTGATGTACATAATGGTAGTGAAAATGGTGATGGATCTTTCTCTTATCGTATGAGATTTCCTCTTGTTATTCCATGTCCATTTCCAAGATTAAAGATGACCGTTTATGATTTTTCCCCTTTTGGTTCAAATGAATCTCTTGGAGAAGCAACTATGTCATTAAAACCGTAATTAATTATGTTTTATCTCTAGAATTATTAAAAGACTTTCCAGGGATGGTAAATATGAAATGCCTCCTACCAAAATTAAACTATCTCATCCTAATTATCCAGGATAAAATAGAGGCTAAGTGCTTATTCAAATGAAGATTCTTACAAAACAATAAGCTGATGGTTAACCGGTGGGAGATGGATAAGACGAACCAAATGAAGATCCATACTTAGTTAAACCAACTGAGGGAAGAGGGTTGGCAGATTTTTTCAAGGGAGCAGGCTTTGGTATGGGCAATTTTATGCTTTATGTCAAAATCTTTGCTGGAATATTTATCACTGTTGTTGTTGTGATGATTTTATTCATTAAACCAGGCATTTTGGTTAATTGATAAAATATTTAGTATATATAATTATTATTACTTTTAATTAAAAAAATATTTCATTCTGTCAAACTTTGAATTTGAATTATCATACCATTATTTCAATTATATGTAAACAAGAATACAAAACCATGAAGTATAACAAGGAAAGTTTAAAAATTTTTAAGAAAGGTGAAAATATAATCAAAAGAAACTCAAATGGTTCTCATAAATCATAAGTCATTAAAATATCATAATTAAATATATAGAAGATAATTCAAATTTTAATTATATGAATATTATAATGATTTCATTATCTAGATCTCAAATTTTGTCCTCTCAAAGAATTTCCTGAATTGGCTAATTATGCAAATGATAATGGGGTTGTTAAACATTCTTAAGATGATTTGAATTTATGCATGTTTCCAGTGAAGTTCTCACCATCATAAACTGTCAAACCCAATCCATCAGGTATATATATTGATCTAATTTAAGCCTTGAATTCCCTAAAATATTTATTATAAAAAATACTCAATTTCACTTAAACTGTTACAAGCTTCTAAAGCTTCTCCCTTGAAGTTACATTAAGAATAAATAATTATACAATTTCCTTAAACTAATTGTTTACTAGTGGTAGAATCTACTGCTTTAAGATCTTTTTATAAATCTTTATAATTACCATCTTGCTTTTATTAATTCTAGTCACCTTAATTGCCATTATTTCCATGGTCATCTCCTTATCCTTATCCATTACCATTTCCTTATCCTTATCCATTAGAATCTCCATCGTCTTATCCTTATCCAGTTGCATGTCCTTATCCTTATCCATCGTCTTATCCTTATCCTTATCCTTATCCATCATCTTATCCTTATCCTTATCCTTATCCATCATCTTATCCTTATCCAGTTGCATGTCCTTATCCATCATCTTATCCTTATCCATTAGAATCTACATCATCTTATCCCTATCCTGTAGCATCTCCTTATCCTTATCCAGTTGCATGTCCTTGTCCTTATCCTTATCCATCATCTTATCCTTATCCATCATCTTATCCATCTCCTTATCCATCTCCTTATCCTTATCCCTATCCTTATCCTTATCCTTATCCTTATCCTTATCCTTATCCTTATCCATTAGCATCTTCATCACCTTACCCTTATCCAGTAGCATCTCCTTGTCCTTATCCAGTTACATGTCCTTATCCTTATCCAGTGGCATGTCCTTATCCATCATCTTATCCTTATCCTTATCCATCATCTTATCCTTATCCTGTAGTATCTGCTTGCCCTTGTCCTGCAGCACTGCCATCATCTTATGCGGTAGCATTGCCATCCCCTTATCCTGGAGTACTACCATTACCTTAAACAGTAGCATCTCCATTGCCTTATCCTGTTGCATTGTTGTCTCCTTAATATGAATTACTACTTATACCTGTTTGCTATTATCCTTATTCTTATTCTTCTTCTGGTTTTTCCTCTCCTTAGCCTGAACCTTAATCTGGATCTTCATCATTTTTAGTGTCTGGAATCTTTTTAACTTTTGATTTATCAACACTAACTTCACTTTAAGCAAAACCATTTTCCATATCTGAAGATGATTACAAGTTATCTGTATTTGTAAGAACTTCAAATGCCATATTTGGATCAACTTCATTTTAACTTAAAGTGTTTGAAATATTAGTCTCAGTAGTAAATCCAACATTTGATTCTAAAATATTTTAAACATCAATTTGATTATCTTATGGTATTACAAGATTATTTGGATCAATATAATTTGGATCAACTTGAGTTATTTCATTTGATTCTGCAATAAAATTAGTGTTCTGAATTTCATTGACAACCTCTGAATTAACATCTGCTAAATTAGAAACCTCATTGCTTTCTGTAGCTAATGCTTCTTCCACAATTTATTAGGTTGGTTCAACAGCATTAATATCATTTGGATCATTAATGCTATACATAGAATCTTATTCAGGCATAGAGTTGTCTAAATTATCATTCATCACCATAGAATCCTCTGTATACATTGAATTAGGGTCAACATTCATACTATCAATTTCAGGTTAATCTTAATTCATGGGAGCTTCAAGATTGCTACTTTCAATAGATTCTTATTCAGGTGTAGAGTAATCCATACTATCAGTTCCAATTGAATCCATGCTACTTGAAGATAAATCTTATTAATTCATGATCATTGAATTCATGCTATCAATGTCTTCAGACACTTGTAAGGAGTTGTCTTCCTAAATCAAATTGCCATCCAAATCATAATGAGTTACTACTGCCTCAGGTGTTTGGGCAAAAGGTGTTGTGATCAAACATACAAAAAGTAAGTACTTAATCATCAAAACGGATTAAAAATATTATATTATTCAAGATCAAATTTGGATAAATATTATTTGTTATATGTATTTTTTTACAGCCAATCGTTTCTCTAAGCTCAACACAAGTATTATTTAATCAAATTTTATACTGAATATATATACTACACAATAAAGTGTATCTATAATTGCAACATAAATACCTTCATTTTGATATTGATTTATAAATATTTTTATTTTAAATCCAAATAATTTTGATATTCAAATTCATTAGATGCAAAACCTTAAAAAAAAACTAAATTTTATTTTTGTAGGATTGATAAGTTTAAATAAACTACGCATAATTAATAATATAAAAAACCTAACTGTTTAATTGGAAACTTATATCTCTAAAATATAAATAAACATATACTTCTTGAATTCTGATATTTTTATTAATAGATATAAACATTTCAATTTATTCATTATTTAAAAATAAGAATTAAAAATTATCATATGATCTCTTATTATTTTTATTTTTAAGTGTGATAGGAGTTGATAGATTAATAATTTATTTATAAAATTGTAGAATATTGAGATTTTATAAAATTTATAAGTATACTTTGATTCACAAAGTTTTTACAATAATTATAATCTATATGACAATTCATTTAGAATAATTTATTTATATAGTCTTATTTTCTATGAATTTAATTCAATATTTACTATTCCAAATAACCCTTCTTTGATATTTTTGTAAATCTAAATTGTATAGTAATTCTAATTTTAATTTATTTTTAACAATGAGTTATTTAAACAATATTATGATTGTGAATCAGAGAAATATTTCATAATATTTAATGAGAAATATAATGATTGCTTTTAATAGCTTATTATTAATTATCATATAAAGGCTCGTTTATCCCCTCCTCTTACTCTAAGTTTTTTCGAGAACGCGGATGGTAATTCATATTTACCAGGGCCTGGTGTTGTACTAGTTGATCGAAAGGGATCTTTTTTTTCACCTATCCCTTAAGTGATGTCCTAATCAATAAAATTTGGCTTTTTACTTTAAATCGAGAAGGCGAGGTAAGTTTTGTTGTAGGAGAATAAGCTTCAGGACCTGGAACTCCATTTTCTGGATTATCATTCATCATTTTGCCTTTCCCTTTCAATAAAAATTTATATTTATGTTAACCTAAATCTTTTCTAACTTTATATTCTCCAGGACCTCTTATTAAGTATGAATAATTACCAGGTAAAAATTTGGCAAATTCTGGAGCTTAGTTCTTATTATAGGGCAGATATGTTTTAGAGTATAATTCCCATGGTCCTCCGAAAGACCTTTTTAATTTATCCTTTCCAGGGATTTCTCTTACATCATATCTATCTGGACTTGGCATTTCTTTAGCATTTGTTTCTTACCATGTCCATTAAAAATTTTCTATTCTTCCCCCAAATCCTTAAGAAGTTGTTTTATTTCCTAATTGACTTGGAAGTTCTAAAATTTAAATATTATATTCTGATTAAGAATTGAATCTATGAGCTCTTGGAAATGAAAATTAGAGAGCTGTATGTCTTAAAGTTGATGAAGAAATGTTGGAACTTAATCCTTATTAATTTACAAAAAGTTTGTTAGTACTAAAAAACCCTTAAGAACTTGACATTGNATCATATGATCTCTTATTATTTTTATTTTTAAGTGTGATAGGAGTTGATAGATTAATAATTTATTTATAAAATTGTAGAATATTGAGATTTTATAAAATTTATAAGTATACTTTGATTCACAAAGTTTTTACAATAATTATAATCTATATGACAATTCATTTAGAATAATTTATTTATATAGTCTTATTTTCTATGAATTTAATTCAATATTTACTATTCCAAATAACCCTTCTTTGATATTTTTGTAAATCTAAATTGTATAGTAATTCTAATTTTAATTTATTTTTAACAATGAGTTATTTAAACAATATTATGATTGTGAATCAGAGAAATATTTCATAATATTTAATGAGAAATATAATGATTGCTTTTAATAGCTTATTATTAATTATCATATAAAGGCTCGTTTATCCCCTCCTCTTACTCTAAGTTTTTTCGAGAACGCGGATGGTAATTCATATTTACCAGGGCCTGGTGTTGTACTAGTTGATCGAAAGGGATCTTTTTTTTCACCTATCCCTTAAGTGATGTCCTAATCAATAAAATTTGGCTTTTTACTTTAAATCGAGAAGGCGAGGTAAGTTTTGTTGTAGGAGAATAAGCTTCAGGACCTGGAACTCCATTTTCTGGATTATCATTCATCATTTTGCCTTTCCCTTTCAATAAAAATTTATATTTATGTTAACCTAAATCTTTTCTAACTTTATATTCTCCAGGACCTCTTATTAAGTATGAATAATTACCAGGTAAAAATTTGGCAAATTCTGGAGCTTAGTTCTTATTATAGGGCAGATATGTTTTAGAGTATAATTCCCATGGTCCTCCGAAAGACCTTTTTAATTTATCCTTTCCAGGGATTTCTCTTACATCATATCTATCTGGACTTGGCATTTCTTTAGCATTTGTTTCTTACCATGTCCATTAAAAATTTTCTATTCTTCCCCCAAATCCTTAAGAAGTTGTTTTATTTCCTAATTGACTTGGAAGTTCTAAAATTTAAATATTATATTCTGATTAAGAATTGAATCTATGAGCTCTTGGAAATGAAAATTAGAGAGCTGTATGTCTTAAAGTTGATGAAGAAATGTTGGAACTTAATCCTTATTAATTTACAAAAAGTTTGTTAGTACTAAAAAACCCTTAAGAACTTGACATTGTATCTCTCATATCAAGTGACCCACTACTTCTAAACCTCCTTTTTAAATAGTTGGTATTCTCCATATTCACTTGTTTTTAATTTAATAATCAAATAAAAAAATTATTTTACAAAATAAATATCATTATTCAAGACTTAAAGTAATTTCAAACTCAATATAAGTAAGAAATAAATAAGGTTATATAATAGAATCTCTTTCAATAATAATTAAATAAATAATCATTAAATAAAAAGTGAAAAATTTGGATTTCAACATTTTCAAAATTTCATTATCAACTATTTTCTATATGAAAAAATTATTATATTTTTATAGAATAATCAATTAATTAATGATTAATTTTTATAGATTCAAATCAAATTTTAAATGTATATAATTCTAATATTTCTTTTATGATAATTCATTCCAATTAATTAATAAAACCTTCTATATTGTTATAAATTGTTTACTTTATTTTAATTTAAAACATGTAACTTTTTAATTCTAACATAATACTCTTATTTTAATAATGATTTTCATTAAACTATAAATAATGTGAATGAATCGATTATGAATATATAAAATTGAAAATAATACAATCGATGATTCCAATATTTTATTGGAAGTTTCTTATTTTTTTAAATTAATTTTCAATAGCATCTTAAGCTGTATAGTTAAAATTAATTACTTACAGAAAACTTAACAATTTAATTTAATAATATTATTTCTATAATGACATGCATTCAAAAACTATTACTTTGATATTTATTGAACCATTAATAATATATAGATAAATTAACATTTCTTTTATGAAAATCTTAAGATATAAATTTTATATTGCAAATCAGTTTATTATATGTGTTCATCAATTAAACATTTACTAAGTTATAGTTTATGGAAACCAAACTTAATATCAACAATAAGAGTTATAATTAATCCAAAAATTTTAAGAAGATGAAAAATCGAGAAAAAATAAATTCAATTTTTCAATCTTATTTCTACTTCAAAATATGATATTTAATTTATTAATGCCTAATATATTGGAAAGCTTTAGTAAGGGTTTGTTAAAATTGAAAAATGAATTTATGTATCAATTAGACATTTTCGGTCAACTTCCAAGCTTTACAGTACTTAATAGAAATAAATACACATCTAACTTAGGATTTATAATGTCAATTTTAATAGGAACACTAACTGCATATTATTTGATTGTTGAAATCCAATAAATGCTTTCAAAATCAAAGCCATCGATATATTAAACAGAAATCCAAGTTATAGAGACAGATGTAAAGTTAATTATTTTTATTTAGTCTTATTATCTCAATAATGAAAATTTTACTTTAGCAATAACAATAGCCAATCGTTTTTCAGAACCTTTGATAGGAATAAACAAATACTTTAATTTAAACGTGAGTCAATGTACTAGAGAACGAATAAAAAATTAATCAACAGGAAATATAACAGTGAAACTGGAGTATAACTTAATGGTATTTAGATGTGATGAAATCCCCTTAGAGCCATGTAATATGTCACATTTTACAACAGATCTTTAAAGAGAATACTTTAAGACTATAAGATTTGGAGCAGTGTAGTGTATTAATAGAGATTATTAAAAGAAAAATCCACCGGTATTGATATATTTTATAATTAATTAGGTCTTAAAGGGTTAATTTAATGCCTTAGAATACAAATATTTATATATATAATTCACAGTTTGCAAGAATACTAGCACTTATCAAGGTTGTGCACCAAAAGAAGAGATAGATGATATCTTATAAGCAGGACATTATAATGTCTATAAAAGCGATTATATATCCCAACTTGATCATCCTGGTGAACCATATAAATAGATTATTACAAATGAATTCACAGGTTTTTCTCATAGTACATCCAAAACAATTGTGTAGCAGTACAGAATTTTACAAACTACAACAGATGATGGGTTAATATGGGATCTTTAAAATATATAATAAAATATTTAATAAACAGATTGGAGAGAAATATCAGATTTTTATAATTAACAATATTTAGTTCTCCATATTATTAAGTTAGACTTCAAATAGACTAATCATATAAGAACTTATATAAAATTATAAACAATTTTAGGAAAACTTGGTGGTATATTGCAAATCTTTATTATGGTTGTTACTATACTATCTAAACCTATTATTGACAATTTGATGAAGTTAGAAATAGCAAATTCTCTCTACAGATTTTATGGATAATCAGAAAAATAAAGTTAACGTTCAAATTAAGTTTAAATTATTTAGACTGAAAGAGAATTCTAACATCAAAATAATAATTCTAAGATTTAAGGTTTAAATAGTGATAGAAATTAAAAGTTAAATAAATCTATGTTTGAGACATTTTTAATAATATTTGGATTTTAAAAAGAGAAACATTAATAATTTATGAAAGCAAGAAAAAAAATTATAAAGAATTTAGATATAGTAACAATCCTAAAAAAATTATAAGAGATAGATATGTTGAAGAAGATTTTATTTTCTAAAGAGTAGATGGAAATAATAAAGAATTTACCACGGCCTTTGATTGATTAGAAATCATTAATTTCTTAAAAACTGTTAGAATGTGAAATAGATAAAGAGAAAGATAATCAATCTAATATTTAATCACCACTTTAAAGTTAATAAATAAGACTCAGTTAATCTCATTTCTTTCCAAGAATGAATTCAGTTTTTTCAAGATGTTAAATTGATAATTAATTACAATTATATTTAGATAATTGCAATGTAATTTATTAATAAATTAATAGGATTCTTAAAAAAATAAAGGAAAATTTTAAAATAGTTTATTGAAAAGTCCTTCCTCACCTTTATCAAATAGTCAATTAATTAGATCTGATGAGATAGAAGAACCAATTCCATAGAAGCCAAAATAATGAATTAACTTATATATATGAATCTTTTTAAAATTAAATTATTAATAAACTTGAATAGACTTATAATCATTCAGAGCAATTTAATATTAGATGGTCTTTTTTTAGGTTCCCTTTTACGATTAATCACTGGAACTTCCAAATATAATTCTTCATCAGGAACTGAATGTTAAAAATTGAAATTTTTACTTTCATAATCATCATCAAATTCATTTTTAACCACATATTAATTGAGTTTAGAAGGTTATTAAGTATAAATTAATGTTCTTTTTGTATTGGATGGAGTTAATTATAATTTAGAATTCATATTATTTAATGCATTCAATCCACTTTATTATTGTTAAATTATTGTCATTCTTACATCCATTTCACTCATTTCTCTTAATTCAATAATAGTTCTTAAACTTGGAAGTGGTTTTTTTCTTTTTCTTTCCACTTTTAATGATTTAATTTTACTTTTTACATTCACAAACCAATGATGTTTAGTTGCTTCTTTTATTGTCAATCTTTTATCTCATATTATAAAAAACTTACTTGCATCAATATCTAACATTTTTCTTAATAGATCCAATTATGAAGAACTAACTTTACTTTTCTATTGATTTTATTAAAAACCAACTTTTAATTATTATTCACTTTCATCAATACGATTTTTTTAAATCTCAAAATTGTCCATAACAGTATAAAAATCTTTATCTTCATTTTTAATCTAAAAGTTTATTTTGTTTATAATACTTCATATTTTTTTGAATCATAATAAGTCATAAAATATAATACACATCCTAATGCATATATATCAGTAGATATGTTTGGTGCAATTCCTTCAAAAACTTCAGGTGCTAAGAAAGACTCTACTGCTCTATTTAAAATCCAATCTAATTTATCATTAACCTTGTATTCTTTGAATGACAAATTTATAAGTGTTATTTATAACATTTAATGTTAAGTATTGATTAATATATTCTATGGATTAATGCTACCATGATAAAATTAATGTTAATTGAGAAATTTAACAACTTAAAGTATTTAATATATAATCTAATATTAATATTGAAAATATTACAGATGCTATTTATACTTCATGTATTTAGAGATTAGAATTTAATAAATTAAAGAGAGTTTCTCCTTTATAGTATTCATATACTATAAATAGATACTTATTATTCTCATATACTCTTTTTAATTCAAGTAAAGATTAATGTTTAATACTTCTCAATATTTATATTTCATTATAAACAGCATCTTCCAATTCTTAACATTATTCGAAATCATCACTTTTATATATCTAAACAGTATATTAAGTTTTCTTATTTTTCTTTGTACATGTATAAAATCCAGGTAGCAATTTATCACCCAATTTATATTTGTCTAAGAAACCTGTGAGTTTACAAAATTATTTCATTTATTTATACCAAGTACGGAAGGTTACAAAATTGGAAAAGAATAAATAAGTAGTGCCTATTGAATTTGTTAAGAGCATGCCAAAAGCTTATTATGATCTGTGTTAGATCATTTTCTAAGTAATTGTACACTCTGATAAAGATAAATAATAGGTAGCTCCACTTTGATTAAATTGAGATTATGGTATTTATAACATTGTATTTTTAATTGTTACCTTTATTAATAAATTTGGCATTAATATAAATTTACTAGATTCTAATGTTCCATTCCAAAATGTATAAAGTTATGCATTCAAAATTTCATCTGATTCTTTTAATTACCCAAATTGTTCTTACTTTAGTATATGCATATGTTAAGATTCAAAATCCTCTTGTGAAAATTCATTAGGATACTTAAGAATCCAATTCAAGTTTTCTTCATTCACATTTTATCTTCGACTCATTAGAAAATTTAATATAAATTTGTTTATAGTTTTCATTATTGTATTTTCAATCATCATCAGAATCCTAATTATCTTTCATGTATCTATCAATGAGTTTTTGATATTCTTCTCTTGGAATTGAAGACTCTGAAGAATATGATTCTTGTTATTATTCAATCATTGGATATTACTCTTATTGAAATACATTAGGTTTATTAAAGGATCTCCCATTTAAACTAGTAATAACCGAATCAATTTCTTCCTCTTTCTAAGAAAATTATAACTATTGTGAAAGCATTTCTCTTTATTAAGGAGTCTGCATAACACTTGATCCAAATTATTCAGCAGATTTTTAAACAGATTGTTAAGGTGTATATTCTTAATTAGTTAAATTGAAACTTAGAGTATTAGTTTTGAAATAATTGGATTAGATCAAATTTTATTGTTATGCTGAATAATTTTATTATTATTAAGAAGATTAATAATAAGGATATTAAATTTATTATTATTAATGACTATTATTTTAATGAAATTATTATTATTTCTGTAAGCTAACATCAGAAATCTATTGGTCTCTTTGAGATCCTACAGATGATCTCTTTTAATATTATTATGATATTCTAAGGTTTTTACGTTTTAGTAATTCTTAAGCTATATTAAAATCTTCATCTGATGATTCATCTTGATAATTTTGATTTTATTGAAAACTATCAGATTAGACAGATGGATCTTTATTATAATTATAATATTGATTATGATTTTATTTTAATTTGTTCTCAAGAGCCTTAAATTCTTCACAGAATCTAATGGTCTACTAATTTTCTGGAGTTTTTATTATTTCTTTTGTTTAAATCTATTCTTCTTTTTTAAAAAAGTTGGATGTATGTGAATTCATTGCAAAACTGTCAGTTTCTGTTTAAATTTATTTATCTGCTGAATTTTAATGTAGATTTTTGTGATTTCCTAAATCCATTGTTTATACTTCAATATGCTTTTTTTGTTCATGTTTAGGTACATTTACAGGGGTATAATGTCTTGGGATCACTCTTTATTTATCTTATTTGGTTTCAGGTTTAATTACTTTTCTTAAAGGAGAAATCTCCTATCTTTCTTAACTGTTTGATTCAAACTATAACTGTTTCAAACTGTTAGTGAATTCTTCAATTTCTGCTTTTAATTGTAAAATCTCACTCTTTTATTATTTTGGAGGAAGTATTGAAGGTGTTATTGGATGTTAAGAGACTTTAGAATTATTTTCTTTGTTTTCAATCTCATATTAAGTGAATGAGTCAAATTTATTCACTCTTGTAAGTAGCATCTATTCTTGAATTAATTGTTCTTGTTATTATAACTTCTTTATAACTTCAAGAGATTCCTTGAATTTCTCTTCAGTCTATTTCTATTCCTTTTTAGCTGATTCAGAAAGTTATTTATATTTGTTTACTTACTTTTTGCATTCCTCTTCTTTTTTTCTTATTTACTCTTATAGCTTTTTATTTTCTTCTTATTCTTATGCTAGTCTTTTTATTAGATCTCCTATTTTTGCCTTGTCTTCTTAACATAAATCCTTTATTGTTACAGAGGGACTTGTAGTACGATCAATATTCTTGTCATTTTCATCATCAAATTGAAACTTAAGTGTGTTTTTAATCGAAGTCAATTTATTTTAATTTCCTTGTTGCTTAGTTTGAGCTATGCGAGTAGTTCTCATATTTAATTAATGTCAATTATTGTTAAAAAATTTCTAAAGACAAACCTTTTAGAAAAGCAACACTTTAATAAACATACTGAAAGAGAAAGAAAACGATTGGAGTACATTTATAAATCAATATTGGATCGTAAAGCCTATCTTTGTTTATCACCTACTGAACAATACATTTTGAACGATAAAGTATTTGCATTGATTCTTATTTAAAAGTCATTAGATCATTCAAGATAAGAGTAGCGAATTTATGATTTCAAAACTCCTTTTGATAATGATAATTGTGCTGAAAAGAAAGAGAGATCAAAGGAAATGACATTAACCATGGCACTTTCATCAATGAAAAATAGTAATCAAATTTAGTAAAGAACAATGTCTAAAAAGAGACTAACCTTTTTAGAATCTATTGTATTTTCTCCAGATGGAACTATTAAAATTCTTTGGGATTTTTTATGTATGCTTCTAATATTTTATGAAATATTGTCTATCCCTTTTAGAATTAGTTTTGATTTCGAAATAAGTAATGATCTAAGTACATTTATCACTACTATTTTCTTAATTGATATTGCAATAACATTTAATACTGCAGTTTGGATAAAAGGGACAATCAATTATAAATATTCAGTGATATTTAGATAGTATATGAAACTTTGGTTTTGGCTGGATTTAATTGCATCTTTCCCCTATGATATGGTATTAAACGAAACAATCATAATTAGATTATAGAATCTGTATTAGTAACAGATACCAATGAAACTGATTAAAGTACCAAAAATATTGAATCTTCTAAAACTTTACAATAAAGTGCTTAAATTTTAAGACTATTAAAATTCTTTAGATTTATTAAAATCATAAGATTACTTCGATTAGCAAAATTAAAAGTGATTTTTGATAAAATTGAAGAACAATTACAAACATATACTACTATAAATACAATTGCCAGCTTTCTTAAATTAAGTTTTTTTGTATTATTTTGGTCACATTGGTTAGGATGCATCTTTCATTTTGTAGGAATGAATGAAGATCCTAATCATAATTGGTTAGTCATTGCTGGAATATATGATTCTCCAATAGAAGTAAGATATGTAACATCAATTTACTGGGCTGTCACAACTATGATTACTGTTGGTTATGGAGACATATCACCTTAAACAACAACTGAGAGATTTTGTGGAATCTTCTTTTTATTGGTAGCTTGTGGAGTATTATCATTTACAATGAATTCTATAGGAAATACTATGTAATAAATGAGTTAAAAAAAAGATTAATAAAAAAAGAATATTGCTGAAATCAATAATTATATGCAAAAAGTAAAAATACCAAAACATCTATAATAAAGAGTAAGAAAATATTTATAATATATATGGGATTCAAGTAGACTTATTAAATTAGATGCTATAACTATTAATTTATCTTAAGAATTGAAATAGTTATTAACTGTTCATGTTAATGGTAATATATTAGCTACATATACAAATTTCTGTAAAACTTTCTCTCGTGTTCTCCTCTTAGATATTACTTAAATTTTATTTGAATAAACTGCACAACCAGATGAATATATCATTATTGAAGATAATCCAAAAAATTCACATCATTTATATTTTATCTAAGATGGTTTAATTAATATAGTATTACCTAAAACAAGATAAGTTGTAGCTAAATTAACTAATAAATAAATCTTTGGAGAAATCAATTTTTTTGGAAATGTAGGTAGAACTGCATCTGCTAAAAGTGAAGGATTCAGTGATTTATTTGTTCTTAAAAGAGATGATTTTTTATAAATATTATAAAAATATCCTAAAGATTTTGAGAAATTCTATTTAATTTAAGAAGAAGTTAATAAAAATTAATTTTAAGTACTTTAAATACATTGTTTTGCTTGTGAATTACCAGGACATGTAGTAAGAGATTGTCCATAATTACATTTTATTGTAGATCTTTATGTATATAATAAAACAAAAAATAGATGTATAAGATAAATAATGAAAGAATATGTAAGGAAAGATAGAATACATTTTAATGCTATTAAACATTAATATCTTATTAAGAAAGAAGCTTTAAGTATATAAACAGTAATTCCAATGATAGGATTTATTATAGAAGAATGCAATTTGGAAGATGCATAATTTAAAACTATTCAATTTAAAAGTATTCCTTAACCTTTTAAAATTAAATCAAAATTTAAAGAAGATAGAAGTAGAAGAAGAGAAATTTAAAAAGTTATGCGTGCATAATAGAGTCAAGTTTAAATGATTAATCAAAAGCAAAATGATATCTATAATCTTACTAAATCTCTTTCTTAATTAATTTAATCTTCAACACCTTCATTAAATTTGCTTAGTAGTAGTATAAGTCATAGTAAAATTAATGAAAACTAAAGTTCAGATGAATAAAGTGATTCTTAAACAATTTAATAAAAATTGGATGAAATTATATTAGAATATCAAGTTTAAAAAGAAAATTAAATTTAAGAGAATCTCTTTATTTAAAATAAAAGCTAATAAACTTACTCATTAATTGATCTTTTTGAATTTGGATTTGATTTTGAAATTTATAACACACACAATAATTTGACTGTTGTTTTAAAAGAAGTTTAAAAATATTATAATGGTGCTCAAATTAAACCAAAAATAGATACTGAATATGAGTAAGACTCTTATATTTTATAATAGTGTTAATGTTTTTGAAGAATATTTGGATTATTATGCAATTAATATGGAAGATATTAATAGATTTAAACTTGAAGTTAAGCCAGAAAGATTAAAGCAATTTTTACCATATACTACATTAGTTGAAATTAAATAATCAAGACAAGTTTTTTTATTTTATTTATTATTATAGTTTAAATAAAATTAAGGACGCATTAAAAATCCATTAAGATAATCTGAAGTTAGTTCTTCTGAACATTATTCAAAAAGAATGTGGATAAGTTGAAAATAGATTCATATATATTCAAATTTTAATTTATTATAAAGATATAATATAAATTATAATAAATGTCGCTAAATCGAAAGAAATTATTGAAAAAAACTAATATTTGTTGTAATGGTTTATTTAAATAAAAGTGGAAATTAGTTTGATCAATATAATTTTTCATTTTGATTCTTTCTTTATTTATGAATATCTTAATAAGATTTATTCTAAAAACATGAAGATGGTCTCTCAATATGAATTTGATTATAAAAATGAGGAGTAAATGTACATTTGCTTAATTCTTATTAATCCTTATCATCTCTCATTTTCTTTAATTTTTATTGCTTTTTCTTTAGAAATAAATCATTTCTTTCTATTACTGACAAACCCACCCAATTCTTATAACATGCTTTACCATCTGTCCTTTCACTCATTATATTACTTACAGATATTTCTTATCTTTTGATACAAGGTTCTAGTTAAGCTAATGACTATGGTCTTATGAACTATTGTCTATAAGTAGGGGTTTTTGGGGTTTGTGTTTAAGTAGTAATTGTTTGTGATGGAATTTTGTATTCTTTTTTCTAGTTCTAAGATTAAGGAGAAGGAGGTTGAGGTTGCTTGACAAAAGCTCTTAAATTAACGAATATTTTCTTAGTGTTTGTATTAGTTTAGAATTGATCTCTGAAGTCAGGTTTCTTCTCCTTCTTTTGAGCCATCAAATAACTAAGACGTTCTAAATTGGCTTACAACGTTGAATCAATTGATACCAATTAATTCATTTTTTATATTAATATAATATGAATAGTCTTATATAATTTATTAATATATCTCATCTATTAATAAAACTAAATCTCAAATTTTGCTTATAAAAATATATAAATATTCATATATTAATTTGAAATGATTTTTGCAAATATTTATAATTATTTTTTGAATTGTAGAACAAATATATTTTTAAATGAATGAAGAGGATTAATTTAATATTTTATTTATTTTATTTATAAATATAGGTTCACTCAAAAATTCAAGTTCTATCTCTAAAATATTTTTATTTTTTTCAATTATCTCCTTTACTCATATATTTATAATATATGCTAACTTTATAATCCTTAATAATAAGCCATCTTAACATAATTGTTATGTAGAGCTACTTATAAAAAATTTTTGATATTTTAAAAATAATTTATTTTCTTGAATGTCCAACTATTTTTCATTTTTATTTGGCTTTCTAGAAGACATAATATTTTCTTTCAATAAGATTATTAATATTAGATTAGATGAAATGATCAAATTATGTAATTAAAATTCATTAATTACTTAGGATGTCTATAAGGAGCTTCACAGTTGGAATTTCTTTAAATAAGTGGGAATTTTTACATTATTTTGATGTGAATCTAAACTTTTTTTATTTTTATTTGTCAGTTAGATTAAAAACTTCATATCTCTTTGAATGAAGCTTTTATCCAGATTATCATTAAATTAATCTATATATACTTATTTGTACAAATGTAAGAGAACTTCTTTTGGTGATTTTTTGATTCAAAATCGAAATTTAAGAGGAATATGACTATTTAAGTGTTTAGATATTATAAAATTAATATGAATTGTGCAAATATTAGAGGGAGTCGCTAATAAGAATAAAAAGAATTTTTCTATAAATTAATGGAATATTTATGAGCATTTGTCTAAATTTACGACTAGGAACATCCTTAAATTAAGCAGAGACTAAAAATTTAAAGAAGAAAATTAATATTAAATTTTGAAGAAGAATAAATTTAATGTTAAATATGTTTTGATTATATGGATTGATATAGAAAATAGTGAATAATTATATTGGATTGTTTTACATGTTTAATTTTCTTAATGTATCTTGATTTAGCTTTATTGAAAAGTATTTAACTAAATTATGTAGTTTTAAGATAATGAGTTTAAATTTTTATTAAAAATTTCAAAACTTATACTTATAAGTTATTTTAATTTTATGATTATATATAAATACATTATATAATAATAAGATATTTTAATATTTTAAATATAAAATGAGAAGTGTATAAGAAATAAGCAAGGAGATCCAAAAGTTGATAAGATTAATTGAAAAAAAAATAAGATAGAACAAAAAAATTAATATCAAAAACTATTTGAAAAAATATAAAAAACTCTTAAAGGAAGTGAGAGAAATAGAAGAACACAAGTACTTAAGACTTTTGAATATTTGACATTATACATATTCTTATAAATACAATTAATTACTTTATTTGATGACAACATTTTTTAAATTTTACCAGAATACTTTTAGATAGTCTATTAAATATTGACTTGAAAATTAATAAATCATTCTGTTGATTTCCATTTTTAGAGAAGAAGTAATCAAAGAAGTTTTAATTGGTAGTATTTGATTTAATAAATTTCAGATGATAATATAGATAATTTTGACAAAAGAAGACTATTTAAATCATAATTTTAATTAAATATCGTAATTAATTATAAAAATTTAATAATTAATTTTCATAATATTTTTATATTTCCACAAAGTAATTAAATAAAAAGTAATTATAGAATAATAAATCTACAAGACAAAAATTAAAATGAAATATCACCCAATAATATTTATTCTAAATTAGATTCAGTCAAATGTAAAATGTATTCCTAATTTAAAAACTAAAATTTAATCAAATCATCATTGATTTGTGTCTATGATTTTGAAGTTTCACTTATACTTTTTATAATGAAAAGTAATTTTGTAAACTAATGGAATAATATTTATTTTAAAGAACTGTCTTTAAAAAATACTTCAAATTTATGAAATAGAATAATTATTAAAGAAAATTGAGAACACAGAATAATGTGAAAATGATAATTAACTTCAAATGTTATATTTCATAAACATACTAATTCAATAATAAAAGATGAAGAAATACTTATCTATAAGGAACAGGGAATTTTATTTTTAATAAACAACTCTGATTAGATAAATAAGATTATTTAAATTTGACAGTAAATATTCATTGAAAAAGAAAGAGAGTACACTTTTTATAACTGAATATCTACATAAATAAAAGTAAGCAGTTATTTTTTAATGAAATTCCTTAATATAATTGAGGTAGTCTATTCAAAATTCTAAAATATTTGAATATAGGATATATTTTTATTTTTAGAAGGATTTTATTAGAATTAACTATTCAAGAATATCAAGATTGTTAATATGAAAAGATTTATCTGCTTATTAAAATTGGAAGAAGAAAGTTTTAGGTATGCTACTTATATTTATGGATATTAGAGTAGATATTTTAGTGGATGATTAAGATTGTTATTAAAAAAAGAAAGGGCTATTAAGAATTTTAGCATCCTTGTTTTATATGGATAAAATATTTTAAAGATTATATGTTTTAATCATTTGAATATAGAATGTGAATAGGATTAGTAATATTTTAATAAAAAATCATATCCTCAAGTAATTAATTAGCTAACATTCTTATCCTATTGATATTTATTTTCAATTTAATAATATTTAAAATTTGCATGTTTTTCCCTGAATAAGAGTACAAGACAAGTACAAAAGTATGAAAGTGCATTCTATTATAGAGTGAAGATGAACTTAAGAAATTGACGTTGGAAGAGGATCTGAGTGAATGTTAGAGGTCGTATCAGATATTGACTAAGGGTCAATAATTATAAAAGAAGGCTGTAATATATAATGTCAATATTCAGATATATTAAAACTTGCATAGAATTTTAAAAGAACCAAATGCATTTGAGATTCTATTCAAAGTCATCGTGTATGATATATTCTATATTTAAGAGAGGAAATTTAACAATAAGAAGAGGATAATCAAATAATAGCAGCTAAATCTCTTCATAAATTGATTAAAGAGAAGACACTTTAAGTAACGGAGTTACTATAAATATATGATTTGACTACTTAAATTCTAAAAATTTGGTCATTACCTGTTTTGAATGAATGGATACATACAATGGATGCATTACTTAGAGTTATCAGTCTTAATATAATTGTTAATCCAGCATAATAATTGATACTTCTATTGACTGATGCTTCATAACCAACAATTTCTCGTTAAAGTGCTGCTAAACTTATAGGCACTTTAGCATAAGTAATTAGTTTTATAATGATTAGCTTTTAGGAAATGAAATAAAAGGACCATTATTAGATAGAGCTAGAAATTTATGTTCAGATCATGATAAAGAAATAAGATTAGTAATGGCTGAAGATGTAATAGTGAAAGTGTGTTAATCATTATCTAGTGATCTTATAGAGTGTTATTTACTTGAAAAGATAATGGAATTGTATTATGATACAGATATTATTGTAAAGAGTTAAGGTATGAGATTATTCTTTACAATTGCTAATTAATTATCAGTAGATGAAATCAAAAATAGATGTACTAAATTATTTATAGATCAAATATAAAGTTAAAATGAAGAAAGTAAAGTTGTAATGTCTAAGATGTGTGGTAGAGTTTATATGTTGGTAATTAAATATTATTAAATATTAGGTTAAAGATTATTTAAATATAAATTAAACATCTCTATTTCTCAATATTTATATTTCATATTCCAAAAGCAAGAATTTAGATGTGAGAACTAATTTTATTTTTAATTTTCCAGGAATACTCTCTTTGAGTTTAAAAAAGTTTGAATTTTTTCAAGAATAATATATGTTGTGTTGCAATGATACTAATGAAATTCTTTAGAGATCTATTTTAAGTGGTTTACATGAAGTTGTACTTTTATCTGAAAATACAACTATTCTAATACAAGTTTTCATTAACTTTATGAAATCAAAATATCTAACAGTCTTACAATTATTAATAATGAGATTTGCATAAATTGTCAATTCTTTTCAAAAACAAGTAGTTTGTTTATCTTATGCGTAGTCAGTAACAACCACTATTTGGTCAACCAGCCCTTGAATTACTAAATAATCTTATTAATAAGAATCAATGGGATCTACAAATAGATTTATTATCCAAATTCTCAGAATGTCAATAAATATTTCCTGATATAACTATATTTCTAAATACTATGATAACAACCATAAATAAAGGAATCCCTAAAACTAAATAATTATGTTGTTTAAACATAGCTAAGTATTTAAGTAATTATGGAGATTTAAGAAAGAGAAAAGATTGGATTATTTAATTATTTGAACTTTATTTTAAATCAGATTGCTATTTTAATAGAATTATATTCATTGATATAGTTCAAGAATTCACTTAATTTATCTCTAGAAAATTATTCAAACAATATTAATTCTATGATATATTAATATTTTCAAAAGATCCAATCCTTAATGTAAGAATGAGATTGATCAAGGTATTTTTTTTAATTAGAATTAGATTTTGCCAATATTATATAAAAAGATTGACTCTGATGATGCACATACTTTGAATATGTTCAATGATGCTGTACAAGATTGTATTCTTAATGGATCTCGTTCTTTTCAATAAATGATTCTACAAACTAAAGAAGAATTACTTAAACCAAATGATGAAATATATTTAAATCAAAAAGATTAAGAAATGTTAGATAATGAAGAATAAATATTTAAAAATGATTAAAAATAGCGATAATTATTATTAGATTAAGAGAGAGATGATTTAGAAATCAATAAAATAGATTTAAATGATTATTTGACCAAATACAAAAAAAAGTATCCACTTACTAAAATAAAAATTACCAATTCAACTATGCATAGTCAAACTATGTTAATTAAAAAACCTTAATTATAAAATAGTGGCACTTAAGCATTTCTAGTAAAGAAATCTGTTGACTTTGATTCTAATAAGAGTCCACTCTTAGATGCTGCATCCTCTTTGAAAAAACCTGTACTTAAATCAAAAACACCAACAACTAAGAGTATTTGTGATATTAAGAAGTAATTTAAACTTCCTAGTATTAAGAAATGAAAGAAAATAATATTATAGATTATTATTTTGAATTCCTAATTATATTTAGTTTTATCATGATTCCATCTTTTTTTCATTCTCAATCTCAGGAGCTGCTTCAAATTAATTAGCTGGCAAATTGCTATATTACTATTAAATCTCTAATTTATGTTTCTCAGCCTTTCTCTTCCCCCAAATTATAAAACCAATTGTCAGAGCCAAATATACACATGCTGATACTATAGCTGTAGTCTCTGAATTAGTTTAATTCTTAACAGGATATCTATAAAATTCAATCTAATATTTCAATATAAGGAACAAGGACAACTATAATTATATGATATTTAATTACAAATAAGATGAATCCACATCCAAAAATGACAGTCCAGAAACGAATACAATCCATATTTATTATTAATATTAATGAACTGTTAAGAATATATTCGCTATTCTGATATTTTAGATGGAAAGTATGAAATTGATCAATTGGAATCTATTCATAGAACAGAGAAGTATCGATCAACAAGTTCAGTCTAAACAAATCATTATAAAGACTTAATATAAGACTTAATACAAGTATGATATTATTATCAATAAGGCTCAAAGTAGATGTGCTGATAATATTAATCAACTAGGTTATATGTTAAATCAATAATCAAGTAAGAGACATACTTAATCTGATTTTTCAACTCCTAAACTTAATATGTCTTAAGTCTCTCAGATTTCACAAATATAAACACCAAATAAGCCTATACAAAGTACTCCTGCTTCACCTTAATTATTAAATCAATTAAACAATGAGTATTCATTTTTATTAAGGTTTAAGTAATCTGTTGGATCAAATTGATAAATTAATTAAGATTAGAAAATTGGATTAATCTATACTCTTAAGAATTATTAGAAAACATATGAATGATTGTCCATATTTTGTATAATTAGTCAAACAAGAATTTCGTAATAGTATTAATAGTTTATAGTGATTGATTATAAATATTAATGTACTTTGAAAATATTTAACATTTATTCTAGTTTATTATTTAACATATTTTAATCATTATAGATCTACAAAATATTAAACAAATATATTAATATATTAAATTATATAACATATAATAATATATAGTCATTATTAATCAATATGAATAAATATCTCATATAATATAAAATATAAGTATCAATGTTTTTTATGTTAAAATTATAATTTCTATACATAATTCTAAGTAATTTTGAAAATATCAAATACTTATAGATATTAATGTTGTAATGAAAATGATAAAATTGATTTTTTTGATTTAATACATTTATGTTAGTATAATGAAGAAAATATTATATAGGCAGTTAATTATATTTTGAAATCAAAAATGGGAGCAACAGATTCAAAACCAATAACTAAGCTTTATGATCACTTCCGATAGATTAATGTTTATAACAATGGTATGTCGTAAAGTAGATGATCATAGACTTTCCTGAGTGTCAAATCCTATAACATAAGCGAGATCCTCATCAGAAGTTAATTCTTCGTACTTTAAACATAACAGATGAAGTTCATTTCAAGAAGGCTGTCCAATAATACCAAGTAAGACATAAGATCAATCATTAAAATGTACTTAATCTGAGCAATTACTTTTACTAATTTGAGTAATAACTCTGTGGACAATTCTATAAAGTATATTTACTATTTGAATATCCAACTGGAAATTTAGAATTAGTTCCAGCACTTAATGAAATATAATTAGTTTAGTATTTGAAATAAGCAATTTCAGGATTAGCATGCATGTAAAAAAATGAAATTCCTCATAATTCACTATAACTCAAATATTTATATCTGACTGATGACATAATTAAAGTAACAGATCCAATGTATTTTCAACATAGTACAAATTTTATGTAAGTATTATAAAATCCAAATTGTTTGGAATGTATTTATTTATCTCCAATATTGGTGAAATCAATATAATTAAATAATTGGTAACCAAAACATAATGAATATAAGAGTGATATATTCACTTTGGGTATGCTCTTCCTACATTTAGCATTAAATTAACCAAGTTCAGATTGTTATTCATATGAACAAGGTTTATTAATTGAAGATGTTTTGAATAGTAAATTATAAAAATTGAAGATGAGATATGGATAATAATTTTGTGATTGGATAACTACAATGTTAATTATTAAAGAAGATTAAAGACCAGATTTCTTATAGATGGAATAATATATCACAAATTAATAATAAGTTATAAATAAATAATAATATATTCCTAATATCATCTAAAGGTAGATAATTCCAATTATTGAACCTAATTATTAATCTAATACTATATAAACAATACAATAACATACAACTATTTAACCTAGTTTAACATAAGTGAATAGTTTATAATAAATTTAATCTAGAAGAGTTTAATAAGTATAGAATATTTCACCATTAGAATATGTTCATCAATATTCAATTAAAACAGATACTTCATAAAGAAGTCTCACTCCTTTAGGTAAAATTTTAGTACCTCAATAATAACTAATAGTAAGAGATAATAGAGATAGTTCAGTACCAAGACTAAGAGGATCAAGAAATAGTAGTAAAGATGTTAATTAAACATTTACTTATGCTATTCCAACTATTCCAACAGATTTATCTATACTTAGTAATAAAAGTGGGTAACATTAATAAATTTATTTTCCTCCTAAACCTTTATCAAATAAAATGTCAAATACAAGAACTGCAACTTAGTAATAATAATCAAGATTAAATTATACTACTTAATAAGTACAAGAATATTAATTCAATAGTTAAAAGAGTAGCAATATGTAAAAATAAATTGCTCCAATTCAGGCTCTTTAACCTGATTAAGGTGATAATTTACTTCTCAAATAACCTAGTGAAATTATAAGTAAATAATCTTAATTTGATGAAAATATTGATCCTCAACCAGATGAAGATATTGAATAAACAACATAAAGATAGGAATATTTTAAATTTTCAAAAATTCTTAGTGATTCAACCAATCTACCTTAATAAATAACTACAACTTAAACTAAAGAGTTTTCATTACCATATGATATTCCTTAATTCAAGGCTGATAGTGTCAATAGACCAGAATTTGTAGTTGAACATTATTCTAATGGATCTCGTTATGAGGGAATGAAAGCTAATGGGATGAGACATGGTTAAGGTAAGTTTTATTATTAAGATGGTGGATTATATGATGGAGGATGGAAAGAAAATAAAATGCATGGAGATGGTAATGAATCCATTAAATTCTTTTTAGGAACATTATATTATGCAACAGGATAACCTGCCTATTAAGGTCAATGGAGTGAAGATTAATTTTAAGGTCATGGAACTCTATATAATGAGCATCCTTAACCATTACATGAATCATTTGATTATAGAGATTTTGATAATGTTGAAGAGTATAATATAATTTAATATATTTTATAGTTATTGGATTAAATATAGTGGAAATTTTGATTAGGATAATAAGGAAGGTTAAGGAACACTTTATTTAACAAATGGAGAAAGATTTGTAGGTACTTTCTAAAAAGATTTTATAAATGGTCCAGGAATATTTTATTGTATGAATGGTAAAATAATGGATGGTAGATGGATAAACAACAAACTAGTTTATTGAATTATCTCATTAATTTTTGCATTAACAAGATTTGATTAATTATTTTTATTATTTCTATTTTCAAATTCTTTATATATTTAATATATTTTGAAAATTAAGGGAAATATAAAATTAAGTCTTCCCTTCATAAAACATTAAATATTGATTTATTTAATTTAATGCAAGACCCAGAACTTTATGTACGAAACTTCTAAGAAGAAATTAGCTAAAGAAATAAACGCAAATAGCCTTAGTAATATCCTGATGATCTACGATTACATGAACGACCTAGAGTCAGAAAAATTGAACCTCCTTCTTAAATCATCAGTTAATCATTGTTAAAGAATCAAAGTTATGTGTATCATAATCTATATAATCTAGACCTGATTCTATTAAAAATTTTACGAAACCGCTTATCAATTATTAAATCATTAGTCCATCATCAAAAAATCCATAGCGATATAATCACAATTTTTCGCATCTAGGGCAAGATAATATCTTTCGTAAAGAACCCTACAATTAAATTCAAAAAGATTATGCACCTTAAAGATATTCATAACAATCTAATGAATAAAGAATTAATTATTAAAATGTAGGCAATATGCTTATTGGTTATGATAATTAATCATAGTTACAATCCTAAACACTATTATAAAATCAATAAATGACTTAATCATAATTGCAAAATTAATAAGTAGGACATGCATATCCTTAATCGCAACAAAATTATTAATACTAATAGGAATAATAATAGTAAAATTAATAATTACAATAATAATAAATGTATTCATAATAATAATAGCAATAACTTTCATAATCATAATTACCATAATAACAATCATATTAATAATAACCAAACTAATAATCATAACAATATTAGACATATTAATTACCATAAAAAAATAATTAACCAAACTAACCTTAATAACTTAATATTTATTAAGCAGGAACACCAAACACCTACAAATTAAAAAGTGATCATAATCATTAGCCTTTCAATTATTATGGGTATATATATATATATTCATTTTTATAGTTCAAGAGCTTTAAAAAACTTAGATAGTACATAAATTTATTGAATAATTTAAATTTATTATTAACAGTATCTTAGAAAAATTAATTATATAAATAAAATATTAATTTTTAAGCAATTCAATCTATTTAATTCATAGTTATTTATTAATTCTAAATGATTATGTATGATACTACTACCCATACTATGATAATATTCAATATATATTTTTATATCAAAAAGAAACTTTAAATTATTACTTAAAGGACTTTAGTAATTAAATATAATATTATCTTAGGTTTTATCTTGTTGCAAGTTTACCAAATTATAAATATCTTAAAATGCTATTATTCACATTGTTAAATTGCAATTACAAAATCTTTGTAGTTTTTGTAATTAAGAATTAAAAAAAAACTTATTTAATAATTATTTATGTGTTAATTTTAGATAGGATTATTTTACTATGCTAAATTTATTGATGTAGAAATTAAGTAGAAGGTTAGTAATTATGATATATGTATTATCAGTACTAAATAATCAATATTTATTTTTATTAAATAATGTTGCATAATCTTTCAACATCTCCTAGATGTCCTTTTAAATTTCCCACTGAGCATAGAAAATAAGATAGTAAAAGTATGACTTTTAGAGATTTTATTCAAATGCAATAAACCAAAGATGAGATGAAATTCTAATGTTCAGGACGATTGTCACCATTATAGGGCTCTCCTATAAACTCAAAAAAGGAAAGATGGGAAAAATAGTTAAGTACTCATTTACGCTAGAACCAATAGAATGAATTATTAATAAAGCATTCATCTTAATGTCAAATAGCAATGAAAGACTTTGTAAATAAAACAAAGAATTTTCGAAGTCAAGAATAATCTCCTATTAAAACAACATATCAATTACCAATGATAGGTGATTCACAAGATATTGTACTTCCAAATACTCCTGTTCATTTTAAATTTACTCCCGTATAACCAAAAACTAAGGCATCAAATTATATTGGGTTAAGAAATGTACAAGATCAACTTGAACAATTAAAAAAACCTAAAATATAATTTAGTCACAGAGAAATTAAATAATAACCAATGACTTAGACAGAAATTATTAGTAAATTCTTTGAAACCAAATTTTAGAGGATAATAAAAACTTAGATAAAATAATATGGTAGTAATGAACTACTTGATTAACATTCAGAAACACTTTATTTACGTATTATTCAAGATAGATAATTAAAAATGAAATTCTAAGGAAAATCATTAAAGTATTTGAAGGATATTTATAAGAGTATTTTAGGAATTGGATACACTTAAGAGATATTACTTGATCCATTTAGAATGAGAAGTATACATGCACCTTTGTTTATAAAAAAGGAGTAATTTATTAGATTTAAGTATCTCTTTATAAACCAATTTATGGATATGGAGACTCCAGTTGAATTATTATTTAAAGGATGTTATAAATTAGAAAATTTTAAACCATTAATATTAAATCAAAAATGTGATTTTGATATATTTGGTGGAGAATTTGGAATTAATGAAATTGCTAAAAATATGTATGAAAAGATCTTTAAAGACTATACCTTAAGTCCATATTTTAAGGCAATAGAATTAGAGGAATAAGCAATTAAATTTGCAAAATTATTTGCCCAATTAATAGATCATACTGAATCACCAAATTATACACTTGAAGTATTGAGAGAAAGACATGTTAAATACAAACTTACACATGTATAATTGGCTAATTTTAAATTTTATTTATCTACAACACTTTAAAAATTAGGAATAAGATTTAAACATATTAGAATATTATTAAGAAAAATGGATACTTATAAATTTGCTATATTAAATAAATAATCATTGTAAGAATGTATAAACAGTTTTCCTGGAGGTTATAGAGAATTTATTGATAACTTTGTTCGTTTATGTACAAGTGAACCAATACTCTTTGATTTAATTTAAAAAAGGGGAAAATAAAGATTTACTGCACATTGTGAAAATGTTTTCCATTATTTTTTTAGAGATAATGTAAAGTCAATTACAAATAGTGATATTGAATCGATTCATAAGAATAAAAGTATAATTTCAGAAAAAGTCTTTATAAAATTCAAGGAGAAAGCCATTCAAGCAGTAAGCAAAGTAACTAATGATCCCATTTTATTAAGCGATTTTGAAGAGGATTGGGAAGAAATTACTCCTATTATTTTGAATAAATCTAGGAAAACTACAATAAAATAACTTGGAGGATAACTTGTTATAAATAGAATTGCATCTAAACTTGAAAATGAGATATTGTAAAGACCTTTATTACATAAAGTATTTGAGGTAATTAGTAAAAATAAATAAGGATAATGAATCATCTGTGGGATAAAATTTAAAATGTAAACTAAATTTAATTCTATATGGATTACATTTTTATAAAAGAACAGATATTGAGGTTCTTCATAAACGTTTAAGAATAAGAGAATAACCTTATTTCGAATTTTAATAAGTACATATTAAGTTTTAAAAATTTTTATTTAGGCTATGAAAATAGTAATGCAAGATGAACCATAAAAATTATAATTTATTCTTGATGTAATAGATGATTACAAAAAACATATAGTTTTCGATTGATATAAATTTTATTATATTATGATATCTGACTCTTAATAATCATTTAAGGATTTCGTTTAAAATTATGCAGTTAGATAATACAGAACGGTCAAAAAGAATTCTTAAAAAATATATCAGGAATCTTAACGAAGCAACTATGAATCATAAATATAAGGAATATAAATCGAATAAAATTTGAGTTATGCTATCACTAACAGACGAGTATCTAATGGAGATCCTTAAATGCATTTAAGATTCAAAGAAATATCCAGCACTAAAACAAGTAGATCAGAATTGCCACTCTTTACTATTAAATAATGGAGTTAGAAAAAAAAACCTTTGTATTTAATTCGAAATTCCTAATTATTTAATGATGTAATTCGAAAAGCTACTAATCAGAGCTCTTAATAACAATTGATACCTATCAAATCTTAAGATTAAATAATAAAAAGTTATCTTCACTAATTATCAGTAAAACGTAAAGTGGCTCCAAAACCTTAAGGAACTGAAGATGTTCTTAATTTTGAAGTAGATTAAATATATTTTGATATAACTCGTAAAGATACTATGTTGTCTCCTAAATTTCCTAATAAAAATCACAATGGAATAAAATAAGTTTTTAGGAATTTATTGGCAACTGCCTATGATTAATAAATGTTTTTGGATTTAACTCGTTTAAGAGTAGTACATATTGGTATGCAATTAACTCATGCTCATTTTTTTAAGTTTAAATATCACTTTTTGAATAGATTTATGTTATTAAACATTCCAACAGAAAAGATGTTTAATTCTTGTGAAAAAATTGAAAATATGAGACCTTATGTATTAAATGAGATTTTAGAATATGAGATTTATGGAGGAGAAGAAGGTATTTAAGCAATAACAAAATCAATGTATAAAAAAATCTTATCTGATGTTACACTTGCTCCTTATTTTGAAAAAATTGATGTTGCTACTTAAGAAATCAAATTTGCAAGATTATTTTTTTAACTCATTTATCATTTAGATTCCCCAAATTATTCATGTGAAACTTTAAGAGAAAGACATGTTAAATATGCATTAACAAATGTTTAACTTACAAATTTTAAATATTATCTATCTTTAACTCTTTAAGAAGCAAACATTCCTTGGAAAAACATTAGATAATTATTACGTAGAATGGATATATATAAATATGCTATAATTAATAAGAAAGATCTCTAATATTATGTTAATTAAATGGGTTTTCATTAATTTATTGACAATTTTATAAATAGTTGTTAATAAGATACTATGCTATCAGATCTAATTATTCGTAGAGGAAAATAAAGATTTACAGCTCACTGTTGCAATATTTTCCATTATTTCTTTAGATATAATATAAAAGCTATTACAAGAGAAGATCTACATTTGATACATTCAAAAAAAGCAATAATAAATGAAAGGATATTTGAGAAACTTAAATAAAAAGCTATTCAAGAAGTGAAATTATTAACTAATGATACTTTAATAATAGAAGATTTCAAAGAAGATTGGGATGAAATTAAACCTATCATTCTAGGAGAAGCAAGAAATTAATTAATACTTAATCTAGGAGAAGATTATTTAATATAAAAAGCTCAATCAATTCTTGAATATGAATTTGCTCAAAGACATCTTAATTAAATATATGAAACAGAAGAAGCAAATATGAATTAAAGTATTTTGTGTAAACTTAATTTATTACTTTATGGAGTAAGATTCTTTAAGAAATAAGATTTACAAATTATCCATAAAAGATTCAAAATTACTTACTCTTAATATTATGACTTTTAATAAAGTTTTAAAGTGGCTTTAGAAGATTATAAAATTTTAGATTATGTACATTAATTAATTGAAGAATATGAATAATACATTGTCTCTGACTGAACTATTTCATTATAAATTATGCAATCATTTTTTATTTTCATGTAAGAACTTTGCTGCCATATCTAAGGCTTATTTATCTATTGCTTAGTTATAAATTTCTAATCTATCTTAATTACAAAAGGCATCTCTTATTCCTGACCATATTTTCATTTGCAAACTCTACTACTATGTGGTTTATTCTAGTTTTTTTAACATCCTAAACATTCTAAACTGATGAGAATCCTACTATATCATCATTTTATCCTAATTATACTATTGCCATTTGATAATTTAAAAGTATTCAAATCACAAATTTCATAAAATGAGAGCATATATAAAGGTAATTCATATAACACATTTCATATAAAATCCTATTATTCTAACCTTAACTATTTATTATATCTCTTTGATTATGCCTTCTCAATTTAATACTTTCAAAAGATGACTTTTTTTTAATTTTTAATTGCAATTCTTTTTTAAACACAGAATATAAATTTTGATTTACTTATATTAAATAATAATAATAATAAATATTTTGAATTGAATTTTCATAAATTAATATATGATTAGTATCATAACATTCAGTACTTCTTTATTCCTTATTTTAGAATTTGATATCCACCATTATTTATAGGTTCTAATTTCTATGATTAAGATGATAGAGGTGTAGAAAAACCTTATGATTATGATACCATAAATTATGCATCTTGTTAAGCTATCTTTTATCTGTAATTAGCTAATTCTTTTGCATGTTAACTAATCATTTCTTTTATTCTCTATTCCAATTCAGTATTCTACTTTCTTAATTCATATAGTTCTTTTATTGTTGAATCATTGACCTAAGTTTAAGAATATGGTTATGATTTATCCTAGAATAGAATTTTCTCATATTTCTATTTATACTATTCATTATCCTTTTCTAATTAATTAATTCGATTTCTTTGCATTTCCAATACTTATCTCAAGGCATCTTCATTTTAAAAGCGTCTAAGTAGTTTCATAATCAAATATACTCAGAAACTGAATTGCTTCTTCCATCTGCTGTTTTTACTCTTTTTGTTGAGATGATATTAGTAAATGTGTTTTTCATTTATGTAAGTTATTATCTTTATAATTGATTTTCTTTTCTCAGTAATTCATTTTCTTGTTGAGTCAATTTCACTCTTTTCTAAAGAAACTATATTTCCTTATCTTTCTCCTTATTACTATTAGAATCCATATTTATTTTAATTAATAACTAATATTTAAATAACTAAATGAGAAATAATATTTGAATTCACTATAATATCCTTAAATATACATAAAACCATATCTATATATAATCTTAAAATCATTAAAATATTTTCATTTAACTTAATTTTGATAATTTGGTTCGGTTTTCAGTTGAAAAAAAACGAGGAGATGCTTAAATAGAATTGCTCCGTTATTCAAATTATCGAATTTATCTTTATTTTATAGGACATAAATCCTTTTTTCTACTTTCCAAGGTTTAAACCATATCTAAACATTATTGAATTAATTCAGTTCTTTTAAAATAACTACCCTCTACTTAAACATCAGAAGGATTGTAACCTAAACAGGCAACTTTGAAAAATTGGAATAATTGTATTGGTGATCCTGAACATGAAATGCAATTTGAATTTAATATTATTGAACTCTTTTTATTTCCTAAGTTTATTTAACTCTAAAAAATTTATTAAATAAACTACATTCTTAATCGATAGAGCATTATCTATTTAAATATCTTTTGCACCTAATAATTTGAGACCTTCTTTATCACATTCATCTTATTTTAATAAGCATAACAAATTTAAAGATAATCTTATCATATTTTATTAAAATTTTTTCAATAGATTTATTTCTTCATTCAACTTTCTATAATCACTCTTTTGAAATTCATTTTATACTTCACATAATGTTTATTATAAATTAGTTATAGATAATTTCTAATTTAATGATTATTTTTATATATTTTGTTCTATGCTTGCTTAAAATTAAATTTAAGATAAATAGAGTTCATCACTAAGTTATTTGATCTTTTATTTTAAGAAATCAATTTAATTACATTTTTCATCTATTTAAACATCAAAGTATTCTCTTAATTAACGCAACTATTCTTCAAAGTAAACTAAATTTGCTGATTATTTCCTTTTAGGATGCTTTTCACTTTAAATTTCTATATGTTAAATTTTTTTATTCTCCTCCACAGATGAATCTTGGTCATTATTGTCATTATTTTCAATATTTTTTATAGTTTCTTAAACCTTTTTGAATCTTTTAGAAGAATTCATTACTATTTCTTATTGCTAATTCATCAATTCTTAGATATTGAAATCATTACTAATCTTTAAAATACTTTTATCAAATTCATCCAATTTTTACTTTTCAAATGATGCATATTTATAAAAAAATTTCACTGGTAAACTAATAAAAAGAGAATCATTTATTTGCCTTTATATATGATATTGTTAATAATATAGTAAATATATTTCGATTGAACTTAGCCTATGCTATATTTCATCAACTTATTATTATTTTATTTTAATATTTTTGATTTCTTCTTATTACATTTCATACTTTAAATTCATCTTGTCTTAGATGTACTCTTATTTTAATTTTATCTAAATTTTTGTTAATTCATCTTTAATTTCATTTATTTTCATTGATTCAACCTATAACTTGTTTTCTTAATGGGAAATTTAATTTATCATTTTTCTTTAGCTTTAATCTATGTTTATCTGTTATTTTTTTAGTTCTAGTAATTATAAATTATTATTTTCATTTATCTTATCAATTGCTTATTCTAAAGAAGACTTAAATAATTAATTAGTTGCCTTAACATCTTATAATTCTCTTTTTGATTCTATATATTATTTTTCTGCTTATGAATTTAATATAGAAAATGCTTAAATTTGATTTTTTATTAAATCGATCTGTTATTATTTTTCTTAAGATTGTGTAATACAAATTTTGAAATTATCAAATAATTTTTCTTCTAACAATTACAACTTTTACTTTAATTCATTATATTTAGGCTCAAAATTTTCTTTTAAAGCTGAAACTTCATTAACTTATATTTTATATTTTTGAGACAAGTCTGTTAACAATGTCTAATTTTTATAAAAATTATTAATGTGAGGTTCCATTAGTCTTTATATAAGAGATGTTAGTTTATTTTCTAATTCAAAGTTGTCGAATTTATTCTAAACGTTTAACATCAGTATTTATGATATGAAAATTATATAATATTTTTATAAATAGTTTGAACTCTCCAGTTACTCACTGTAAAAATATGTTTAATATATGTTTATGTTTAATTGTTCAACTTAACCTAACTTCCTTCATCCTGTCCATTTAAATGAATCATTAAAAACTATAAAAATTGAGAATAAACCTTTATATCTAAATTTCAAAGCATGGTTCATCGTAACTTTTTTTCCATACTAATTTCCTTTTTCAAAAAATTTCAATTTCCCTTACCAAGGAATTTCTAATTGATTTATTTTATTAAAGGAAACTTTCAGTTTTTCTACCTTCAAATAAGCTTTCACAATAGGCAAATGTATAAGTTTCATATGGCTCATAGCATAATTTGAAATCTCTGAAACTCAAAAATTCTCAAATGATAATACATTATATAGCATCTTAACCTAAAGTAATGTGAATATAATATCAGCTTTTATGATTAATGATTAAAGATCTAATATACAATTGTAATACTATCAATTAAAATCATTATCCAAAAAGATATTATCCCCTCCAGCTTATAGTTCCAGCAGTTCTTAAAATTTTTCAATCAATCAACCTTTAGAATAATAAATTCTATATCTCAATAGTAAAATTTTGTGACTATAATTATATCCTTTTTTCAAGAAAGGATATCAAAAGTTTCTATTGCAATAATAGCATCAATATCGATAATATGGAAGCTCCAATCATTGTTTCAGACCATATTAATTATTAAAAGGGTGATTCATATTTGAAATCTATGCTTATAATTAAGTTGTTCAATAAGTAATTGAAGATTCAAGTCTTATGATTTTGGATATATTCACAAAAATACCATTTTATGCTCTATAAATATTAAAAAATAAATGTGTTATAAAGAGTAGTAATTGAATAAAAACTTTAGTGAAAAGATAATTTTAATATTTGATCTAAACCAAATAATTTTCCCTTGAAAATATCACTATAAAAATTAAATAATAATAACATAAATTCTTGGACAATTAGATAAAATAGTCTTTACTCTTTAATTAAATTGAGATTAGAATTAGAATCTTATCCCCATTCAAAAAAAACAAGTTTTAGATGAGAATAGTTAAAGCTAAAGCAAATAAGATGTGAATAATTTTGATATTTGTTCTATTTATATGTAAATGAATCATTGTTCAACTTCAATCCATCCTCCTTCAACATTTCCACTCATTTAAATCAATGAAAACTATATTGATAATGTTAAATATTTACATCAAAGTTTTGAATGCAAGCTTAATCAGAGGTATAAGTAACCTTCTTTCCATTGTAATCAGTGCTTTCATATAAAGTTACTCTTCCTTATGGTGGAACTCTAATAGATCTGATTTATGGTGGAATATTGTCCTTTTAGAAATCGGGAGATTTGGAACAGAATTCAAATGAAGCTCCTTTATAATCACATTCGCTATAGAAAATAGCACATGCTTCTTTTGGTTCATACCATAATTTGAAATCTCTGAAACCCCATGATTCTAAATAATATATTATTAAAAAATACCATCAATAGCATCTTAATCTAAAGTTGATGTGAATACAACTTCAGCTTTTGGTGCTTAATGATTAAAGATTTAATCAACTCCTACAATACCATCAAACCAAATTCCTTATCCACAGAAGTTAGCACCTCCAGTTTAAAGATTCCATGAAGTCTTCCATACTTCAGTTCCATCAACCTTGATAATCATAAATTCTCCATCCCAAGAGTCAATTTTGTAGATTGTGGATTAAAGTCTAAGTCTTTTGTGTGGTGGGATATCAAATGTTTTAGTGGCACTAGCACCAACTCCCATAATATCAAAACCTCCAACCATTGATTTTCCACCGCATTCATTAATTTATTTTCCTCCTTTGTTTCTATTAAGAACCCATCCATTGATTCCTGTAAATTTATCTTCCAAAAAGGATTATTCTAAAAGAATGAAGTTTGGTAAAGCTTAACATTTTCCTCCAACTAAAGCCCAATTATTAGCACATTCTAATGATGATAATTAATTATAATACTTTTGCAATCAGAATCTTTTGGTCCTGTACATTCAGCACAATTTTCAGAGCAGGATGCATAGAAGATGTATAAATCTCTCAAACCATATGATTCATTATTTGGAGCCTCATCTAAGGTTGTAGTGAATTCAACTTTAGCTTAGTCACCAGTGTGATCAACATCAACTTCAGTTCTAGCAAAAATTGTTTTCCATTCAAAGACAGGACATCCACAGATCTTACCAAAGTAACCTTCATGCCATTAGAATCTTCTTTCCCAAACTAATTTTCCATCAACTTTGATTTAAGCAGCTTCATTGTCCCAAGAGTCAATTTTAGCCCAAAGTACTTTAATCTTTAATTTGTAATGAGGGTTAACTTTTAAGACTTTACTTATAACACTTCTTGCACCAGTTTTATCAAAACCACCAAATAAGGCAACACCTATAAATTAATAATTTATATTATATACCTCCACAATTAGTAGCAGCATTTTATCCACCAGCAACATCCCAACCATCAGCACCTAATTAGTTTGCATCCAAAGATCCCCAACTATTAGAGAATGATTACCAGAATTAACAATTTTCAGGTTTATCATCAACTTAACAAGCTGAGCAACCTTCTGGACATCTTTCAACAGATAAAACAAAATCTCTTATAGCCCAAGATTCCTATTTTTATAAGATATATAAAGTTACATTATCGGCAGCTTCATTCAAATTTGATGTGAATACTACTACAGCAGTTGCACCTGTATGTTTAATATTTAAGTTAAGATTAAGTGTCATTTCTTTCCAATCTCCACCTTATCCACATTTCTATCCATCACCTTCATTGTATTAGAATCTTCTTGACCATACTAGTTAATCATCTACGAAAATGTATCCTTCTTCATTATCCCATGAATCAATTCTAAATATTAATTTTATATCTTACTTCCAGAATTAAACCTTCAAGTTTATTAAAGAGTGAGGTGGCAACTCAAATAATTTGCTTGCAACTGCCCTAGCACCAAATTTACCAAAGCCTCCAAACATTTTTGTACCACTACACTCAGTAACATGAGCTGGTCCACCAGCAACAACCCAACCTATAATATTATTAATTTAATTACCATCAGCATCATTAAATGCATTTCCTGTGAATGATTATGACACTACGACTGGCTCCCCTAACACCTAAACAGCACTACAAACCAATAACAATAAGATGACTGTTCTGTTTTTCATAAAAAAAATATTAAAATATGTGAGTTCTCATAAATACTTAAAAAACGAATTTTTTATGTTTAATTAAATTTTATACTTAAAATCAAATATTGACCAATATAAAATAGCAGTAATGGATTTAGTTTATATGTTTCAATTAAAAAATAAATATTCAAATGTACTTAAGTTAATATGTAAATTATTTTGAGTTGTAATTAAAAGGTTAATCTTGGTTGCAATTCATTTTTTTCAAAATGTCTTAATCTTTATTCATTTTACTTTTATCAAAATTTAACCATAATGTAAACTTTATATATTTTCTAATAAATTTTTTGCATACTTCTATAAAAAGACATAATATTACATTACAAATCAGCAATAATAAATTTTAGATCATTGTCATTCAAAAATTTTTTCTTTCAAATGAACTCTTGATTAAGTCTTTAAATATTTATTTGACAAATAATTGTAATCTTTGATATATTAGACTTTGAAAAATTATTACATAATTTACTTAGATTAAATTTCATATTTTTTATTGTCTTTAAGCAGAGACAAAAGATTGATGAATTTGAAGCTAAATCTAAAATAATGATAATAAGTAAGAAGTTAAAACTTAAATAATAAACTTGAATTAAAAATAATGGCATTAAAACACAAAATTCTATACTTTAATTTTAACTATGTAATCAACTATAAGTCAAAAGTACGTAAAAATGATTTACATAATATATTAATGAAGGATTTTTAGTTTAATAGAGGTTAAAAATTCTGAAAATTATTTATCCAACATTTTTCTAATAAAAAAAATTCAACTTTATTATTAGAAAATTTAAACTATTCAAAATCAAATTTAAGGAAAGTAATTTCAACATAAAGTCTTTATAATTCTTTTAGTAAAAGCTTGATATCGAAAAGTTGCAGATTCATAATAAAAATATTATTTTTATTATAATGATTATACAATTGAAAAAGGAAAACTTTTTGTTTAAGTATTAAGTTATCAGATCAACTTTGGATTCATTTGAAACCTCAATTTTCACTTGCATTAGTAAAATTTGTGAAAGATTGAAAAATGATTATGGGATTAGTATTTAAGATTTAAGATGAAAGGAAATATTACTTTTCTAGAAGTCTGTCAAATATTATTAAATAAATTAGAAATAATTAAAACATCTAAATTTTATATAATTAAAAACTGTAGTAGGATGTTAATAATTCAAAAAAACAATAAAATACACAAAATGGATATCAATCTTATTAAAATATACAAGAGAAGTTTGAAGAAATCTCGAAATTTATTTTTTATTTTTGAGTCTTTAATAATGAATAAAGAAAATTGAATTAATATATGATAACCTCTAAATGAATAACAATTATCTGAAGAGTGATTATTTACATTTTAAAATTTGACAAAATTGTTTAATATTTTATAAAAGAATCATAAATATGTTATATTTTCCAATAATAGTTATTAGCTTAGGATTAAAATTCTTAATTATGTTAAAAGAATAATCAATAATGATTAAGTTTATAAATAATTTGATTTACAAGTTTTTCATTTAAAAATTGAATAATGTTTTTAATAAAAATATATTATTTTTTAATTGAGTTCTTTGATCACAAAATTTTTACATTTACACAAATTATACTATAACTTTAAAACTAATTGAAATCAAGATTAAAATCAATTAAAAGTGTTTGATTTTAATAAATGTAATTTTGGATTATAGTTTTATTTGATAATGTATTGTATAAGTAATGAAACCTAATGAATCACAATCCATTCTTAATAAATTATAAATTATTTGTGTTTTCTAGCTTCAAAATAAAACTATTTTTTATAAATTTAGATTAAACATTTCACATTTTGATAATAAACTTTTATATATGTATAATTGATTAGTAGTAATAATGATAATAATACTTAATTAGAATATTTAAATAATATAGTTTTTGCTTCCATTATTTAATTGGAAGTTTCTTTTTGAACTTAATTTTCATCTTAAATTTAAGTAAAATCTCCAAGTAAATCTGTTGAAAATTAAATTCTTAAAGAAAACTTAAAAATTTAAGAAAATTAGTGTTATATATAAAATGCAATACCAGCAGAAATTATAACCTATTAATTATTGAAGTCAATTAATTAACGATAAATTAAAATTATGGTTATCGTTTAAAATTTTTTATTAAAAACTCTTATATTAAAATTTTAAACTTTTCTGTCAATCTAGGATGTTATTATTGTAATTGTGAATTATTGAATGTAATTTTTTTGATCATTTTAATATTTCATTTATGTGAATTCTTCATTTATTATTTTACAAACTCTAAATTTTAAAATACCTGTCAAGCTTTTTAATGAATTCAACCTTTTCAAATAGATGAAAATAATTGAGAAATATTAACTTCTATTGTATATATCAGTTTTTATCTTAATTCTTCTTCTAAATTATGATATTTAATTTAAAAATGCCAAAGATATTGGAAAGCATTTATTAAGGTTTGCTTAAATTAAAAAATGAATTTGTGTATCAATTAGATATATTTGGTCAACTTCCAAGTTTTACAGTACTAAATAGAAGTAAATACACATCTAAATTTGGATTTGTAATGTCAATTTTGATAGGAACTCTAAGTGCATACTATTTGATTACTGAGATCAGTTCTATGATTTCAAAATCAAAGCCTTCAATATATTAAACAGAAGTACAAGTGATTGAAACAGATGTAAAGTTGATTCTTTAAACATAGTCTTATTATCTCAATAATGAAAACTTCACTATAGCAATATCAATAGCCAACCGCTTTTCTGAACCGTTGATAGGAATAAATAAATACTTTAATTTAAACGTAAGTCAGTGCACAAGAGAAAGGATAAGAAATTAATCAACAGGAAATATAACAGTAATGTTGAGGTATAAATTAATTTAAGTCAGATGTGTTGAGATGCCCGTAGAGCCTTGTAACATGTCGCATTTTACAACTGACCTTTAAAAAGAATACTTTAAGACAATAAGATTTGGAGGAGTTTAATGCATTAATAGAGATTATATGAAAAAAAATCCCCCAGTATAAAATTATTTTAATTAAATAGGTCTTAAAGGGTTAATTCAATGCCTTAGAACATAAATATTTATATATATAATTCACAGTTTGCAGGAATACTAGTACATTTTAGGGTTGTGCTCCTAAGGAAGAGATAGAGGATATCTTATAAGCAGGGCATTATAATGTCTATAAAACTGACTATATATCTTAACTTGATCATCCTGGTGAACCATTTAAATAAGTAATTACCAATGAATTCACTGGTTTTTCTTATAGTACATCAAAAATGATTCTATAATAGTACAGAATTGTACAAACTACAACAGATGAGGGATTAATATGGGAACTTGAAAATGTTTAATAAAATATTTAATAAACAGATTGGAGAGAAATATCTGACTTTTATAATTAACAATATTTAGTTCTTCATATTATTAGGTTAGACTTTAAATAGACTAATAATATAAGAACATATATAAAATTATAAACAATTTTAGGAAAACTTGGTGGTATATTGCAAATCTTTATTATGGTTGTTGCCATAATATCTAAACCTATTATTGACAATTTGATGAAATTAGAAATGGCAAATTCTCTCTATAGATTTTATGGATAATCAGAAAAACAAATTTAACTTCCAACTCAGGCTTAAATTATTTAGACAGAAAGAGAATTCTAGTCGCCTATCAATTTAAATAATCAACAGACTGAAAGTTTAAATAATGATAGCAATTAAAAACTAAATAAATCTATGCTAGAGACATTTCTAATTATTTTTGGGTTTTAGAAAGAAAAGCATCAATAATTTGTGAAAGCAAGAACAAAAATTATAAAGAATTTAGATATTGTGACCATCCTAAAAAGATTATAAGAAATAGATCTGTTGAAAAAGATCTTATTTTCTAAAGAATAGATAGAAATTTTAAAGAATCTACCACCTCCTTTGATTACTACGAAACCATCAATTTCTCTAAAATTATTATAACCTGATCTGTAAAAGGAGAAAGATAATCCTTCAAATATATCACCACTACAATGTTAGTAAATAAAATGCAATTAATTTCAATTTGTTCCAAAATTGAGCCCAATTTTGTCGAAATCTTACATTGATAATTAATTATAATTATATTTAGATCATTGCAATGTAATTAAATAAATTAATTAAAAGGATTCCTAGAAACATAAAGTCAAACACACAAGCAGTCTATTAAAAAGTCCTTGCTCTCCTATATCAGATATTCAATTAATTAAATGTGATGAGATAGAAGAGCCAACTCCATAAAAACCAAAAAAATGATATAAATTAATTTAAATACACACATGAATCTTTTAGAAAAACATTAAAAATTTTAATTAACTTGAATAATTTTTAATTTGTTATTGTATTGAGTTCATTATAATTTTTTAACATATTAATGGTACTTTTCTTTCCATTTTTCAAATATTTTATTTTTACTCTTAACAATAAGTAATCTTAATTAACTTATTTTATCAATCTTATATCTTATATATATAAAGCACCCATTGAAAATTAAAACAATATCTAAAATATCAATTACTTTTCTTACATTAAATTGTTAATTAATTGATTTGCTTCTAATTATATTATCTTTTCTTATCAATTAATTGTCATTTTCTTATTATATTTTACTGTTAAGTTGAACAAAAATATCTTGTTTTTCTTTTCCCCTAATATATATAATTTGTTAATATTTATTTTTCGAAATTCATTATTTTTAGATATCTTGGATAAGTAAATCTAAGATTGATTAAATTTAATAAGATTCTACAATTATATCTTTATGGCCTTGATTTAATTTATTCATTCACACAAGCCTGTTAAAATTTGAGTATCAATTCATATACCATTTTATATATCATTTTTATGATTATTTTGTAATTCCTTATTTACAATTATCAAAATTTGAATGGCAGATAGACTTTTATTCATATTTAGTCGTAAAGCTCATATTATTTTATTTTAGAATTCATAATCATACTCCTTTTTTCTTTGATTTATTTCTAAAAAATTAATTTTCCTTCAAATACTTAAATTTAAAATTTTGATCAACTCTATAAGTCAAATTTCATTTTGAATTTCTTACAAATATACTTCTTGATAAATCCTGTTTTTTTTAGCTTTTCTATTATGTTTTTTTAATTTTTAATACTCTTACTATTTTTGGTTCAATACCTATCTTCCATTTAATAGAATATCAATTCAAATTGATGGCAAATGTTTTGGGATTTAAGATAATAAATTATTCATTGAATTATTTAATTGATCAAATGCATTACTATTCAAGGAGGGTGATATTTATTATTTTTATGATATAAATCAGTCTTTCTTGAAGAAATCATAAGGCTTTTTACAATTAGGACACTCATCTCCTACTTTTGGTTCATCACATAATATGCACATTTGTTCATAATCTATTAAAAATAATGCTTATAATGTTACCTTTCTTTATTATTCGAGGTAAGAGTTCCAATTCATATAAGATTTCAAATTCACTATATCCCCCAACAAATATATTATTAATAGTAATAAATGGCAATTGATATCTATTTAAGATATCTTTGACCCATCCTTAAGCCATTTTGTTGTCAACAAGATCAAATTTAAAGAATCTAATATTCTTGACTTTCAACATATGAAAAAGTTGCATCTGATCAGATCTAATCTTTTGATTTGTAGCAATGGAAGAGTAATACACAACTAAAGGCTCTCTTTTAGATTTTACAGTTTGACGAATAGCCTTCAGAGTCTTATACTTCTTCCAAACTAATTAAATAGAGTAAGCAGACATATTTTTGATCTCATTTTCCAATTATTATTCCTCATCAAGTTCTACTTATGGCTGTTGATCCATTTATAATTTAATACTATAAATATTTATTATATTTATCTATTATGTGATTTAGATTAATTTTTTATCAAAATTGGATATTTAGCTTAATTATATATATCTATTAATCTAAGTTAAACTATGATAAATTTCTAAGAGATAGAAACGAATCCATATTGATGTTAATCTGTATAATATTATTGTTCATATTGGTTCAGTGCGTCCAACACTTTTGCTAGCCTCATAATAGCCAAATTCAGATGGTAATCTATAATTTCCAGGGGCAGGTGTTTAATCTAACTTTTTAGAAATTATTTACATTTTTCGTTGGAACCTGTTCTTCTTGCTTCTTTTGGAAAGCTTCTCACATTTGAATCATGGAATTTAGATACAAAATATCTTCCATCCTATATATTTACTGAATTCTTATACTTATTAGATTCCTGTCTTATCCAGTCCATATTATCCTGGACCAGGTACTTTAGTAGCTAATAAAATAAGAGAGATACTCATTCTTACAATAATCAGTAGTAAATCTCTTTGAGGATTAAGGATTGAATAAAGTAGCACATGAATTACTGTATTTTGATATTGGATATCTCCCTTTTTCATTGATAGTTGGTAATGATTCATATTATCCTGGTCCTGGAACCTTTGCATTAGAAATTAAAGAGCTTTTCTCTGGTTTTGGCCTCATTGTATATCTAATATCACTTAATGTTGATCCTAAATCATAAGTTCCAGGGGCTATAGGGTTAAATGGATGAATTGTAACCTGGAGTCTTTAGATTTAAGGTTCCTAAAATACCTGTACTGGCCATTTTATCTCTACTAACTCCAAATTTATATCCTTTATTCTTTTTCAAATTATTTTAGACATCACTGCCTAAATTATATTGTTGAGGAGATGGACTTGGAACAACTACTTTTGTGAAATCCAATCTGTATTTTATAATTAATTAGTACTTATTGCCTTTACCAATACCAGCAGATCTTTTTTCAATCATTGAAGGTAGATTATAAAATGCTTATTAACAACTAAAATTTAGGTCAGAATCAATTACAATATTGGATTTGCTAATTTGCCAAATCTCTCAGATTTTGAGAATGTCCATAAACTCTTTGAAGTACTATGATTTAATGGTGATTAACAAATCTATTGACATGTCGAAACAGTTATTGACATTATAAAATAATTATTGTAAATCTATAAAAAACGAAGTATACTTATATATATTTTACACTTATTCAAGGTTATAAAATAGATTGACATAGTTTGTATTAAATTCAATAGAACTGATTTTTATGAATGAAAAAAGTATAAGTTGTTATTAATTAGCAAAGATATATAAGTCATAAATTATTATATTATAATATATTTTTGGTTACATTATATTACTATAATTACATATAGATAATTAATCTAATAATTCAGTAGCTATCCTTCAATTTAAAAAAAAAATTCAAGTTTATGTGATTAATATTTATAATTATAAAATTGAATAATTTTATGATTTATGGGGTAAAATTCAAACAACCTAAGAGGTATAAATTCTATATATGTCATCAAAGGTTGCAAGTTCCTCCTCCTTTTGCTTTCTAAGTTCCAAGTAATGTTAATAAGAATAATTGTAATCCTAAGAATATATATTTGATAAAATTACATCTTAGCTAACTTAATAAGCTATTCTGATTTGCTTAAGTCTAGCATTACATTGTCTAGCAATTCCAACTCTGCTAGTTAATTGATTTGTAAGTTTGATCTAATATTAATTAAATGAATACTAGATTTTCTTTTTCTCCTGCAATTTATTTATCAAAGTATTGATTTTCTAATTCAATATGCAATTTAAAGTCAATATAAATCATGGAACTTCTAACTTCATCTTCTTATTCTAAATCTAATGATTTTTTGGAATGCTTTTCAATTGCATCTAATACTTTTCTGATATCCTAGTGTAGATTAAAATAATAATTATACACTTAAATCTTCCTCTTCTTCTGTTTATTTTTTACCATTATTGTCATTATTAGATTAGTTTGAATCTCCTTTGTTATCATCATCACCATTATCATCATTACCATTATCATCACCATTATCATTATTACCATTATCATCATCACCATTATCATCATGAGTACCTTCTTCACTTGTTGGATTAGTAGGTTCAACATCAGTTTTATTATCTTCTTCAGATTCTTCCTCTCCAGTAGGTTCATCAGTATGTTATCCATCTTCTTCTTCTGAAACTTCCTCTTCATTTTCTGCTTCTTCTTCTGTGTCATCTTCTTCTTATGGTTATGGTTTAGGTTATGGTTTTGGTTATGGCTTTGGTTTTGAAGATCCTCCTTAACCTCCTGAGCCACCATTAGTGAATTTAATATGTAAATCATCATCTCCACCTGTGCCATCATCATTTTAAACAACAATAACTGTATTAATAGAATCATCACATTGACTAGGAATAAGGACAACTGCACTATCAGCCTTATCATCTTCATCACCTGATGCTATGACAGTAGTCTATTATTATTGAAGGAGCACTTTGTTAGCGTTTCTTTTTCCTCGTGTTTGAGTAAGTGCAAATTCATTAAGATCTTATTCTTCACCTTCAATGGTTGGTAATACATAAGAACCATCTTAGTTCATTTAAATTTATTCAACCATTGTTAAGAGTTTGCCTGTTTGATAGATTTACACGAATTTGTGTACTTTTTATAAAAATTCTTATTTTTAGGCAGGTGTTGCATTAGAATCAAGTTTGTCTAATTATTCTCTCAAAAATTTGACTAATGCTAATGCAATTTTGTAATTCTTGATATCATGTACATAATTGTTGCTTGCTTAACATCTATTGATAGATGATTTATATACCTATTAACTTCCAAAACACCTAATCTTTAAGAATTCAATCCCTATCTTTTTTACATCCAAGCTACAAAATCATTAGTTATTTTGATATCCCTCTATTTGCTTTAAACATCTTCATCTTTCTTTGCACATTCACTTCCTTACTCTGATGCTGAAAAACCTAAGGCGTCGATTATTGATTGCTTATTTTTCTTATGCAATTCCCAAGCTGCATCCAAGGCTTCGATATCTAATTACACATTGGTTTTCAAATCTGTCAACAGTTGTTTGACAGTATCAAGATCTGAATTTGCATGTAATGAATACATGCAAATAGCCACTATAATCAGTGTCCACTTCATTTTATTATTAATAACACAAAAACGGATTTCCAAATCATAATTGCTTTAAAAGTTCATAATATAATTGTTTTGTTCTCTCATTCAGTTGCTATGGAATCTCTAAGTTCAGAATTACTATATGATCTCCCTTCTTCCATTAAGATTGCCCATATTGAATTCCATACTGCGGTATTTATAACTTTGTCCTAGGCTATTAAGCTCCTGGAATAGAAATCTAATGTATTTATTTATTTCAAACCTCTAATGCACCCCATATAGTTTGAATCTGTTTTTTACATCCCAATACCATCTCACTTACACTTAACTCTAATTCACTTATTATATTATTTCCATCTCTTCTTAAAGTGTTGTCTTCTTCTACTTCAACTTCAATCAACAAATCTCCTGGTTCTCCTGAATATTAACTCTACTATTAACAAATGTATATACTGCATGACCATATCTTGACTATCTAATTATAGTTCCATTTTAAATTCCTTTTGGTAATTCTATTTCAATATCAAATTCTTTTTCAACTATTCCACTTCCCTAACATGTATGACAAGGATCTCTAACTACCTTTCCCCATCCATCACAATTATTACATTTTACTTCCATTGAACTTCCTCCATCTACATAAAACAACCATCCTGATCCACCACAAGAAAAGCACTTTTAAGCTGATTTTCCTGGAGCACATCTACTTCCCTTACAAGTATCACATGTTTTTTATCTACTATATGATAATTTATGTTTTCCACCAAAAACTGAATCTTTAAAGCTCAATTTCAAATCTAATTTTATATCATCTCCTTTTTTCTTTGCATAGTATGCTTTCTTTTTACCATGTTTTTATTAGAAAAATTGATCAAATTCACTGAAAATAGTTTCATATTCTGCTTAATGAAATTTCGAATAATATTTGCCCTTAGATTATTTTCTCCTTGCTTTTTATTAATAACTATTTGCATTGCCTCTCAATTCATCTTCAAAATCTTATTCATCATTATTATCATCTTAAACCCCACATGTATCATACATTTTTCTTTTGCTCTATGCTATTAGATAGTATTACTTCATCAGATAGAATCTCATAAGCATTATTTACTTGAGTAAACATTTTACCAGCATCTTTAGCAGAGTTTTTATCTGGATGATAAAGCTAAGCCAATTTATAATAAGCTTATTTTATTTCTTATAGTGAGGCTCCCTTGTTTATACCCAAAACTTTGTAAGGATTAGAAATAGTTGAAAATGTATAAATTAACTTTTTAATCATTGATAATTATTTAATAACATCACTTATTATTTAATTACATTATTAATGAATCATAAGTAGACACAAGTTCCCCTTTCTGATAATTATACTTACATCTTATTTTGATAAATAATTTCAATAATGGATTAGATATTAGGTATTAATAAGATTAATTTAATTTCTATTTAGAACAATAAATATATATATTAAAAATTGATATAAATATCTGATGTATCTCATTTATTTGATAAATATAAAATAAAATACTATATTTAGAGTACTTTCTAATTTTAATGAATCTCTTTATGATGATTTCAATCATCATCTTTTTAGATTATATTATGTATATATTATATTCATTTTAAAATTTGAATTTTACAAATGAAATATTATTATCAATTTAAAGCTATCATTTCAGGAGCAAAAGGAGTAGGTAAAAAAAGTATCCTTAAATCATTGGATTCTTCAACTGATCTCAAAACTGTTTAATTAAATGATAAAATGCAAGAAACACTTTTCATCTATGAATTCTAAAAAGATGAATCATACATTCCAGATGCACTTTGCTTTTTAATTGTTTGTGACTAATCATCATAATCAATCTAATATGCTAAATCGAAGTATATATATTCATCTATTTACTTAGAATTCAAATAATGCTTAAATAACTGAATCGTTCTTATTAATTTATTGTACTAATTAACAACAAAGTAGATTCCCAATTATTACTTTAAGATGAATTAGAAAATTATTGTGCATAAAATCAAATAAATTTCATAGCAACAAGCGCTAAATTTGGAACCAATGTTGTTCTACTTTAAAATCTTCTTAGAATCAAGGCTTAATTGATAATGAAAAAATGTTAAATCTTACCATTTCCATTAGAATCTAATAGAGAAAAAGAATTTGAAACTATCAATCACTAAATTAAATAAGCCACACAAAATAGACCATTACCATAAACACCTTAATCTTCTGGAGATAAAGAAAATTAATCAGATTATAAGAGTATAAAGAGTGAAACCGTTGAAAGTTTTAGAGCATTTGAATTAATCCAAGATAAATCAACTTAACATAATGATACCATAAATATTCTTACATAAAGTAATTCATACTAAAATTGCTAAATACAAAATTCATAAGTTTTACCAAGTACAAAAAGAGCTTATCTTGATTTAAATAGTAATTGTAGATTAAGATCATCATCACCTATAACCAAGATACTTATGTGTTTATAAATTGAATTTAATGAGTATTTTAAATAGAATTATAATAGTTAGATATACAAAGTGGATATTTATTTTGATGATTCCTATCCATTAATTGTTGAGAGGATTTGTTCCACTATGTAGAAGAAAGTTAAACCAACTATTAAAAAATAATTGATGTTCCTTATTGAAACTCATATCAATTCTTTTATACAAAAACTAAATCAATAATTTTAAGAAAAGAAATGTAATATATAAATGTATTTAATTAAGATTTGAGAGTCAAGGATTGTTATGAGAGGTTTATTTCTATTAACAATTAATAAATTATATAAGAAAAACCAATTATTGGAACAATAGCACTTTTAATTTAATAATAAATAATTAAAATTTAAGTTCATGAAAATGATGAACCCTATGATTTAGCATTCAATTCAATAGTCTAATACAAACTCAAAAAAAGTTGTATAAGTGCTTTAGTTTAAAAAATCAAATTCTTATAAACTCAAAAGAATGTCTTAATTCTAGGATTTTTTGATATCACTCCTCATGAATTCATTGTATACAAAGGAGAAGACATTTAGAAGTAATTTATTAATTTAACTATTTAAGAAAGTTATTTCAATTCTTTGTTCAATTTAAATTGGATTATGAATATTATAGGCTTCTCTCATAAATATAATGATAAACATATTATAAAAATATTATCGTTAATGAATCATCGACATAAAACTGAACTCACTGAAAGGCATCTCAATTATGATATCAATTATGATAGCATCATCATAGTCAAGGATCAAGAATAGAAAAATAAAACTCCTTAAGCCTTATTGAGTCTTCAATTATATGGTAAATAAACTCCAAATCAATCTACTAAAATGGTTAAGAATTTCAAACACACATAAAGAATCACTCTTTCATCCCTTAAAAAAGCTTAAGCAATCTACAGTCCAAACTTCAATTCCAAATAAAAGAATAGAATCCCAGAATCTCCTGCAAACTTTCGAATTAAGCCTAACAATTTGAAGTTCAATTCTCTTAATCCTTCTAAACCAAGTCTTCATACTCCTAGTACCAAGACTTAAGACAGCTAGTTAGAATGGCAAACTCCATTTGATTTTAAGACTTCAATATCAAAAATAAAGTAGTTATTAAGTCCTAATAATCCTAAAAAGTATCAAGTCGACTTTACTAAATTTAAAAAATCCATATATTGATTATAGTTATAGTTAATTATCATTTCTTTTTATAGGTATTCAAATTTATTTAGAATAATTAATATTTAATTAATCTAATTTCATTATAAACAATAAGAATGATCAAGTATTATTTATAATACTTCGTTATAACTATTGCAAATAATATATCTGATTAAAGTATCCTAAGTAAATTTAATATTTTATATTTAGATTAAAACTAATCTAAATTGTTTGACTTGTTAATTTGATATCTTTTTATTATTTTTCACATTCTTTTATCACTTTCTTAAATTTTCTTATAATTTAATGATTTATAGAATTAAACTTAATTTTTCTTTTGATTTAATACAATAATTATAATTCTCTATATATTCTTCATACAATTATGAGTAAGTAAATATTTTAATTGTTTACTTAAATTTATTAATGATAAAATTTGATATAATTTTCAAGCTTAAATAAATCTACTAGCTCCAGGTATATTAATGAGTATTGATTTTGGAAGTGCAAATGCAGGATCAATAGGATTCAACTAATATTATTGACCATTGAGCAAGGACAATGCTGCCAATCCAAAAAATGTATGGAAAACATCAGGTTGATTATTTGGTCGATCAGCAATTCCACCATCATTGTCTTAACACTACATATTTCATTATTAAAATATGTACCTCAAGTATATAATTTTCTAAAGCCTATTAATTTATCCATTATTCTCTTTTCAATAAACACAATGCACTATACATCCACCAAGAATAACAAACATCAGCCAATTTCTCAGGTCTTCCATTTAATCTAAAATATTTATATTTATATTACCCTCCTTTACTAGTTTATCTTTCATGTATCCACATTGCTAATTCATCAATATTAAAAGATAGATCTTCACATAAATAGAGTGTTCCAACACAACAAAATACATAAGCTCCATGAGATTCTGCATCTGGTCTAATATTTACATATTTAACATACATTCCCCCAAATGATCCATCAAAATTTCTACATTTCTTTATATAACTAGCTGCCTTTTTGACATCTATCAAATCTCTTTTATTTAATAATGTTAATGATGATAATCCACAATATGAAAATCGTGCATCCACTTCTCCCCACTATCATATATTTGAGATCTTCTTACTTGATCTCCTTCAAATGATCCATCCTTTCTCTATCTGGCTGCAACATATTTAGCTGCTGCTTCATAGTCTAATTCACATCCCAATAAAAAGCTTAATAAAATTGCATAATGTGTATTTGTTATATGAGAATCATGATTTGTATTACCACCAAATCCACCATCTTAATTCTAACATTCCTTAAGCCATTTAGATAATTGTTGCTTCTTCTCTTCACTAATCTAATCTATTTTATTTAGACAAGCTATTGCATTGATAGTCCAATATCCTCCTGCCACTTTTAGATGTTCAGACAGATAATATCCAATTGATTCAATATCCTTTGATTTATCTAAAGCCATTAGATAAGGCAAATGATTGACAAGTTATTACTAAAGCATCGTAATTAATCAAATTTTAATTAATTAAAAATTATTATATTAATTTTATATTTTATGTTAGTACTATTACTAATTTCTTAATAAAACCTTTACTCAACAACAATATGAAATTATGTAATTCAATAGTTTAAATAAGGATTAGTTTTTGTTCACATAAATATATATATATTATTTTTAATTAAAAATTAATAATTTTAAGACACAATTTCCAAAAAAAATTGATGGAAAACTTTCTTCAATCAAGCTATATATTTTAACGTTTTCTAATTTTTTAAAAGTTTATTATTAAAAAAATTATTAATTATTTCGTTTTGAAAGGTAATGGGTGTATGTTTATCAAAAAAACTAAAAATGAACAAATAATAGAGCCCTGTTAATAAGAATTTGGAAAAAACTTTTTAAAAAACAAAATATTACTAAGAAAAATACATGAAAGAAGTTTTTGATTCTGAAAAATAGTGTGAAATAAAAATGGTAAATGTCAAAACCTCACAGGTAAATATTTAACAATTCTGATAAAGTCCACAGATGCTGCACTTAACAATTCTTTTTTAAGAAGGAAAGCACTCTCAAAAAGTAGAATCGGTTTATCAACAAATAGAAAAGGTGCTATTCCTATTCTTAATGCAAAGCAAGTTAGTTTTAAAGATTCATTTAAATAAAAATATCATAAAGTGATAGGACTTTTATTGTGTAAATTTCAATATTATTGTAGCCAACTCAAATTTAAGTGTGGTACAGAATAATTAGAATCAGTAATTAGCTATTTGTTAATAGTTGAGAAAGAATGATGAAAAAGACTAAAGTTTTATAAAGTGGTTAAAAGAAAAAAACATAGTAATTAACATGATTTATTTATTAGGAACACGATAATATTGTAGGAGTTTAAGAAATTTAAGTTGATGATCAAGATTATTATATAATATATGAATACTGGGTTGATTAATAATTACAAAATAAAACTGAATTAGAAAAAGCCATTCTTATTAATTAAATGATTGAATCGATCTAGTATTTACATGATAATGATATGAGACATAGTGCATTAACATTAAATAGTTTTAAATTGATCAACAATAAACCATTTGGAGTATTAAAATTAATAGAATTAAATCAAGTACATGAATTATCAGAATTATCTATTGAAAGTTGGAAATATTTATCTCCTGAGAGTCTTTCTGCTCTTGGGAATAGATCCAAAGCAAGAGATGTATGGGCTTTGGGAATTATTGCTTTAGAATTATTAATGAATGAACATCCATTTATTAAAAATGTTAAAGAAATTTCAATTAGAAAAATAATGATGAAGATAAATAGTTTAAGTAAATAATAAATTGAATAAATGTTAAATAATTTGAATAAAGATTTAAAGCAATTAATTTCTGGGATGATTTGTATTGATCCCCAATTTAGATATACTATAAATGAATGTAAAACTAATATTTGGTTGAATAAATAAATAAATGATTATATATCATCTTTGCAATAGCCATTATATAATTTTGATAAACATAAAAATAATAGCATTAACAATATCATGGCCAGATATTATATGGTAAGAATTTTAGATTAAAAATAATTTAATTGTCTTTTTATTTTATTTCAATAATTAGATTTAAATAAAAATGGTATAATAACTCCAACAGAAATAAAGAATTATTATAATTCTATATATTTGCCATCATCATGCAAAAATGATTTAATTAATTGTTTATATTCGTTACCTAAAGATATGGAAATTCATGTTAAAGAGTTTATTGGTTTAACATGTGATATTAGTTAATCAAAATTAAAACAATATTATACTATTAATAATCTTAGAGATTTAAAATTGAATTGTTATCTTAATTAATTAAATATTCCTAAAAGAGTAATAAATTTAATTATTTCTGATTTCAATATATCAGAATTAGAGTAGATTATAACTCTTGATTAATTTATTTAATATATAATTTGATATAATTAGATAATATTTCAGTTTCTCACTTTATTTAAATCAAAATTTGATGTTTGATCGAAACTCTAAAGTTTAGAATGTTATCCTTTTGGACTTATTACACATTCTAAACTTTTAAAGAGTGGCACTTATTTTACTTTAAATTTCTTGAGATTGGATTCCATTTCATTTATTAAGAGATTCTTTTACTTAAGAGTTAAAAATGTATATGATAAGATTAACATTAATAATATTCCACTAATAAGGAAACCTAAGACTATTTTCATAGTGTTAGATTTATGAATAAATAATTCAACTGAAAATTCTATTCTTTTCTTATGAATTGTTTTATTTATTTCATTAAATGTTAATGAATAATCTAATTAATATGGAATTTCTTCATCTAAATGATAAAAACATTAAATATAATTAGGAATTGGTTCAAATTGATATTAAAATATATCGAAAATACTTATTCCCATAATTTTATTACCAATTAATTAAATATCTTTGATTCCAAATTTTAATATCTTATATATTTTATTCTCATAAAGTAAATCAATTTTATTATTTGTTAGAAATAATGTATACTCTTTATATGCAATAATTTTTAAAATATTTTTCTTACTCTATAATTTTCTAACTATTTATAATTATTAATCTATGATTTAATATTAAGCAATAATATATTTATATTATCTTTTATATGCTACATAAATGTTGGTTTCATTAGAAATACCCATAGTAACACCATTTTATATTAAATCAAGTTAATTTATATTGTGATTAGTTTGATTCCATTCAATCTTTAATAATCCTGTTTACTTATCCAAAATATACATGTTATAACCATTTTTATTAATATTATTTATTACAGTAAAATATGTAATGTTGTCTGAGTTCTTTATTTAAATTTAATAAACTTAATCATAGTTGTTATAAATAGTAATTATACCTTAATTAAGTACAAAAATGAATTGATCACATATTTCTATTTATTGGGGTTAGTAATTTAAGAACATTTCGAATTCTTATAAATTTTTATCATAAGGATTGAATCGATATACTTTAGTTGATATGAAATAAACTAGGTATGTTACTTAACAATATCTCATTGTTACATTTTGTATATCTATATTAGAAGGAATATTGTATTGCCAAAATAGGATTTGATCTTGAAAATAATTGATCTATCTATCATCAGTCAATACTAAGATGGAATGTTAAGAGAGTGATAAAATAGCTAAGTTGCTTTAATTGTTGCCATCATATTAAGTATATTGTAATTTTAATTAATGTTCTTATAATTGGCATACATTCCATTCATCATTATTTGTTTGAAGTTCGAAATCCTATCCATTAATAGGTAAGGCGAATAAGGTTTTTAACTCCTCTTTTTTTATTGTAAATAATTCTGCTAATGCCAATTAAAATATTAAAACAATATACATTTATATAGACATTATTTATAAATTTATTACAAATCAATTTAAATCTCTAGTTTTTGGTTTTATTTAATGAATAAGATTAACTATTTAATCAATCTTCTTTTAACTATTCATCTTCTTTGTGATTATAATTTTTGTTGAAATTATTTTGCTTTAATATTTATTCTTAATTAAATACTCTAACAATCAAAATTTATTTTTATTATAAACATTCTAATCAATATAAATACAATTGTATGAATAAAAAGAATAATCAAAATAGAAAAATATTTTAATTTAAAAAATAATATATAATTAAAAATAAAATTACATAAGGAGACAATAATAAGTAGTTATTATTTTATTATATTGTTAATTATTTAATTTTTAATATTGATTTTCAATGATTTGCCACAAAAAATATCTAATTTTTAAAGAGTCCTACACTATAGAATTACATTCCAATAAAGTTGTTTTACAAAATGTATTGAATAATTAAATTTTAAGATTAAAAGTTAAATTGCTCATATTATAAAATTTCAAGAAAGGTCTGTAGTGGATTGGAAACTAGATAAAAAGAATTTTAGAGTTGTTGCCTTCGGTATTTAGATTGATAATAAATGGGAATACTTCTATATGGATCAATAAAATCTAACTCTACTTAAACAATTTCTTGATGGAAAAGTTTAATATCAAAGTATTTTTTAATTTTATAAAATATTGGGTGTTCTAGGCAAAGGAGCATTTGGAACAGTATAATAAATCATATACATTAGGTTTTCAAATGTTATAATAAATCTGATGGAAATTTGGTTGCTTGCAAATCAATTAAGAAGTGTAGTCAATATGATGATAAAGTAAGATATTTTTTTATAATTAAGGACTTTTTTAATGAAGTTTTTTGTATGTAAAATCTTAAACATCCAAATCTAGTCTAAATTAAAGAATTTTATATTGAATAAAAACATTTTTATATTTTAATGGAATTTGTTGAAGGAGACACATTAAAATAGATTATAAAAAATAATTTATTGGATGAGAAAGAAAAATTAATTATTGTTAAAGTATAATTTTAATAAATTAGTAACTATTATCACTGGTTAATTATTTTCATTCAGAAGGATTTATGTATAGAGATTTTAAACCATAAAATGTTCTCTTATTTGAAAATAATATTGAAAAATTAAAACTAATAGATTTAGGACTTACAATTTAAATAAATAATGTAGTTTAAAGTGAAAACTAATTATGTGGTACACCAGGATATATAGCTCCTGAAATCTTTTTAAAGAACTATGTATACGATTTTAAATCTGATATATTTAGTTTAGGAGTTGTGATATATGAATTGTAAATATTTAATTAGATAAATAGATTTTCTGGAGAATATTTAATATAAAATCTAGATCATGAAGAATTACTAAATATGAATAAGAGATTCTAATTTAATAAAGAGATACTCTCAATAACTAAGAATTAAACAATCTAGAAATTATTATAAGGAATGTTATAAGAAGATCCTTCTATGAGAATTAACAGTAGAGAAGCTATGGATATAATTAAATAAATGAATTTCAATTTTGATGAATTATTGACTACTAATACAGATTGATTTATATATATATACTGTTTAATTCACTTATTTTAAGAAAATATGTTAATGATGTTTCAGGAGATAATAATTATTATCATTATCATTAAATCTACAAAAAATGTGATTAATTATATATAAAATTTATGCAAATAAATTTTTGCACTCCTTAATACTTCTTTAACATCTCTCAAAAATATCCATTTATAGTTTATGATTTAAGAGAACATTAACATGGTTTTTTGAAAAATAGTATTCATGTTACTAATATACATCAGGTGGAGACTGTTGATGATGTATAAAAACATTTTTAGTATCCTGAATAATAATCTGAAAAGAAGAAATTGGAAAAGCTATTTCAAACTAGAAAGAGAAATTACAATTTCTTTGTTCCATTTGATACTTCTGATATGTTCAGTTTATTACTAAAGGATTAAGTAAAAGGAGAAGGATCAGATATTTCTGATTAGTTTAGTATTCCTTTAGAAACAGTAACAAAGTGGTGCCATGAGATTTCAAAGAAATTGCCATACTAAAAGAAACATAAAATTAGAAGCAGAGCAAATACTATGATTATGTAAGATGATGATGATGAATTAGTTGATACGGATTCCTAATAAATAATACTCCATTTCAATAAACATCAGACAATAGCATCTAGCAAGAAAGTCATAGAATTATAAGGTATTATTATTAATATATATTTAAAAGAGATAACAATATCTAATGGTCCAAAAATTAAATAACGATCTGCTAGTCAACCAAAATTTATTGGACATGGAGAAGGCAGTTTATATATGAATTCAGAATTATTTGGAACTACTTTAAAGATTTATGATATTTATCATAAAGATAAAGTTAGATAGTTATTTATATTATTGGATCCAATATAGATTGTTTTTGGAAATCATTCATTTTTAAATTATGAGATAACAAAAAATAGAGGATTTTTAGATAAAACATTTCCAAATGAAATAATAGAGAATAAATTATATTTAGGAGGAGGTGATCATGCTTAAGATACAGAGATGTTAGTAGATATTTTAGGGATAACACATGTTGTAAATGCAACTATTGAGATTAAGAATTATTGTGATTAATGTAATAATAAGTATATATTTATATTAGTAAAATATTTAAACATTAAAATATATGATGAACCTCATATTGAAGTGAAATAGTATTTTGAAGATGTATATTAATTTATTGAAAATGCATTATTGATGGAGAATGGGAAAGTAATAATCGAAATAGTAATTTAAATAGGTATTTGTGCATTGTGCTTAAGGAAAGTCAAGATCAGCATGTTTTATAGTGATGTATTTAATGAGGAAGTTTAATTGGGGATTTGAGAAAGCATATGAATTTGTAAAGGAATGTAGAGAAGTGGTTTGTATAAATGAAGGATTCATTAATTAGTTAATTGAATTGAATTGAATTGTATATTTTGTTGTTATTTTATGATGTTTTGATTCGTCATTAAATAATTGACTTGACTTTAACAATAATACCTGCAGCATCTAAATGATACAATGATAACATTTATGCTGGAGTACCACTTTTAGCCACTTTGTCTACATGGATGGAATGTATTTTTATTTCATTGTTCAAACTTAAACAAGATGATACAGCTTCTAATATGATTATATAATAATAATTTACCAAAGAGTCCACCTTCACTATAATGATCTTCAACTACAAGTATTGTTTTCAAACTAGTTTTATTGGCAGCATTAAGAATACCATCATGATCAATAGGTTTAACTGAGAATAGATCCAAAACTGTGACATGTATCTTATCTTATTCACTCAATTATTTTGCTGCTTTAAATATTTCATGAGTAGTAACACCTCCACCAATTAATAAGATCTTATCATCATCATTTTATTTTAATATTTTTGATCTAAATAATAGTATACATAATAATATTTACTTTCCAATTTCAAAGACTTCATTATTAGAATACAAAATAGGTAATGATGGTCTACTCATTCTAACATAACAAGGAGATTTGTGATTTGCAACTAATTCAATAGCTCTTTCAGCAGATACTCCATCAGATGGATATAAAACAACACAATTTGGTATAGTTCTAAACATTGCAATATCTTCTAAACCCATTTAAGATGGTCCATCTTCACCAATTGAAACACCAGCATGTGATCCAATATATTTAACTTAAGATCCACTTATTCCTCCCATTCTAATTTGATCAAAACCTCTTGCAAAGAAAGCAGCAAATGTAGATGCAAATGCTACTTTTCCTCTACAACTGAATCCTTATGCCCAACCAACCATATTTTATTCAGCAATAAAACATTCTACAAAATTAGTTGGAACTGCTTCTTTATATTTAATTGAGAATGTTGAATTTTTAGTATCTCCATCTACTGCAACAATTTATTAATTAGCATCTGTTTTACTCAACCCTACCAAAGCTTTTCCATATGCTTCTCTTGTTGATTATTTGCCATCAACTGCATAATTGACTTCCAATGTAAAATGACTTTATTATGGCTTTTCTATTTATGTAGGAACTACTGGAGTAAGTGTAAATCCATCCTATTACTTCATTTGTTTTTTAACAAAGTCCACTTATGCTTATGGAACTGGTTTTCCATGCCAATCTTCTTTGTTCTCCATTTCCAAATATTTGCCTTTGAATGTTTTTGCAATTATAACTTGTGGTTAATTCTTAACATTTCTACACTAGAAACAATATTTCTGGAATCACTTACTTAATCAAAAGCATCAGTTAATTAATTCAAATTATGTCCATCTATTACAAAAGTCTTCCATCCAAATGCTTCCCATCTCTTCTTATAAACATTGACATCATGACCAATTGAGGTCTCTTCAGATTGTCCCAATCTATTTACATCTACTATTGCTGTAATGTTATCTAATTTGTAATGACTAGCTAAATGAGCTGCTTCCCATACTGATCCTTCTGCTATTTCACCATCTCCCATCAATACCCAGTATCTATTATTTATTTTGTCCAAGAATTTAGATGAATAAGCCATACCACCTGCAACTGATAATCCCTATCCTAAGGATCCTGTTGCTACATCAACAAAAGGTAATCTATATAAATATAAAATATATTATCTACTTTGGAACTGGATGACCTTCTAATATTGAATCGATCTTTCTCAAATTCAATAATTCTTTACTATCAATATAACCAACCATTGACCAAGCAGCATAAAGAATTGGAGCTGCATGTCCCTTAGAAAGTACAAATCTATCATTTCCAAAATTCTAAAATCACTATTACTAAGTACTCCTGGATCTTTTGGATTAAAATGCATTCCTGCCTTTGTGAAAAATAGCACTGCCATAATCTCTGCCATAGATGCACATGATGTTGGATGTCCAGAATTAGATGCAATTGTCATCTCAATTGAATGTATCCTTAATTGATGGGCTATTATTTATATATAAATTTATTACCCATATCCTATAATTGGACAACATCATAAGTCTCTTTTTAAACCTTTTATTTCTTTGCTTATTTTGGTTCTTCTTTCTATGGTTAACTTTTTCCTTTTCTAGTCACTCTGTCTGACATATTAAAATAATTTAATTTATCTAAAATTCCATATTTTAAATCAATTTTTATATATATAAATGAGTGTGAATGTTATACCTGTTGCAAATCCACATCAAAAAATGGAAGGAATTCAAAATGTTAGACCTGAAGAAATTAAAAAAATTATTGAAAAAGCTAAGAATCTTCCTAGTAAATAAGAAGGTGATTTTGTTAAGTTACAAAATTATGAATTTTAAGTTGATGAATTTGAAGAAATGGAAGATCCTCAAAAGAATAATAAGAAAAATAAAAAGTAACCCAAAAAAGATTCTAAAAAAGAAGTCTAAGAATCTAAAGATAAAGAAGAGCCTGATTAAAGTAGTGATATTGATTTAAAAAAATAATAAAAACCAAAAGCAAAAGAAATTAAGAAATAAGAAAAACCAAAACCAAAATAATAGCAAGAAGAAGATATTTAAGATGGATAAGATAATAATCAAGAAGTATAATTATAAGATGAATAATAATAATAATAATAATAATAATAATAATAAGATGAAGAAGTTTAACTTAAAGAAAGTGAAATAGATTAAGATGATATGTAAAAATAATTAGATGAATATGATGAGCAAAATAATCAATTATCATAATCATAGGCTTAAGATAATTCTTAAATTTAATAGTCTTAAATTTCTTAAAAATCATCAAATTAGAAAAAGAAAAAATTTTAATCTGGTTATGCTGCTATGATGGATGATCTATTAAATGAATCTGAAGTATCTATTAATGAAGAACAACCAAAAAATCAAAAAAAAGAAGAAAATTAAATGGTTTCATCTTAAATAGATGCCAAAAAAGAATAAGAATATTTAAAGATTATTAAATAATACTAATCAAAAATTAAATAACTAAATGAAGCCATAGAATAATAAAAACAACCAGTTCTTAGTGAAATAATTGAAGATTAAATTGAAGATATTTAAGAATAACTTGATAAAACAGAAGAATCATTTTCAAATAAAAAACATCTATATCCAGGCATTGCTGGAATTGGAATAAGTCTATATGATGAATTTAGATTACCTTAAATAATTGAAGAGTAAGTATAACATAGACTTAAAGAATTGGGTGTTTAAGATAGATAAAATGAAGAAAATGAATAAAAAATAAAAGATCTTGAAGAGCAACATTAAGCTGAATTAAATAGAATAAAACAAAATTATGAGGAATAATTGCAATAAATGAAATTAGAAATTGAACTCTAATAAGAAAGAATAAAAGAGGCAGAAAGAATGAGATATGCAGAATCAGAAATTAGTAAAGTTATAGATAAAGATGAAATTGAATTATTAAGAAATGACCCTTTATTTTCTGTTATGAGTTCCAACCTTGTATAATCAGTAGATTCTAATGTTTCTTAATTGATGAAGGATGAAAGCATTTATTTAAAATATAGAGATGTGTTATAATAATATAAACCTAAAGCAAATTAATTAGAGAATTGTATGGAAATTGTTAATTCAAAAATCCATGATTTAATTACACTTAAAGAAGCTTAAGAATTAAATTAATTTAATACAGATTCAAATATATCTATCAGTAAGATTATGGATATTGATGGAGCTATTAGAATTATAGATTAAAATTAAAATGTTAATTCAGATATTGATTCATTAATAACTCCATCTGAATAAATGAAATTTAAAAAAGATCCTAAATATCAAGAACCTTCTCTACCAAATTCAAGTATAGATTTTTCAATTCCAGATAATTATAAATTATAAAGAATGATTGATAGTGATTATAGTAATTTGGACATGAAAATTAATGAAGATGGTTCTTTATTTATTGAATTATAAAAAGAACTTGAATAAAATTATCCAATGACTGAATCTAATAGATTGATTGTTTATCAATAAATTATTTAAGATTAAAAGTAAGAATTTGATAAACAAGTTAAAAAACTATAAAAATTGAAACCAACTTACAAGTCTAAATTATATTTTGGAGAATCAATAGATTCATCAATTGGTTCATTGGCTAATGAATAAGTTCCAAAAAGTATTAGTAGTAATATAAGTATGATAAGTAAATCTTAATCAAATGAATCTATAATTGGTTCTGTAGTTAGTAAAAATGAAAAGGCTGAACTGTAAAAATAATGTTATTCAAAAGAATCATCTATTTCAAGATTGTAATTATCTAAAAATGATGTTGAATAATTAGATAAAATAAGTAGTGGGATAAGTTAATTAAATTCAATTGTTGATAGTTACAATACACATAATTAATCTGTTAGTAGTGGTATTAGTAAAGTCTTAAATGATCAATAACTTCAAAAAGAGAAATATTCTAATATTGATAGTTCTTTAAATATAAGTTAAGGAGGATCTTCAATAAAAAGTTTCCTTTTACTAAAAAAATCAGTGATCTCTAAAAAATATTGAGTATCAATTTTATATTAATTTTATAATTAAATTTTTTAAATGGAAATATATATAATTTTTATAGAATAGACCTAATAAATAATATTGTATTTATATTCATATATTAGTCTTTCCTTTAACTAATTTACGATCAGAAAATTCTTCTTATATAGGGAAATAATGTTAATGATTATTAATTTATTCTTATTTTTTAACTTTTGCTCTTTATGGAAAAGGACTTTCTCCAATTTCCAAGACAGGTTAACATAATATAGATTATATCGATTAAGGATTAATATTTTTTAATCCTGCAACAATAAATTCAGAAGGTTATGTTTGATATAATGTTTCTTAGGCTTAAACATTTTATTAGATTTATTATTTTGGTTATGCAGAAACAATTAATCTCTCTTTTTTATTAGTATCAACAGATTTTTATCTTTAATTTGAATGTTTGTCTTCATTTTTTAGATCTTCTTTTTTATGTTATTGAACAATCTATTAACGAATAACTTCAGTAGGTATAGATTAATTATTATTTTTTATTGATTATCTTTAATTAATAAGTTTTTATTATTCTTTTTAAAGTTCTATTTTTAATTATTCTTAAAGCATTCTTTCTCTATCTCTTTAACTTGGAGCACTACTTTATATTCTAGTACTAGGAGTAGATGGTTGTTCTCCTTTTTTTCTGGGAGCAGAAGGATAATTTCCTTAATTATTCATTGGAGATAAATTCTTTTCTTTAATTTATCCAGGTACTAACAATAATTATGAATTAAGATACATGCACTATGTGCTCTTTAATTAATTCTTGGTTATTCAACAGTTTTTTTAGTAGGTTCTTCTTTATAATTCGATTTGGGTAGTTATATTTATTATAATTTGATAGTTTAGAGTAATTCAGCTTTAGAAGTTTGTTTTTCTATTGGTGGTATTACTTTTAAATTATTAATAAGAAGGGGAGATTATAGAATTTAATTACATGATAATCTCTTCATAGGATGAACCTAGATCATTTAGACAATAATTTATTATAAGTCTCTAGAGTATTATTTAGGTAAACATTCAAAGAGTCCTCTTTAGATTTTATTGCATAATGCTTATAAATCAGGAGCTTTGAATGGTAATTTAAGTGAAGCCATTTCATAGATTACACATCCTAAACTCCAAATATCACTCATAGAATTATATGCTTCATTTCTCCATACTTCTGGACTTGCATAATAGGGAGTTCCAGTTTAAGTATATGCAAAACCTTTTTTAGTTACTTTAGAGACATTCAAATCTCCTAATTTATAATTACCATTAGATATAAATATATTTGCAGTTTTTAAATCTCTATGAACAATTTTATTATCATGTAATTTCTTGAGACTAAATTAAATAATATAATATACCCTTTTGTAATTTAATATAATGCTTTCCATATTTCTGTTTCAGGGAATAATTGATTACCAGTTTATTTAATTTTATTCTGCAAATCACCTTATGTAGCAAATTCCATAATTATGTATAACATATTATCATTAATAAAAGCATCTTTGTAATTAATAATATTGGGATCATCAAATGAAGCCAATATTCTAACTTCGTTAAGAGCATTTTCTTTCTCTTTTTCTTTTAAATCAAATAGTTTAACTTTCTTCATAGCATAAACTTGTTGATCTGATTTCCTGATAACTTTATAAACTTAACTATAGGATCCTTCACCCAAACGATTGAGTATTTCAAAATCACTAATTCTAGACATATTATATATATATATATATATTTTATTATTTATCATTCTGAACTATGCTCTATCTTTTTAAAATTCCATCCTTATTCTCCATCAAATTAGATCATATAATCATGATGTTTAAATAATGAAGGTCTATGACTAACTGTGAAGAGAGTGATTCCTAACATTTTGGCAGTTTAATATAAGGTAGCTTCTACATCCATTGAGACTGCACTAGTGCATTCATCTAAGAATATAATAAAAAATCTATACCTAATATGGCAAATACTGGTTTATGATAAAATAATCTAGCCATAGCAATTCTTTATTTTTCACCTCCACTCAATACATCATTCCAATCATTACATTTATCATATCCTCCTTCTCTTACAACTAAATAATCCAAATGAACTAATCTCAATAATTCAGTTAAATCATCATCTGTTACTTTCTTTCTTAACATTTATAATTTTGTATGTGGATATATAATTTAATCTCTTAATGTTCCAGCAGGTAAATAAGGTCTTTAAGGAATGTAGAATAATTTATCAATATGTGGTCTATATAATTTACCACTTGAAATTGGCCATAAACCACCTAAAATTCTAAATAATGATGATTTTCCACATCCATTTGGACCTGTTACAATACAATTCATATTTGGTTGAATCTTATATATAAATATTATATTTTACTTCAAATGTCATTTTTTATGCCAATATATCATTATTTGGTGATATAATAGGGACTTCTTCAAATTTAATTGTATTTTCTGTTTCAACTATTTAACCTCTATTCATAGATACTAATGATTATTTCTATGCAAAATATCCTGGTTAATTTTCATTACTTTACAACATTGTTCTCATATACTTACCATTTATTAAATCCTTTAATACTTCATCTAATTCAGCTACTAAAGTTGTATATCCTGCCAATTATTAAATTTCCTTATATGAAACTACCAATCTACCAATAGCTTTGGCTAAATTAATTAAAAGAGATGAATTTCTAACATAATCTCTTGTTATTGCTGAAGCATCATTATTAACACTCTTTAAATATTCTTCTCTTCTACTACCAAAAACAGGTAAACCAACTACTGCATAACCTACCATAACAGCTCCATATTTCACCAACATACTATCAAAAACACCCATATATAATCTTTTAAGTATGATTTATCCTGTATGTCCAATTAAATTATTGAATGAATTAGTGATTCTTGTTTTTTCCCAAGCATGTCCTCTATAGAATGCTATTTCTTCACTATGATATACTAAATCACTATGACATGCTCTATAATCTCCTTCAAGTCTTTATTCAATAGCTGTTAATTTACCAAAAGGTGGACTTAAAAATCTTAATAAAAATCCAGATATTAGATAATACAAAATGACATACATTGGTCCTTAATATCCAACCAATTCAGCCAATTTTCTAGAGAACAANATAGCAATTCTTTATTTTTCACCTCCACTCAATACATCATTCCAATCATTACATTTATCATATCCTCCTTCTCTTACAACTAAATAATCCAAATGAACTAATCTCAATAATTCAGTTAAATCATCATCTGTTACTTTCTTTCTTAACATTTATAATTTTGTATGTGGATATATAATTTAATCTCTTAATGTTCCAGCAGGTAAATAAGGTCTTTAAGGAATGTAGAATAATTTATCAATATGTGGTCTATATAATTTACCACTTGAAATTGGCCATAAACCACCTAAAATTCTAAATAATGATGATTTTCCACATCCATTTGGACCTGTTACAATACAATTCATATTTGGTTGAATCTTATATATAAATATTATATTTTACTTCAAATGTCATTTTTTATGCCAATATATCATTATTTGGTGATATAATAGGGACTTCTTCAAATTTAATTGTATTTTCTGTTTCAACTATTTAACCTCTATTCATAGATACTAATGATTATTTCTATGCAAAATATCCTGGTTAATTTTCATTACTTTACAACATTGTTCTCATATACTTACCATTTATTAAATCCTTTAATACTTCATCTAATTCAGCTACTAAAGTTGTATATCCTGCCAATTATTAAATTTCCTTATATGAAACTACCAATCTACCAATAGCTTTGGCTAAATTAATTAAAAGAGATGAATTTCTAACATAATCTCTTGTTATTGCTGAAGCATCATTATTAACACTCTTTAAATATTCTTCTCTTCTACTACCAAAAACAGGTAAACCAACTACTGCATAACCTACCATAACAGCTCCATATTTCACCAACATACTATCAAAAACACCCATATATAATCTTTTAAGTATGATTTATCCTGTATGTCCAATTAAATTATTGAATGAATTAGTGATTCTTGTTTTTTCCCAAGCATGTCCTCTATAGAATGCTATTTCTTCACTATGATATACTAAATCACTATGACATGCTCTATAATCTCCTTCAAGTCTTTATTCAATAGCTGTTAATTTACCAAAAGGTGGACTTAAAAATCTTAATAAAAATCCAGATATTAGATAATACAAAATGACATACATTGGTCCTTAATATCCAACCAATTCAGCCAATTTTCTAGAGAACAATATAATATCTAAAACAGGTTTAGAAAAATTGGAATAAATTTAGGATAATGAATTAGCCCATTTTTCTATATCAGCTGTTAATCTTTAATCAGGATTAGCAACTCGACTATCTAAATTACTTAATTGATAAAATATCATATCATTAAGATAGATGTCATGAAAATGTGAGGTTAATCGTTTTCTAAATCTTATTGCTAAGGATTTGTTCAAATAATCTAAGAAGGAATTTACAAATGATGCAGGAATTGCAACAACTCCTAATTTCAATATCCTTTATATAAACAAATTTTTGTTTTATTCAATGATTGCTCTGACTATTTAACCATTAACATTAGCTACATAGATACTTAAAAATGTCCTTGCGACTAATGATGCTCTATTATTATTTAGACAATATGTTACGTAAGCAAAAACAAGTCGAAAATTTCTGGTGAGTTCAACCTTGGAATAACTATTTTGAGTAATTTCAAAATTCTTTTTAAGAACATACGATCTACATTTCCCTTTCCTTTTTTTTCATCTCTCTTCACTTTCATATTTTCAGTCTTTGATTTGGTCAATCTGATCTTAAGTAAATATAGAATCACTGCTATTACAGCTCCTGAGATTAACTAATTAGATTATTTATATGTTAATACTTTACGCTTTGTTGATTTCAACATAAACTATTTCACATCTAAGATCTTAGATAACACAGGAGGCATATATGTATATATAATATTATCAATAAATATTTAATATGTGCTAATAATTTTAAATGGTATTAATATTTTCTAATTACAATTACTTTTCTCTAATTTTCCTAAAATTTCAATACGCATCACATTACATGTTATCTTTATAAATTAATAATATAAATAAATTTTTATAAATTATTGATACACTACACCTTCTGACTCTAGAACCCTTTATAAAAGCATATTGTAAATAGATTCTTGATACACTACAAATAAATAAATAATTTTAAATCACCTTTAAATTAAACATAGTTCATTAACTCACTTGATTAATTTAATCGATATTGATCATATTTTTAAAATGAGTAGATGAAAATCACAAAAATTTAGATATCATTGTATTAAAATTCAAATGAGTTATATCAACTAAAATTATGGATAAGAATTAATTACTATAAAATTAAATAGTTTACATCAAGTAAAACTTAAAATAATATTAGAACACTGATTCAGTAGAGAATTTGTTTAAATTTTTTAATATGTTATCAATTTCATTCTTCTTTCAATTAAATAGGCCTAATAAGAAAAGTTGTATATTTAACTTATAAAGTGATTTCATATATAAATTGATTTAACACTAAATCAGGAAATTATAAGTTGATTAATTGGATAAAATACAAAGATGCAAAAGAATTTAAATATTAAATCTGAACATCTCATAATACAGAAAGTATTAAAAGGAAATATGATTAAATTTTATTTTATAATCATTAAATTAAACTGAAGAATTAGTTTTTATCATTATAAGATTTATATATTTATGATTAATTAAATTAAATATCATAATTTCTAGAAAATAATAGAAAAATCTATTTCGAGAAAAATTCATATTTTTGAGTTGAACTCTTAATTGTTATTAAATTTAATTAAATATAATATGGAAGCAGAATTCATAAATTTAATTGAAGATGGTGGAGTTAAGAAAAGAATTATATAAGAAGGTTAAGGAGAAATACCTATTGATGGATCTAGATGCAAAATATTATATAAAGGAACATTGGATGATGGAACAATTTTTGATTCATCATTAGATAAAGAAAGACCTTATAAATTTAGAATTGGAAAGGATGAATTAATTAAAGGATTTGATATTGCATTAAAATCAATGAAAGTTGGAGAAAAATCTGAATTGAAAATCACATCAAATTATGGTTATGGCAATGAAGGAAATTCATATAAAAATGTTCCTAAAAATGCTAATCTCACTTATGAAATAGAATTAATTAATTATAAATAAGCTAAAAAAAAGAAATGGTAATTAAAATAAAATAATTTTATAGGGAAATGACTTCAGAGGAAAAGCATCAAGAAGCAATTAATAAAAGAACTAAAGGAACAGCATTCTTTAAACAATAAAATTATAAAGAAGCTTAAAAGATTTATAAGAAAGCTCTCTCTTATTGTACTTTAACAACTGAAGAAGGCAACGAATTAAAAGCAAGTTTATAACTTAATTTATCAATTTGTTATTATTAATTAGAATAATATAAAGATTCAATTGATTATGCTAAGAAAGCTCTAGATTTAAAGACTAATCAATAATAAAAATTAAAAGCTTTGTATAGAAAAGCTCTAGCTAATATTAAAATGGCAGAACTTGAAGAAGCATTAGCTGATTTAAGAGAAGCATTTAAAATAGATTCTACAAATTCTGCTGTAATTGAAGAATTATCAAGAGTTAAGAAATTATTAAAGGAAGCTAGGATGAAAGAAAAAGAAATTTATTCTAAGCTATTTTAACAAAAACTGTATGATGAATCTGAAATTGAACCTAAGGAAATAGAAATAAAAGAAGCTAAATCTGAAGGGTCCAGTTGTTGTGATCCAAATGAAAAAATTGAAGAAGAAAATCAACTAAAGCAAAAAGATGACAAAAAAGAAGTTTAAATATAAGAAGAAACATGTGAAGAAAGAGAAAAACCAAAAATTGATAATAATGAAAATAATAGTAAAATTGTTGAAGAATCAGCAACTCCTGTTTGATGAGAATTTTAATTTTATATTATATTTTAATATAGTTATATTATTTATAAAATGAGATTCTAAGAAAATATTCTTAAACTATTTTATTATATAAAAAAGAAAAAATAAATTAAAAAGTAGATGTAAACTTAAAGGTTATATTTTTATATTAAGATTATAAAATTTTAATTTATAGTAAACATCAACGTATATTAAAACAATATGCTATTATAAAATTAATCTTTTATAAAAGAAGAATTTAATTAATAAGGTAATATTTGAAAGGAAAACTAATTGAAATTTATATTTTTATTTGATATTTAATTATTAAAATTAAACAGGAAATCGTATTAATAAAAGTCTATTAAGAATAGAAAATATAACAATATAAAGTATAATTAATAAATTATGCAATATCATTTAAGATTATGTTAAAATTAAATTTGGTTAAATTAATTTACAATTTTTTTAATTTTCTATTTTCTATCCTCTCTATTTTTAATCAACTTTTTGAAAATATCGAAAATTCCAAAATATCAATAATTTAGAATATAATTATTCATATGTTATTAGAGTATTTTGATTGTAAAAACTTTTAGGGAAATACTATGAAAGAATTATAAATTATTATATGTAAAATTTACAATGGGTTCAATTTTAATTAATTAATGATAAATTATTTCTTAAAAATGATCTTTATCTTTATATTTTTTTATTATAATAATAGTCAGTCAAACTATGGTATAATATAATATTATTAGATAAAAAAATAAAGTATTTTTAAAACAAATAGAAGTGTGAGAGAAATATTCTGATATAAAAATAAGAAAAGTATAAAATAAATTATAAATATTTATCTTAGCAGTTTACTAAAAATAGTCAAGTAAACGAAATAAAACATTAATTAAGCGATGACGTTTGATTTTCATTATCGTAATTGAGAATATATTTTATATTATTAAAAACAAATATAAAAGATGGACAACTAATAACTAACAGTGAAAAACATCCAAACAGAGAGCTAATAATTGTCAAACTAAAGAAATCAATAACTTAATTAAAATTCTGAAAATTCAACTATTTCAGAATAAAATGTTACCAATATGTAAGAAAAATTAAGCATGTATAAGATGTTAAATGCTTTAGAAGAAGAAATAGAGGATAGTGACCAAAAGCCAAGTTTAGATGAAGGAAAATGATATTAATAAAAAAATTAACATATACTATCTATCTGATTCTTATGAATAAGTATGAATGATATTTGAAATATTTATATATTTCTAAAATATGGATTCAAGATTCATAAACTAATATGAATTATTATATATTTTAATATTATATAAAATATATCAATAAAAGTATATAATTCAACATATTGCTATTGTTTTTTTCATCTTTTATGAAATTAACTTATATGGTTATGCAATTATTTTTTTTATTATTTGATATTTGTATTTATAAAGTGTTCTTATTTTGCAGGTGAGAAAATCTAAACATCTTAAGCTAATTAAGAAAAATTTTTTAAGTTCTTATTCTTCTTCTTTATTGATTATAGCAAAGAGAGATCTTTGAGGTTATTTGAAGAATAATTTTTTTAATCTAAAGTGATTGAATTTATACCTAATAATTAATTTTCAATTTTTTGATCAAATAAAAAATGTTAATTTCTAATTATAAATAAAGTTATCACTTATTGTTTGATTTCGAGAATTAGCATTTTTCTATACTATCATTTTTTGAATACTCTTTGAAAGCGTTTCCATAATTACTTTCTGCTCTTTAATTTTAAATACTTCTATCATCTATCATTTACTTCTCAAAACCACAATTTTTACATTTAGGTGAAATGTATGAGATTTCATAAGTGAAAAAACCAAATTTTTTTTACTTACTTGATTAAGTTTAAACAGAAGCATCTTAAATAGAATAATTAGATATTTAAGTTTTGATACGATCTTATAATTAGTCATTTTTTAAATCAACTGATTAATCAGTCTTTATTAGTTGTTTATTTTTAGTTAGCCAATTATCACTATAATTTTATGATATTTTACTTAATTGTATTAGAAATAGAATGATTTAATTTAGTAGATTTTTAAACTTTTGAATCAACTAGATTAAGCAGATTAGCTAATACAGTTTTAGAATTTTTATCTTAGGATTTGAAATGTCTAACAGTTTTAGTTGGATAATTATCAGCTTAATATTCATTGGGTTCAGTTCTGAGATTAGGTTTATTTTCTATTGAACTTTAATAATGAAGCATGTTTTCAAATTATGAATCTATCATTTTTAGTAAACCTTGAACTTTTTTATCATATTTTTAATCTGGGGACAACCTTAAAACATATACTATATTAGATTTACAACTATTATTATCCATTTTTGTTTTAATAAACTAATTTTTTGTTTGGAGAATAGACAGTGTAATTCATTTAGCAATTCAACTGAAAAAATATAAAATTTATTTAATTACATGATAATTTATTGTAATTGTTAAAATAATATAATAAGTTAAACAATATTAGTATATTCTAAATTAGAAATAGATATCAATTAGATATGAAATATACATATAGAATTGTAAAAAACTATAAATATTCATTAATGATATAGTATTTATTAAACCATTTCTATACAATAAAATAATATAATAAAAAATCATTGTTATTTAACCTTTTTATTTACATTATCAAATTCTTGAATATCTTATTTTTTTGTTTTTTTCTATAAATTTTATTCTTATTCTTCTCTTCTTTTATATTTTAATAACATTTTTCTTCTTTTAATCTTTCTTAATTTCTCAACTGCTTTATTTGTTTTTGATACTAAAATTATATTATATTATTTAATTTACCAACTCTATTATAAACAACATTCCCTTGCATAAATCCTTCTTCTATCTTATATAATTTTAATTCCAACCTAGGTCCAACTTCATGTAATCTAATACTCATTTATTATGTTTTATGTTATTTATTTTCAATTTCCAATTCCTCTAAATCAGATTATTCTGTATCTGAAGCAAACATTTAATGATTGTTTTATAAAAAATCAGAAAAACTATTGTATTTAGATAAATTTGGTAATTTATTTGCTTTTATTATTTTCTTCATTTTTTTATCTATTCCTTTTAAATTAAAACTAATGTAATAATGTCTTATGTATATCTTATCATTTTTATAAGAAAATAATATAACTCTCTTTTATGTTTTTGGATTTGTATTTTAAACATTAATAGCAGGAAACATTGATTAAATCATATTACCTACTAATTTAATATGATCACTAGTTGGTTTTTAAGGATCATCTGTCTAAAAATCAGTTTGAAATCCATTCATAACAAGTAATGGTGGTGAAAACACTCTAGAAAATGATTTGAACTTTCTTTAAGCATTAAGAACTTCATTTCTATTTGCGTATTTAAGAATACGAAATGTAAAGGTAGGTCCTCTAGGATTTTAAATAAATCTTATGTATGAATCTAATTATTAGGCATTTTAAAATACTCTTGTTAGTTTATGTCATAATAATCATATGTGATATTAAATAATAACCAGCTGCCTAAATGTAATCTTTCATTTTAGTTTTATCTGATTCTTGTAAATTCATGCTTGTAAATGGATACATAACATCTCTATAATCATCAATCAATTATCGTATTGTTTAAGAAACTTTTCCTCTCTTTAAAATGAATGCTTGAAAAATAGATATTAAATATAAACCTTTTGGTGTCTATCCTATTAAATCAAGATCCTCTTCTGTTGCTTCTTTATGTGTTCTTGTTTTTTTCTAATTTTATCATAATTATAAATTTTACCCTTCTTCCTCCAACTTTAGGCATTAATTAAAAATAATTAAAAAAATTTTATATAAAAACCCAACAAAAAATAAACACATGGCTTTCATTATTCTTGATATTACTTCAATTTTTCTATGTAAATATTGTAAAGATCTTTCTAAATAAATAAGTCATAATTTAGTAGTTCAAGCAATAATGATTCCAATTGGTTCAACTCTTTTAAAGTGATACCAGCTATTTTTGAATAATAGTCATTTCTATAGAAATCATCATCTTGAAATTTGATTGCCAAAACTATTGCTATAATTAGAAATCTAATTCATTTGATTTAGATACCTATGAACACAATAGCTATTTAACAATATATCTGGATTTAATTCTTAAACTTTATCCAAATAAATCAAAGCTATAACGAAACATTCATCTGTGCATTTTGCATATTTTGCTATACGAATCAAATAATTTTCGAGTGTTATTGCAGGTATTTTCGAAGCATGAAATAATGTTTATTAAGAATCTAACTTGTCTGTTTCTTAAATTATCTCTTCCAATATTGTTGCAATGCATTTTAAAATAGATGGTTGTTTAGTTCTTTCATGATTCTTCACATTAACTTATATGCTTATTTCTGTCATATAATTTTAATATTAGTAATATGTTTATTTTAAAATATTTAATCAAAATCAAATAAATTCATATACCTCTTGATTAAACTGATGTAGTGACTTTATTTAATTATATTAATTGAATTTCTTTATATTTCCAATTAATTGATCAATTTTATTAATTTTAATATTCCATCATTAATTAAATTATTAAAAACTTAGAATTTTCTTATTTCTCAATAATTCAGATATCTTTAATTTTTATCCTTTAATAAAAGTAAATCAATAAATAAGCTAAATAAAAATGATTCATTTAAATTTTGTTAAACATAATTTAATAATGCTTACCTCAATTTTATTGATTAAAATTTAATGTAAATTAAACTATACTTTTAGAATTAACAAATCAAATTTATCTAATCATACTAATTAACCTTAATTATATAAATCTATTGTTTTTCATTCATTCTAATAAATTTATTTTTATCTAAGTGTTCTTTCTTATTACTTTATTTTATTCTTTATAAATATTTATATATACATTTCATATTAACTTTAATTTTATATTCTAAATCTTATTGAAAATATTATTCTATCCTTCTATAAATTTTACTTGATTAACTCTATCATATTTATTTATTTAGACTGCCAAAAAATTTTATTTTACAAAAAAGGTGAAATATATATTTCATTAACTTTATTTTTGTTCCATAAGCTTTTAGTTATATTTAAATTAATTAGAAAATTTTAGTTTTCATAAATATGTCACCTTTCATATCATTTCTAAAAATTATCTTCTTAAACTCAATAATATACTAAAATTGTTTAACTAATATAGAAGAAGACTGTAAATACACAGATTTTTCAATTGTTGGAACTAGTAATGCAACTACAGATAGATGTGGATCTGATGATTATAATTTATATATGGGTGCATATGGATTTTAAAGTACTGTTTCAAAAACCTTTCCAAGAATACCACCTAATCATGGATTAGAGCTTTAGGTTGGAATTTGGAAATTAGACTCATGGGATTCTGAAGGGTTTGAAATATGGGCAAATGATTAATTGATAGAAAATTTAATTTACACAGGGCCTAAGGGAAATACGATTTGCAGAAATGAAATTTTTTAAGATTAATTTACACATCTTAAACTTAAGTTTCAAATTACAGAAGAAGATTTAACTATCAAATTCAAAGATAAATTAAATACAATGGCTATTGAGAGTGATCTTTGGGATGGTAATTTATTTATATTTATGAATTAGAATCATGGGGTTTTCGGGATATGATTCTTAGACTTTCTATTCCTTGTGTCAATTTTTATAGTGAATGCAATTATTAAGGGACTTTATTTTAGATATGCAAAGGTGAATAGACAAAATAACAGGATGATATTCCTTTTGAAATTAAATCAATATTTATGGGACCAAACATTATTGTTTAATTTAAAGATCCTAATTATTTTGGAGGAAATTTATAAGAGTTTACTTCTTCAGAACCTTGTTTAGATAGTTATTCTTAAAGTAAAACTTATAAAGTATATTATTACCAAATACTCTTAGTTTCCGAAATAAAATTAATTAGAATGAATTAAAAGTTAGAAATCTATTTGATTCCTTTATAAATATTAAGATTTAATAAGCCTTATAATCAATTTTTAGTACATTATAATAATAAAAATAAATGTAAAAATTAAATATTACTTTTACATTATATAAAAATATGCATGCAGGGAAAAATAAATAGTTAAAGATTTCTCATTTTTTTATTAGCTTAATTGAATAATTATAATAAGTTTTAATCATTTTAATGGAACCAGATTCAAAATTATTATCTCTTCTAGAAAAATTAATGATCTAATTGATACACTTAAAATCCATATTACTATCAGAACTACACAATAATAAAAAAGTGTTTATGAATTTACTGATGAAAGGAGGACAACTGATGAAACTAATCTTAGTATATTTACTAACCTATAGCACTAGTAATGAGCAGATCTTTTGGGAAATAAGATAGAGAGAATAGGTAGATAAAGAAAAATATGAAGAATACTAAAAAAACAAGAAGGACCAAAGAAGGGGATAGATTAAGTAGATCATTGCTTAAGAAGAAGAATAAAAAAATATTAGCATTTGTTAACATTATCAAAGTCAGAAAAGTAGTTTTTCATTTATAGGACCATTTCAAAATAGGCATAATCTATTTTGAGGAAACACATTCAATAGCCATTATTAAAGTTAAATAATTTTAGGAAAAGATCTTAGAATAACAAAAAATATTCTAGATATTAAACAGCCATTTACATTTAGGAATCAATAAAATTGAAAAAAAGTAAGGTTTAGAATTTGAATAATGCTGAATTGAAATCTCTTATTTTGAAGGAATTTATTTAATTGATTTATTAGAATCTGATTATATTTATTCTATAGTTTGAACCAATTTAATATTTAAGAAAAGAAAATTCTGGTTGTTCAAGATATATCTGTGAAAAAACTTCTATTAAAATTAAAATCTATATTGAGCTTGATCTTGAACTTTAGGTTGTGGATGTATAGAAATTAAATTCTTAATAATTTTAATTAATCTAATCATAATATCATAAGTGAAATAGAATATATTCATATAAAAAGGAAGAAACCTAATAAATTTGAATAAGTCTGACAATTCAAGAGAATACTCTTTTGATAATCTTTTAGAGGATATCAGGGAAGCTAAAAAGTCTTTAGAAGAAGAATATAGATAATGTTATTAAGTAATTCAAAGACTATCAATTAATTGCTGATAGGTAATTTTTTTATATGATGAAATAAATACAAAAAATGGAGAATATATATCTAAGCCAAAATATATTATAACAAATCATAGAAATATTTGGAAAATGGAAATGAGATAGAATAGGTAAATTCTGAAATCAAGATATTATGATAATAATAATATAATCAATAATCCTCGTCTTCTTCCCAAATCTCTTATAGAATTTAGACCAATTATTTGAGTTTGATTTTCTTCTAGAATGGCTGATATGGACCTTTAATTTAACGAATAACATCTTCAATCTATCTTCTTTCTTGATTGTTGCCCATTAATTTTGATTGCTGGAACATTAATTTATATAATAACTAACAATTACTATAATTTAATTTCAAATTTATGTCAACATCATCAGATTTCTAGCCTCCTTCTCCAAGTCTCTCGCCTAGTTCATAAATAAAATGTTATCAAGAACAATTAGAAAAAGCTCATTCAATGATTGATTATTTGGAAGTGATGCTTGCAGAGAAGTAAGCATTGAAGGAGAATTTTAATTCTTTTAATATACCTAAGACTAAGTCTCACATGAAAAAACAAAGTCTTTGTTTGGATAATATTCCTCAATCAATTTAAATACAATAATTTGTTACTCCCAGAGAAACAAATCAATAAATGAGATTCTCATCTGCTAATATGCCTAGTTATATTTCTGAATTACAATAAAAACATTAAGAAATTCTATCATCAAATAAAGAGAAATCTACTGTTAAAAAACTTTAGATCTAAGAAATATAAGAAAAAGTATAAGATCTTTAAGATGAAATTCTTATTTGTAAAGAAAGATAAAAAGGTACTGAATTAGCAAGAGGATAAGCAGAAGAAGTTCTTGGATAAATTGATGATGAAATTCTACTTGCAAAATAAAAGTTAAAATAAGTAAAATCATAAGGAGAATAAATATATGATAGTATGATGAAATTAGAAGATTAAGAACATGATAAAAAATATTATATGGGTAGAACTTCTACATTAAAGAGAAAAAGAAGTGAAATCTAACCACCAAATCAAATCAAGAACTAATTAAATTAATTAAAAAATGAAATTGATTAACTCAAATAATCCAAAAAAGAAAAAGAGGAATTTTATTCTTAAAAAATTAGAGAAATAGAACATTAATTAGATTAAAGGAAAACAAATGAATCAGTACATGATGATTAACTTAATGCTTCATTAAGTCCTGATAGACAAAAAGTAAGAGTATATAGAGGAAAGCAAGCATTATTGCAGGTAATTTCTTTATCTATATTATAGCTTACACTCAATTCTGATTCTTGCTCAAGGTCTTATGCATTAAGAAAATCTTAAGAAAATAAATTAAATTCAGCATTTGATTTCAAATAATTTGATGAACATGAAAATGTTTCAATAGATTCTTTCAAGAATAAAGATAAAAAGAATAGAACATGTGATCCATGTACTATCTTTTGATTATATATACATAATTAATATTACCTAAATGGTATTAATTGCCAATATATTATTAATTTAATTAATAGTACATTAAGTCCTATTAAAACTATTGCTTTTATGTTTGATATATGAGATACATTCTTATCTTAATAATTTAAATATTGATAAATTATGAATAGGAATTAGTTACTAATATATTTATTTTCCTTAATAATAGAAACAGTATATTATTAATATCATCCAGTTCAACATTGTAAAATTTACTTAGATTTCAGTCCAATATATATATATATGAACCTTTTGGATGATCAAATCTCTTATTAAAATTTAGAATAATAAACTGAATATTTCGAGTTCCTCAATAGTTTAAAGGTTGAAGAGCAATATTTTCCATTAATTCATATTTATTATTAATTAATGTAAAGAGAAAAGCGTATACCTTCTAGGGTTTGGCGATACGAAGAATACTCTCCTCCAAGAAGACCTTCTTCATCAATCAATCGAAGATAAAGAAAGAGAGAATTATGCTATTATAAAATACAAAAAATATCATAAAATTCTTAATTTACTAAAGAAGAAGATGAAAGCATTCTTTAATATGTTAAGGAATTAGGACCTAAATTTGTTAAAATTGCTACTTTCTTCCCTAGCAAGTCATATAGCATGGTGAAAAACAGATACTATAAACATTTAAGGAATAGACTGTTTGAAAGAAGAGGAAGCTAAGAATTGAATCCTAATAATTAAGACACTACTTAACAATTTAAAAATTCCATGATTTAACCTAATAATGAGAAAATAGAAGAATTGAATTAACTTATATCTTCTATAAACTTATTTCCTGAAATTACAGAAATAACCAAAAGTTTCATAGGTGAATTGTCAAAGCATTTGCTCTGAAATTAAGGGGAAAACTCTGTTGACATTGATTTTAATTCATTTGTTAAATTTATATAAATTCCTCATTAAACAATATTATGGCATTATTGAAGGCAAAATTAATATTTTTATCATTCTTGAAAATATATTTTGGAATTGAAATTAAAATGCCATTATTCAATAAGTTTAAACATAAGATAATTAAATCTCAACCATCATTTTCTAATTTAATAGTTATAAATTCTCAATTTAATAAATTACGTTATTTCAAATAGGTAAAACAAAAATAAAAATTAAATAATTTTTATCAATATGAAGTTTATTCTTCAAAATTCTAGAATTTTTATAAACATGACATTTTATAATTCAAAATTAGTTTGAACAACTTATTACATTATATAATAAGTTTTATGATAAACTATTTATTATGACCATGATGTATCCACCATTTTGTTTAATAATATTTTAATAAAAAGATTCTTAAAAACTAATGTAATTGATGTAATAACAATTATTAATTATTATTCTTTTATAAAATATTCTTTATGAAAAAGTTTATAAAAATATGAATATTGTAATTAATACAAAGAAGGAAATAAATGACAATATACTTATTAGTATTGTATCAATAATAATTTATAATATTATTTTTAAAAGAATTTATCAAGCTAATTAGGATATTCATATTAAAAATCATTGATGAACATAAAAAATGAAATGATAAAATAAATATTTATTGAAGAAATTTTCTTATTAATAATGAAATTTAATAAATTATTTGCTTTTATAACTTGAAATTATAATGTAATAATAATAAGAAAGTATATATAAAAAAGATTATAATGAGATAAAAAAAACTAATATGTATGAATGAATATCAACAAAAAATATATAAAATATTAAATAGTTTAAAATGAATACGATGATTATTAACATATTAAAATAAAGGATAAAAATAATTTTTGTGATAACATCAAATTTTATTTTTATTGGGTAAAATAAAGTAATAAGATGATAATTTCTTAGAAAATTTAATAATATAATTTTGAAATTATTAATATGGAGAAGAGTTTAAATAATAGAATTTGAATCAATAATCTCTTGATTATTTAATTAAATATAGTATTACTTATTTTATTCTATATAAAATGAAATACATAAGATTGATTTTGTAATAAAGTAAATCCTTTTTATTATTTAATGTTAATTTAGATTCTTCAATACTGAAATTTATAATATAATTAAATTCTTTTATAAATATAATAAAGAATCTTAAAAATAAATAGAATCCATAAAATACTAAAAAAGATTTATTAAAAGTATGTTATTTTCCAGATTATTAAATATAATATCCTAATACAATATAGTATAAATCTGTAATTTATTTCAAATATTTAATTTTAATAATGATTATAGTTATAATAAATGATATACAGTAATAATTTGCCTGTTATTATTTATTAATTTTATTAATCCCTCCAAATTAAATATTTAAAAGATGTCTAAGAACGTTGAGGATGTATATAAGATGGTTTCTTAAGTTGAACACATTTTATTGAGACCTGATACTTACATAGGGAGTGTAGAGATATCAGATTAAGAATTATGGATTTGTGAGGATAGTGATTAGATTTCATTCAAATTTGAAGAATTTAGTTATTGTTAAGGATTATATAAGATTTTTGATGAGATATTGGTGAATGCAGCAGACAATTATTAGAGAGATAAATCTACAGATCGTATATCTGTGTCAATAGATAATGATACTATAATGGTAGAGAATACAGGAGCAGGTATTCCAATATAAATTCATAAATAATACAATATCTATGTGCCAGAAATGATTTTCGGAAGACTATTAACATCTTCTAATTATGATGATTCTGAATAGAAAGTGACAGGGGGTAGAAATGGTTTTGGAGCAAAGTTAGCAAACTTATTTAGTTCTTATTTCAAAGTGGAAACCATTCATTAATCATAGAAGTTTACAATGATTTGGACAGATAATATGAAGAAACATTCATAACCAGAAATCACTAAGACGAATGAGAAGCCTTACACAAGAATAACATTCAAACCAGATTTAAAGAACTTCTAGACAGATAGATTATCAGATATAGTTCCTTTATTATAGAAACGTGTAATAGATTTGGCAGGTATTTTGCCAATATCTATATACTTAAATGGTAAGAAGGTGCCAATCAATAATTTTAAAGATTATGCTTAATTGTATGGAATAAATGGGAAATTTGCTTATGCATCTTAGAATAAGCCACATAAATGGGAGATTTTGGTAAGTTCATCAGATGGTCAATTTAGTTAAGTTTCATTTGTAAATTCTATTAATACAATAAGAGGTGGAACTCATGTAAATTACATAGTAGATTAAATAGCTGAAGGGTTATTGAATCATATAAAAAAGAAATATAAAGAGATGAAAAACATTAAACCTTTTTAAGTAAAGAGTTTCATTAAAATATTTTTAAATTGTTAAATTGTGAATCCTGCATTTGATTCATAGACTAAAGAAACATTAACAACAAAGGCTTAGAAATTTGGTAGTACATTTGAAATAAGTGAGAAATTTATAGATGAAATTATAAAAAAAACAGAGATTATAGATAATGTTATATTGTAGGCTAAATCAAGATTAAATAAATAATTAAGTAAATAATTATCAGCCAAAAAACAATAAAGATTATTAGGCATAGATAAATTAGAAGATGCAAATGATGCAGGTACAAAAAATGCTGATTTATGCACTTTAATATTAACTGAAGGAGATTCAGCTAAATCATTGGCTATGGCTGGAATAGAAATAGTAGGTAGAGATAGATTTGGAGTATTTCCTTTAAGAGGTAAGTTATTGAATGTTAGAGATGCATCAATATAAATGATAATGAAAAATTCAGAAATTGAACAATTAGTGAAAATTATGGGATTGTAATTTAATAAAAATTATGAAAATACAAAATCTTTAAGATATGGATCAATCATGATTATGACTGATTAAGATCATGATGGACATCATATAAAAGGATTGATCATTAATTTTATAGAAAAGTTTTGGCCATCTTTATTTAAAATGAAAGGTTTTCTTAAATAATTTGTTACACCAATTATTAAAGTGACTAAAGGTAAAGAGTCTCATAGTTTCTTTTCAATAGGAGAATATAAAAAATTTATTGCAGAAAATCCTACAGAAGATTATAAAGTTAAATATTATAAAGGTTTAGGTACTTCAACTGATGCAGAGGCTTAATAATACTTTAGTAATTTAACATTGCATAGGAAAGTCTTTACTTATTCTGATCAAACAGATTCTGATTATATTGATTTAGTATTTTCAAAAAGTAAGGCTGATTAAAGAAAGGATTGGCTTTCAGAGTATTCATGGAAATAAGTTGAAGATACTCTTGATTATAGTAAACCAACTGTTAGATATCGAAATTTTGTAACTGATTGTTTGTCTATGCATTCAATTAATGATAATTTAAGATCAATACCTTCTAGTATAGATGGACTTAAACCTACATAGAGAAAAATTATACATACTCTTCTAAATCATAGTAAATAAGAATATAAGGTAAGTTCTTTAAGTGGATTGGTTACTACTTATGCTTAATATCATCATGGTGAATAATCTCTTTAATAAACAGTAGTAGCTATGGCATAGAATTTCACTGGATCAAACAATATCAATTTATTATTACCAATTGGTTAATTTGGTACTAGATCAATGGGTGGAAAAGATGCAGCTTAAGCTAGATATATTGGTACTAAATTAAGTCCTCTTACAACAAAAATCTTTAATGAAGATGATTTACATACATTAAATTATTTAGATGAAGAGGGATACACTGTTGAACCATTTTGGTTTACTCCAATTTTGCCTTTGGTTTTGATTAATGGAGCTGAAGGTATAGGTACTGGATGGTCTACTCAAGTACCTAATTTCAATCCAAGAGAAATATGTTAATAGATCAAACGAAAATTGAGGGGTGAAGAATTTGAAGAGTTAGTACCATGGTATAAAGGATTTACAGGTTCAATTACAGCTGGAACCAATTAATATATAGCTAAAGGATCATTTATTTAACATAAGAATCATATATATATTACTGAAATACCTCCAAAGAAGACTGTTAAGGAATATTAAGCATTTATATAATCGAAAATGGAAATAGCTGAAGGGAAATCAGAACCTGAAATATTAGACATGAAAGAATATCATGCTGGTAATAAAGTATGTTTTGAATTAAAAGTTACTGATGAAGTATTAAAATAAGATTTAGAGAAATATTTTAAATTGTAAACTACTATTGCTATGACTAATCTTGTATTATTTAATGAAAAAGGTTTATTAAAAAGATATTCTAATGTTTCTGAAATATTAGAAGAGTTCTATTAAACTAGAATTAAATATTATTAATTAAGAAAAGAATACTTACTTTCTAAATATTAAAATGAATTAGAATTAGTTCAATCTAAATCTAAATTTATTGAAGGGATGATAGATAATTCAATATAATTAAGAGGATTAAAGAAAAATGAAATGTGTAAGAAATTATAATCACTTGGTTTCAAAGGTATTAGTAAGATGGAAAAAATAAAGAGTACAAGAAACTTAAAAGAAATTGATACTGATAATTTAGAAAAACAATATGATTATTTATTGAGTATGCCAATGTGGAATTTTAGTGAAGAAAAAATTATAGCTTTTAAATAATAAATCAAATAATTATAAGATTAAATTAATTAATTGAATAAGAAAACACTTTAATAATTATGGTCTGAAGATATAGATGATTTTTTAGATGAATTAACAAAGGTGGAAGAATAAGAAACTTAAGAAATGATTAAAAGAGTAGAAAAAAATGCTGAAAAATTATTAAAAGGTGGAGCAAATTATTTAAAAACATATTTATTAAAAGGAAAAGATGATTTTGCTTAATAAGAAGATTATGATTCAGAATCTGATGGTGATGGTCCATCTAGAGATCCAAGAGTATTAAAAAAAGTGATTAAAGAATTTGCAAATTTTGGTATTAAATCATTAAGAGATATACCTTAATAAAAATTTAAAATATAGATTGATAAATAAACAAAGAAAAAAGATACAAAAGAAAATTAAGATGATAATAAAAGTGAAAAACCAATTTCAATGGATTTAGAAGATGACAGTCCAAAAAGAAATAAAAAAGTTGTTGATAGTTAAAGTGAAGATGAAATTATTAATTAAAAAAAGTATACTAGAAGAAATTAAAAATAAAATGATGTTGAAGAAATTTAAATATCAACTAATAAAGATTCATAAATCAATAAATTTGATAATAAAATTAATAAGGTTGAATCAAAAATTGAAAAAGCTGAATCTAAAATAAAAAAGAGTAGTAAATTAAAAAAAATTGTACCTTAATATGATTCAGAAAATAAAGCATCTGAAATTAAAAGAAAAGCTGAACAAGAAAAAGCAGAAGAAGATTAAAAATTAATAGAATAAGAAAAAGAAGAATTAGAAAAATAAAGAGTTCCTGTTGATTCTTTAAAAGTTCCAATTTAAGATAAAGTAGAAATGGATCTATTTTAAAAATATGGATTTGGAGATTTTATGAAATACCTTACACCAATTAATGGTAAAGATAATAATCCTATTCCATCCTTAGCTGATAGAATACTTTAAAGAACAAAATAAGGAGAAATTAATTTTGACAAAATTATAGCTGATAAAAAATAAGAAAGTGCCTAAAAAGAAAAAAAAGATTCAGATCATGAAATTGAAGATTTTTTATAATTAGACTTAAGTGAAGAATCAGATAATAAATAAAAAGAAAAAGTTACAAAAACTACTCAAAAAACTACAGTTGAGAGAAGATCAGCCAAAAAGAATACTGAATAATAATCATAATAAATAACAACAACTCCTTCTAAAAGAAAGTAAAGAAAGTAAATAATTGAATCAAGTGATGAAGAGGAGCCTTTAAATAAGAAACAAAAAAGAAAATGAGTATATAATTAATAATGATATTTTTAATAGAAATTTGATATATATATAAATATGAATAAACTTATTTCTAATTATTATTCATTTTATATTTATTTAACAAGTTGTCTTTAAAATTATATATATATATATATATATGTTAATTTATGAATCTAATTAATTTGAAGTGTTATTTATATTTAATATTATAATAATTATTATCATATATAAATTGATTTTGATATACTTTTAAATGAATCCCAAAAATAACTTTAGAAAGATATATTAGCATCCAATCAAAATTAATTATATATGATAGAAATTCTAAACAAATTAAAAATTAATATGAATCTAATATAAAATTGATGATCATATATATTATAATTATATATATATATTTTTATAAAACTTTTTCATTGATTTAATTTTCTGATCATATTCTAATATTAATATTAATTATGAATAAAAAAGAAATTAAACAAGATGGTGAATCAGCTCCATTGACAAAAACAAGTTTACTTAAAATTGAATCTAAAGAAGGATAGATTATATATATATTCACAAAGTTATTTGATCATCCAATACGATAATAAATTAAATTTGCATTTGGATAGATTAATGTGTTTATTGAAAAATAAGGAATTAAATGTTTCAAAAGTGAAATGAATAGCATGGAATGTTTAAATTAAGGAATTGATTGGGATTAGAAATATTTTGACAAAATTATCACATGTTTAGAAAGACCTGATAAAGATTTTAGGTAATATATATATTTAATATATTAAATAGCTATTCATTTAAAAAAAGTGAAGGTAATGAACAAGTTCCATGTGATTATATTCTAATATTATCAGAAAAAGTTCATAAATTGAATGAAGTAATTTTATTAAGAGTTTATTTGATTGAAAATCCATCACTTTCAAATTTAGATCATTTTTACAGAGTTTGTAAAGAGATATAAGACAAAAAGGATATAGCATATAAAAATTTAGAAGAAAAATTTACAAATTTAACTTAATAAAGATAAAAACTATAAACAGATATTGAATTTATTAGTAATTAATCATAATCGAGAGAAAAAGAGATTTTAAAAAAATTTGTCCTATTATTAAATGAGAAAAAGAAGGAAATATGTAGATTAAATTAAATTAATGGATTAATATCTAATTAAATAATAGAAGAAGAACAATAAAATAATAATTATATAAATGTAGATGATTTTTTTGAAGAAAAATAAATACCAGTTAAAAAACAATATGATGAATAAGTTCAAAATTCTTAATTTCCAGTCAGTTAAATAGATTAATTTTTATTCACTTAGGATACATAATTTAAGAAAGATCTCAGAGAAATCCCATCAAAAAAGACAAAATTATGATTATTTTTTGTAAATTTATTATTGATCTCAAAATCAATATAAGTCTAAATTATAGTTATTGAAATTCTTCTAAAAGACTTTGAATTCAAATATCTAATAAATACTATAGAAATAAAAAATATATTTGAATTAAAGTTATAATCAAGAAATTATTTTATGTTAAATTCTTAAAATATTATAGAGTATTATTTTATAATATTTAACACAATAACCATGATCATCATTCTAAAATAGGAACCTTGTTATAGTTTTTTTCTTAAATAAACACTGATAAATGATAATTTTAACATTTATCATAATTATTAAATTATTTTTAAAAAAACCAACATCAAATGGTTGAAATCACTATGATTAGTGTATTATTTTTTATGACAGATTCCTTTTGTTTATGGAAGACATAATTCAAAGAATAAACATTTACAACGCCTTCGAATTGGTAAATTACTGGGGCATATAGTGGAAATAGAGTTTGCACCTGCTCAGGTCTAAGTGTTTTTGGGGGATATTGTATTGTTGGTGCAGGAAGCTAAATGCATGGGTCATATTCAAATATTCCGAATCATACTGAGATAAAAGTGGTATTAAAAGTTTACTATATTGATTCATGGGATACAGAGACAACTGAAATTAATGTTGCTGGATTAGTTTAACAGAGAACTTGGTTTTTTGAATGGGGATCAAGTGATTTTTGTGGATCAGCTTATTAAGATGGGTACTTTTGGGACACTTTTTAAGGAAGTCATACTGCAGATTCATTTTCTATTCATGTTTCAAATGGATTAAACGAAGATCCATGTAATGGTAAATTTAACATTAAACTTTTAGAATCATTAGGGTTAAGGGATGTATCAATATATCTAAAACCTGTTTAATGCGTACAATATTTTAGTGAATGTAATTATACTGGAACAATGAAATAAATTTGTCAAGGATCACCAAATTTAGATAGAAGAAATATACCTTAGTAAATAAAATCAATTAGACTTCATGGTTGTGGAAGAGTTACTCTAACAAAAAAAGGTTAGGGTTCAATAACAATAACTGAAAATGTTCCTTGTTTGACAGAATTCGATGTAATTTATTAAGTTTAAGTTGTAGTTTCCACCAGTTGAAAATGTAAATAGATGAAAAATGATTAGTTATAAGTACTTTATTCAAATGAGTTTTTAATACCAATTAATTATTTCAAGGTAAATTCATTTTATTTAAAATAAATTATCAAAAATCACATTGTTCCATTTCTTGGTCTGTGTCATAATAAATATTTGGAATCATTCTAATACATTACCTAGCTGTCTTAATAAGATTCAGTTTTTATAAAGATTTAACTAAAATTAATATTTATATTTGTACATTTTTATAAATAATAATGCAGAGATTCAGGAGACATTGATAAAGCTTGATTAATGCATTTTAAAGCATCGACCCATCTTTCTTATTTTTCTAATTGTCTAGCTAAACATATAAAGATATAAAAATATAAAATTACCCTTATTCTCATATAATTATATATTTTCAGGTTGATAAGAGATGGCTTAATCGTATAACTCTATAATCTATTCAAATTTTTTCTCGTCATATAAGATTTTTGCTAAATAAATTCTTTGATACATTTAAAATAATATCCTTCTATATTTTTAGGATACTTTTTAATCAGATTATCTAAAAAAATGGTAGCTTCTTATTTTTGATTAATATCAATTAAGAATTGTACTAAAAATATCACTTATCAAAATACTTCTATCAATTTCTAAGTTTTCATCTTCATTTTCTTATAGTAATTAGGAATAACATGTTTTAATTTATTCATTAATCAAGTCTTCATTATTAATTATTTATAAATACCTTCTTCTTTATTATTATTTTCAAATTATTTTGATATTTTCTTCTTGTATTTTATTAATGTTTTTACTAAGATTAAATTGTTATTTTAAACTTTTCATTTTATAATATTCAACTTCTTTATTTTATTTCTAAATTAATTCATCCCAAATTTCAATGGCTTAAAGATATGATTTCTATTTATGTAAAATTTCACCTAATAATTTTGTTAAATTTCAAACCTTTTTTTTGTAAAAATAGGATTTAATTAGGAAACTATTATATAGCCTTATCACAAACAGAAATTATCTCATTATAATTTTGATTTATCTCTAATGCTTTAACTAAATGAATCATAAAATAAATAACTTAGATAATCATATCCTTCAACAACTTCACAAAATTACTAAACAAATTACACCCACATTTATATGATTTATTCTTATCTATCAAGTTATTTTAAAGCATTTGCTGATTAAATTGATTATATAGTTACATTTTAAAATATATAAATCTAATTCTTATGGATGGTTGGAAATAATTTAATTACAAAGTTCCAAAGACTCATTTGCTTTTTTGAATTATAATAATGCTTTTGCTATGAATTATACATTAATATTCTTACCTTTTAATTTAAAAAATTGATTTTTAGAAATATATTTCTCAATTGCTAATTCACACAATTCTAATATTTACTCAAAACATTTTTATTTTTCTAAAATGCTTTCTAAAAAATCATCATGACCTTACATAATAAATTATATGCTATTTGCTCATTAGATTAAGAAATTAATATTTTAGATTTTTCAACTGCTTCTAAAAATCTGTCTGATTTTATCAAACATAAAACTAATATTTACATTTTCATTACTTTCTTCTATTTATTTGCTTTCAATATTTGTCATTTCATCATCCAAATTATTTAACATTTAAATATTATATATTAAATATACATTTATCTTTATATCAAAATCACAATTAAGAACTTATCAAAATTAGTAAAGTTCAAAATTAGTAAAGTTCAAAATACTTCTTAAAATATAATAATTATTTATGTTGAAAAATATAAAATAATTTTAAGTATTTACTAGTTTTAATTATATATATATTATTAACTGAATATAATCGATTAAATCTTAATCATTATTATAAAATTTAAACTTATGAAAGTAATATTGTTGATGGTCTTAACACTCTTAGTGTTAGGGAATTCTTAATAGATAGACATACATGTTAAAGATGTCTATTTAATTGTTAAAGGAGTTGTAGAAGGAGTGTAAGTAGATGATCATGTAGAAGTGAAAGAAATTGTGTCATGCTTAAATGATTCAGAAGCATTAATAGACAACATTGTGAAGGCTATTTAAAATTTAGAGACTTAAACTTTTGATGGTGTCAAAGAAGGAATTAAATTAATTGGAGTAGCCATTTAATAAATTCCAGATGCAATCACTGCATGTGAATCTGGATCTGAAGAAATGGTAGCTTTGTCAAGTATACATAATATTAATTAATAGAACTACTTACTAATATGCTTGAACAATTAAGAAACCCTTGGACATTCTCATATAAAATTGGTTACAATTTAATTGTTAATGGTTTAGATATCTATTAAGAAATAAGTAAATACTATTTATAATCTTAGACACTGCTATAAAAGATTGGAAATCAGAAATTTATGAAGATTTTGGAAAATAGATTGGATTTGTTTTGGTTTAACTACTTAAAGAAACTAAAAATATTGATGCTGTTATTTTAGATGATGAAGTTATTGGAATTATATTTGAAGGATTATTAGATGGAATTGTAGATGCAAGTGGAATTAAAGCAAAAGATATTAAAGCTTGTTTAAATGTTGCTGGTGGAATTGTTATAGATTTTGAAAAAGCTGTTAGACTCTTAGAAGATGGTTCTGTGTCAAGTGTCATCTAAGCTTTATAATCATTTGTAGAAGGTCTATCTGAATTCCCAAAGGCTCTTGAAACTTGTTAGTCCTCATCTCAAGAAGCTTTAAAATTAGCTCAAAAAATCAAAGACTTAATTGAAGCCTTATAAAATCCAAGTTCATTCATCTATCATATTGGAAAAGATTTAATCATTAATGGAAAGGACATTTACTAAGAGGTATCTATATATATATTAGATTTTTATAGATATTTGCAGCAGTTGATGATTGGAAGTATGGAAATTGGAGTGATTTCGGTTTCTAATTGGGTAAAGCAATGGAATAAATATTTATTGGACTTTAAAAAGAAAAATTATATTAATTATGAAATATTAATAATTTCAAACTAATTATATATTAAAAATTATTTAATTGTTTTCTATTCTTAAGGAATATCATAAAATATTAGATCAATAATTATTTTATTATAACACTCATTCTTTTTTATTATTTTCTAAAACATAGAAATAAACTGTCCCATTTATTTTTCTCTCCTTTGTCAAAACCAAAAGATCAGGATCTTAAATAATTGATTCCCAATCTCTATTACAAAATTAACCTAAATTTCTTAAGTATTTAGCTTATTTATATTCCAAATATAGATTGAGTATGTCATAAGTGCTTTTACCAGATGTAAGTAATAATATCTTGCCGCCCTATATATACAAATTCATTTTACCTGGTTTACAAACCCTTTTCATTTCTGATATTGCTTTTTCAGGATTTAGATAATATTCTAATCCAAAAGTATCTAAAATCGTATCAAAAGTATTATCTTTGAAACTCATATTCTCTACATCTTCCAATCTATAAGAAATGTTAATGTTTGAAGCTGATTTTAATAATGCCACCTCTAAGACATTACTACTCCAATCAACAGCAGTTACATCACTGCCTTAAGGATAATACTTAAGATTCCTAGAAGTCCCAACACCAGTTTCTAATATTTTGCCTGAACAAAGTCCCACTATTGTTTTTCGATATGATTACTAAGGTTATAACTAGTATTACAATTTTGCTTGTTTGTTCGTAAGAATCAAATGTAGGATCATAAACATAAGCAGCATTCTAATGTTGTTATAGTAAATATTATCTTTTATCAGGAAGAGTGTCAAAGTACAATTCCTTAAATTACTTTGCTTCATTTATTTTATAACTTCCATATGCTGCCACACCAAAAAGAGCTTAAGTAATTTCATATTCTATTTACCTACTGAAGCACCTACGAATCTGCCAATCATAAATAATTATTATATTTATTCAATATTAATCCACTGATATATTTTTAATATTTTATAAAAATATAATATATGAATATATCATCTCAATTAAAATTCTTAGGTTGTTATTAATGATATAAGTCAATTTATAATAAATGTACATTATTATAACAATTTAAATGTCTAAGTACTAAAAATATTACTGTATTATGTATTATAAATCTAAATTTGAAAAGATGAATACAATTAATCCTATTTGAGTACTCTTAAATTATAATCATCATCATTTCATTTAATTTTAAAATTTAATTGTTTGTAAATTTAATATTTTAATATTGGTTATTATAATAAAATGCATAATAAAATAACCATAAAATTTTAGAATTTGAAGTATTCATCAGATTTAAATTAAGATGAAATGTAGAAATTCAATGACCATGAATAGTATTGGAATATTAAAAATAATAATGAGTGAAGAACATCCAGCAATTGTAATTGACAATGGTTCAGGTTAATGTAAAGCAGGAGTTGCAGGAGATGATGCTCCTAGATGTTGTTTTCCAGCTATAGTTGGAAGACCTAAGCATTAAGGTGCAATGGTGGGAATGGATTCAAAAGATGTTTATGTAGGAGATGAAGCATAAGCCAGAAGAGGAGTTTTGTCCTTAAAATATCCAATTGATAATGGAATTGTTAATAATTGGGATGGTAAATATCTTATATTTATTTTAGACATGGAAAGAATATGGCATCATGCATTCTTTAATGAATTAAGAGTATCACCAGAGGATCATCCAACACTTTTGACTGAAGCTCCAATGAATCCAAAAGTTAATAGGGAGAAAATGACTTAGATTATGTTTGAAACATTTAATGTCCCATCATTCTATGTTTAAATATAAGCAGTTCTTTCTTTGTATGCTTCAGGAAGAACAACAGGAATTGTTGTAGATTCAGGAGATGGTGTAACACACACTGTACCTATTTTTGAAGGTTATTCACTTCCTCATGCCATTTAAAGGATAGATTTGGCAGGAAGAGCTTGTACTTAATATCTAGTAAGTATTTTGAATGAATTGGGAATTTCATTTACTTCTTCAGCTGAAATGGAAATAGCTAGAGATATTAAAGAGAAATTATGTTATGTTGCATAAGATTATGAAGCAGAAACAAAAACATATAAAGAAAGTGCTGCTAATAATAAACCTTATGAATTACCAGATGGAAATGTTGTAGTCATTTAAAATTAGAGATTCAGATGTCCAGAATTATTATTTAAACCTAACTTTATTGGATTGGAAGTACCAGGAATTCATGAATTAACATTTAAATCAATTATGAAGTCAGACATTGATGTTAGAAAAGACTTGTAATATTAAAATCTTATAATTATTTAGATATGGAAATATTGTTATGTCTGGAGGTACAACTATGTTCCCAGGAATACCTGAGAGATTAAGTAAGGAATTAACAAATTTGGCACCATCTTCAATGAAAGTTAAAGTAGTGGCTCCACCAGAAAGAAAGTTTTCTGTTTGGATAGGCGGATCAATTTTATCATCATTATCAACATTTTAAACTATGTGGATAACAAGAGCTGAATATGATGAAACAGGATCTTAAGTTGTTCATAGAAAATGCTTTTGATTAATATCATATCATTTTAATTAACACTATATCTATTAAATTTAATCTTTTATATAAATGGATAATTTCATCTTCTACTTAATGGTCCTGCACTACCTTATCGTGTAATCTATCTAGGATCTCTTTAAGATGTGATTTAAAGTGGATTATTTCTATGAGCTGAAGCTTAATGTTAAAGTATTGGTCTGGCTATTCTATTTGGTGCTAATGGAGGAGGTTATTAAATTTCAGATTAACCTGATTTTTTTGGAGGTAACTAATTTATTTAATTAGTATTAATTTTAGTTTGGATGGTATTCTAAGTTTTTAGTTTTTGACAAGATTCAGATCTTTTGGGTTTAGTAATATAGTTTTATGAAGGCAGATTTAATTATTTGAGATTTTTTGGTATTTATATTGTTTATAGTAGATCAATTTATATTTTACCATCTACTATAGTCTAAACAGCTAGATTGCCACTATTTTTTATTAACAATGAGGATTATAAGAGTTGATCACAAGTAAATCTATCTTTTGGTTTTACTTTTAACATAAAAGATATAAATTGATTGAGATCCTAATTATTTATTGGGTCAAACTATCCTGATTATATTTTTTAATTCAAATCTTATAAGTCTTTGCCATTAAATGGAGGTACACCCTTAGCCAATTCATAAAGCAGACATCCAAGAGACCATATATCACAAGGGTATGAATATTATATACCTTGCCAAACTTCAGGAGCAGCATACACTTATTATAAATAAAACAATACATGGTGTTCCAATTATGGTTTTAGCAATATTCCCTTTAGCTATTTTACTAATATTCAAATCACTTATTTTATATTAATAACCTGATAAAGATTTCACAACTAAAATATTGGCTAGTTTAAGATCTCTATGTAGAATTTGATTGTCATGAAGACATTTCAATCCTAAAAGTAATTATACTGCAATTCTCCATATTTCTTGATTTGTAATTACATTCTATTATTGGAGTTGTATGAGATTCCCTATTGGAGCATATTCCATTACAATATAAAGAATGCAGCCATCTGAATCTAAAAATGAATCTTTGTATTCAATGATATATTGACTATTAATTGAAGCAAGAATTCGTATTTCATTGAGTGTATTTAGTTTTTCATTTTGAGTTTGAAGAGAGAGATTAACCTTCTTTAATGCATAAAACTAATTGTCTGTAATTCTTTTGACCTTATTAAAATATGTTATAAGGATGTTACTTTGTAGACTTGACTGAAGGAGCCTTCTCCTAATTTGTCTATTATAATAAAATCATTAATCGTTGTTGGCATTAATAAAAATATAAAAATGGAAATTATCATTCACACTTTCGAGAGATTCTTTGGTCCAGTCGATTGGAAGCGTCTTAAGACTGATGTACTTTGTTAGTCCTTAGTAAAAATGTGAAAGAATTGTGTTTAGGTAGAAGAGGGATTCAGTCCAAAGGAAGCAAAAGAGTTATCTTGGTTGTACGGCCATAGAAATATTGGAAGAAACTTTGGTATGGATTTTAGAATAATGGTGTAGGATTTGTGTTGGGAGTTGGAGTTGCTTATTGTTGCAATAGTTGGATTACAAGATGGACCTATAATATTCCTTACCTGAGACTCCATCGTTCTTCATTATGGGTATCAAGAGCATTGGTAGTGTTTGGTACTCTATAATTATTTGATTACTACTCAACTGCAAGAAGAAAGGGAGGTGATTCAGGTTTGGGTCATGATTTGATGTGGGTTAATACCAGATATACAGAATCTAAAGAAAGATTTATTAGAAATTTTGAAGTTTTGAATAGAAAATTATCAGATATTGAAAAGGAAATCTTGACAGTATGATTTGATACATATAAATTAAAGGCAAGATAAATTCAGTTGACTTCACCAATCAAGGATAGAAGATGGGTATATAATCCATATATTCATGGTTCAGATGAAGAAGCATTTTGGAGCAATGTAAGAAGAAACTTCTTAGATAAATTACCTCCATGGGAGAGATATGATGTTTAATAATAGTAATTTCAATTTTATATTCTAGGATTGCTGCTGATAATAAAGAAAAGATTGCTGAAGGTGAGTAAATCAGATTGAAGCCTTATAAATTAACAGACGATGTTGATACTTCAGGTGTTAAGTTTGGATTTAGAAGAAACCCATTTGTTAACAATTGGACACCACTTTAGTGAGTAATTCCATTTAATTACAATAAAAACAATATTTATCATAGATTGTATATTAATTTATTATTTACTCCTACAATGGAGTCAAAATATTAATTAACTAAAATATCAACTTTGAAGAAATCGTTCCAACATAGCTCTAAGAGTATCTGATAGTTATTGATGATATTGAATTGATCTATTACTCATCAACATAGCTTAATCAAGGGAACTCTAAAATATTTCAATCAAATGATCCTCATTACCATTTAATTTTAATTGTTCATTCCAGAACTTTACTCCTGTTACTTTTTAATAGATATTAATGGATCTTACTTTCAAGTTTATTAAGGAGAATGATCAATGACTCCTTTGCTTGTTAGTGAGTGTTTTTAGATTGAGAGTAGAAAAGTTCTTTATCCAAAAGATCAAAGGAAGATTCTAACTGTTCATTCATCATTCCAATAAGAGTTTCTTATATGACACTATGCATCAAACTTAATAATTGTAGAGCTTCATTTTTTGAATTTAAATGGTTGCTTTATTTAAACAATCGATCTACTCCTTTTATGAAGAAATCCAATTCTTAACTTGGATTGGATTTGAAAAGACCTATCATTATCTTTGATTCTAATAATTCTAAAGTTTTAAAAATATCTTAAATATTAGAAGAATCAACCACTATTTATTTAATTGCCCATTTTTACCTTCTTTAATTTTTTAAAGTAAAAAGTTGTATTCATCAAAGCGCTTCTACGTATCTTCTCTAGCCTGATGCTTTATCTTTGCTAATTCTCTTGTGTCAGTCTCAATCAATTTATCCTAAGACAATGAATAAAAGAATGATACTTTGTCTATGATTAGGCGTTTTAGAAGATTTATGACTTTTAGGTATGTCTCATGAAGAAAGAGTTCTAAGCTATCCTTTTCCTTTTTTTCTGAATTGAGTCTCTACTTAAGTAATTTGTGGACCTAAAGTAACCATATTCTAACTCACATCAGCAAAATGTTCTAAATAAATTGTCATCCCTTCCTCCTCAAACTCTCTATCCTAGCGAGATTTCCATTCTAATTTCTCTAGAGCAGTATAATATTCCAATTAAGATATGGACTCCTTAATGCCGTTCATCTGATTATAGATTTCCATCAATTATTATTCTTGTACATAAGCAAGAGCCGGAATCAATAATAAATATAACATTAATTAATTAATTCTAATTGTATACATATCTCATCATATCATCTCAACCATCCTCCTTAACACGAAACTTCCGAATATTAATAATTAAAAATGTCAAAATCATCTGTAATTGATGTATTCCTCAGAGTCCGTCCAACAAAAAATCCATCAAATCTCTTTAAACTTAATAAAGATGAGGGTACAGCTGAATTCACAATACCAAAGAATCCAGATTAAGGTTATATAAATAACCAAATTGAAAAACATACATTCAATTTTGCAGGAGTTTTTCCTACTGACACTACTCAAGAGGAAATCTTTGATAAAATAGCCAGAGATGTTGTTGATTCAGCTATTGAAGGTAAATAAATCTTATAATTAAAGGTTATAATGGAACAATATTTGCATATGGATAAACAGGATCAGGTAAAACTTACTCAATGACTGGTAATCCTGAGGCTAGGTCATCTGCAGGTATTATACCACGTACTCTATATCATATCTATGATTATGCACGAAGAGAATAAGAATTAGTAACATTCAATTTCAAATTAGATAATCGATGTCACCATTAGTTATTTAGAAATATATGGAGGATCTGGATATGATTTATTAGTTGCTGATAATAGATCTAGAAATCTACACGATTTACCAAAAGTTTAAGCTATGGCAACTGCAAATGGATAAACTATTTTATAAGGATTATCATTGAAAAAAGCATAAACAGAAGAAGATGCACTTAATCTATTATTTATAGGAGAATAAAATAGAGTTATTGCAGAAACACCAAAAAATGATGCATCTACAAGATCTCATTGCATTTTTATTGTTATTTTAGAATGTCGTAAGCCAACTTCAGATGTCAAAACTGTTTCTAAATTATGTTTAGTTGATCTTAGTGGTAGTGAAAGAATTGGGAAAACTGGAGTTGAAGGTATTCTCTAAAGAGAAGCTACAGGCATCAATTTATCATTGCATTTTCTAGAATTAGTTATTGATTGTTTAAATCGCTAAGCTAATGGTGAAAATATTCATATTCCATATAGAGATTCATTAATGACACTTGTATTAAAAGATTCTTTGGGTGGAAATTGTAAAACAAGAATGATTGCTACTATGTCTAGTGAACCTGAAGATCTACCTGAATCTATATGTACTTGTAGATTTGCTGGAAGAGTTGCTAATATTAAAAATAAAGTAACTAGAAATGAAGCTGTTGATCCATTCATAATAATAGAGAAGTTGAAAAGGGAAAATTAATAATTGAAGGCAGAATTAGCAATGATAAAAGGTTAAAGTATAAAAGATCATTTGGAATCTTATGAGATTGATGAATGTAAAAAGAAGGTAGATGAATTCTTAAACTCTGAAGATCCTGCAGCTATTCTGGTTGTGAATGACTATTTAAAAATGAATGAATGCTTTTTCTAACTTAAACATATGCTTAGAAATTTAAATAAGAAAGGCTAATCCTAACCTGTTGTTTAATAACCATAACCATAAGCTATTACTAATAATACAGTTGAAGTTTAATAATTAAATGATGAAGTTTTAAGATTAAAATAATTAATAATATAAAGAGATAATGAAATTATGATACTACTAAATTTAATATAGAAAGGTAAAGGATCTAATGCTAATTAATCATTGGTATTGCAAGGACCTATTTCAGAATAACCTGAAATTCAATAAGCTAATACATCTAGTATTTTATAACCAATTGAATTTCCAAAACAAGCTGAAATTGATAGACAAAGTTAAATTTTAACTGAAAAACCTGCAGTTAAGAAATAGAATTTTATGCAAGGTAGTTTAGATAGTGAACCAATGAGTTAAACAACTAAAACTACTAATAATGCATAATTCAAAGAATTAAATGGCATGTTAGCAGAACCAATTAATATTACTAATGATCAATTACTAGATCGAAATTCAGCTTTAGAAATGTTCAGAAAATCTTATAGGAAAGCATAAGCATAAGAAGATTTAAAGTAAGAATTATAAGAAAAAATGATGACTAGTAAAGAATTAGGATTGTTTATTAATAATCAAAGAAATGTTATTAGTTAATTAAAAGATAAAATTGAATAATCAAGAAAAGAATAAGTATTGCTTGGATTAGTAAACAGTGATCCTAATCAAGTAAGCACAGAAGAAGAGAAACTAATTGCTGAATATAATAAATAAAAGGATATGTAATTAAAATTATTATTAAAATATAGATATAAATAGTCTTTTGATAAATTGAAGTAATTGAAAGCAGAAGTAGAGAGAATGAGCACATAATTGAAGCACAGTAGAGAGAAAATGTAATAAGATTTTGAGAAATGGATTGATATGATGTTGAAATAGAGAAATTTGAGTATGGCTGCAACATCTGTGTTATCAGATTTTAAGAATTTATCATAAAAAGGAGGAGAGGATGTAAATAGTATGGTTTAGCAGTTTTACAAAAATAAAGAGATTTGTAATTAATTATTATAAAAATGATTGATTTACTATAAATATTATGTGAAATTTTGTTTTGTGATAATGTTTATCTTGATACATATTTAGATCATTCTTTGATTTAATACTTCTTTCTCATTTCGAAGTACTTTCTATAATTTTAATCTCTAGATCTAGATACTACTATATCTTTGGCATGAAGGTATGAGTAAAACATTTGGGTCAATGGCATTCCTTGACGAGCCAATCTAAAATCAAAAGCAATAATTACTTATCATTATTATATCCTGTATTAATAAGACCACTTCCTTCAGAGTTTTTACCAGCAGTCAAGAGATAATACTCTCTTTTTTAGATTTAATCTAATTATTATTATGCTCAATTTACTTGATTCCATTTTGTATTTATAGAGAGTACCAATAACACCTAAGCCAAGCATTGTTGTGATGATACGTCCTTTTGGTTATCTAATACGATATGTCTTCCAATAGATGTAACCAAATGGATTTTTAATAAATCGGAAGAAATTTTTGAAGAATCTCCTCTTGTTGCCTCTATCAATAAACTTCTTTTGCATCTAATTGAATATATAAATGAATGACTCACTCTGAATTTCTCCATTTCCCAATCATATGCTTTTCCCATTGATCTCCAAATCATTTCCAATCTCTCTCTCTTATTTGGAGCATGATAATAGAGATAATGTTGTCCAAATGTACGCATCTTCACATCAGCATCACCAGTAGATTGATCACGAATCCAAATGTAGTCTTACTACATACGCTCTTGTGCGTTGGTCATTTTAAATCTTTTTTTAATAATAATATCATTCTTATTGGAATCGTGAATCAGCAGGTAGATTTTGAATTAGACGTTCATATACATTCATACGAGATCTTTTAGAAAGTGCTTTGGTTGCATAATAAGCATTTGAGAATGGACTACGTGAAAATAAGTCAGATTTCCTTTTTTCTAATCTAGATTCCTGAACTAACTAGTTATAAAACTAATACTTTTCTATTCTAAAATGCTATCATTTTTTCGTATAACTTAATTGAATAAAGGTCTTAAATTAAATCCATAATCTTTGATTGATTAACTTCTCAACTTATTATCCATCACTATCTTGAACATTGTTTTACGAGTTTAAATCATAACTTTCTATTTATCCTCAAATGAAATTTCTTTTGCATCTATAGTACTTTTTGATTGAGATTGAGGTTTCTTAGAGATTTGACTGGATTTCATCATTTGAATTACAGGAGTCTACGATTGAAGTGAACATTTAAAATGCTTAAATTATTTGAACATCTCCTATAATTAAGCAATATTTTGTATTTTTGATTTTGAGACAGTTCCCTAATCGAGATGTCTACTTTTGCTAGTATTTTGACGTAACATAGGTATATGTTATTAGTCATCTTCATTAAGTTGTAATATCAACTTCTTATGATAACCATGATGAGAGTGAGAACTCTTTGTTTTAGAGAGACTTAAGTAGGGCTAATCTGTCATATTTTAGTAATAAATATTATAATAAACTCTCATTTTGACCAGAATCCTCCATCAGTTTTAAATGGTGCTCTATCTAAACCTCCTTTATTGTTAAGATTATGTAGAAAATCTATTCCATTGATTACTTTGGCTAAACAATTTTCTATAAATGATGTAAAATTATTAATACTTAAACAGGCTTCCTCTTTTACATTCATAGCTCTCTCATAATTCTTCAGACACTTCTTATAACATAACTTATCGATTGTTAGTATCTTTTAACCAACATGCTAAAAGTCATGTGCTTCTTCCATAAATAAATGATAATTAAAAAATAATTCAATATTTACTCATTTCAGTATTGTTCAACAGTAGAGATAACTCTTCATTTGCATTACCACTTTATCTAGGTCTTATCTTAGGTTTTGGAATATTATTAAAACTTTAACGACTAGGTTCAATATTCTATTTTCCTCTTATTGTAGTTTGACTTGTACTCTACTTTTTCATTTTATCAGGTGTCTTATATTTAACTGTTTATTTCTTATTACATGAAGTACTATTATTTTTATGATGAGTGGACACAGATGGTTATAGAACATCCATTTCACTAATAAAACTTTATAAAACAGTCTTGAAATTAATTTCACTCAAATCTTAAACAGTTAATTGAGAAGCAGTTTCATTTATAGTTTATTTAGTAATATTATTTGAATGATGTAAGTATGTAGGAAACTCTATTTTAAAGAATTCTTCAGATTAAACACTTTAATCTTCATCTTCTTTTTCTTTAACCATCTCTACATTGACTAAATTATTATACATAATTTCATCTAAATTTATTTGTTAATATTCTTAATACATATCTATTTCATTTTAATTTTGTTCAATTAATTTGAATTGTTCAATATTATATTAATAATTTAAATCTAAATTTATAAACTATCCTCTATGTTGTTATTCAATTTATAATTTCAATAATTAAGTTTAATAAAACTAAATCATTTATTCTAATTATTAATTTTCAAGTTATTTAACATCAAAATTTAACTATTATTTCATTTCTGATGCATAACTATATAATTTATTATATTAAATATTTAGACATTGAATTTATTCATTTTATTATTACATCTTAATTTTACTTTAATTATATAAATTATTTAATTAGAGATATTAATTTTTAATTATTTCATAATTAGATAAAAGTGTTTTCCTATTTTATTCACTTACTTTTAAAGCACTTAAAACTAATTTACCTTAACAATCATGTTAAGGTGGTTTTTTTACTTTTTTATTAGTAACAAGAATATCTCCTGCACCATCACAATGTAAATCATATTTAAATCTATTTGCCCAAGTTATTTCTTTATATAATTTAGGAATGCATTTGAAATTTTAAGCATTTTAATTAGTAATTCTATTTTGTAATTATTAATTTTCATTTTATAATTGGTTTAATTATTATTCAAATCCTTCTTTCTATTCTATTCTATTTTTTTCTAAATCATGTAATTTCTTTTCATAATCAGAAAGCAAGATCTTTAATGCCTCATCATCATTTTGATAATTAATATTGGCTAATACTTTAGTTTCTATTTTTTTAGCATTCATTCCAAATCTTAAAGTAGAAATAGAATAATCAAAATGAAGAGCTGCAGAATTAATACATAAAATGATTAAGGTTCTAGATGATCCATCTAAACTAGATTTAAGTATTTTAGTTAATGATGAATTTCTAAATGGTACATGACCTTTATCTTCTGCTTTTAAATAGATGACTTATGTAAGAAAGAATAAACTCTTATTAATATATTGACCTTCTTTAACTCTTCTATTAGTATCTTAAATTTCTGCATCTTCAAAATGATTTGAAACTTTCTCAGAACCAGCTAAATCTACAAAATTAAGTACACTTTCAGTTACCATAGCCCCTTTTAATTAATTATTGTTTTCAGCTTCTAATTATTCTAAAGTTGGGAATTTATGTTAGGATTATTCTCTTCTATATTATCGAATAAAATTATTGGTAATTGATTGTACATATAATCTAAATATAGCATGAGATCTAGAACTATTATGATTCATGGCAGTTTGAGCATAGTGTCGATTAATTTCACCTCTTTTAAGTACATCAAATATTTCATTAATAGATGAAACAGATTATTCAATTAATCCTTTCACATAAAATTCTTTCTTTTGATCTTCATTAACTTATAAAGTTTCTTATAATTTTGAAGATTATTTTAAGAGATCAAATATTTATTCATTGTAAATTTCAAAATATGAACAACGTAAAACATAAGTCTTATTTAGATCAGCTTCAATCTTAGTAAATAAATCCTTAAAACTCTATAATAATACACCTTCATCATTTTCTTTACCTAACATTGTGTAGGTCTTGCCACTACCAGTTTATCCATATAAGAAAATGGTGCCATTAATACCATTAGTAGATCCAAGTACTAATGATTTGACCTCTTTAGAATAGATATCGGCATTTTTGCTATCTTAATTGAAACAGTGATCAAATGCAAAAGTTGTACGACCTGATCCATTAGGAGGTTTTTTCATTTAATTGTTAAGAAATATATGTTGATCATGGATTGCCCAAATGGATGGTTCAGGATCAGGACGTATACGAACTGCTACTTATATGTTTTCCATTGTTTTATCAGTTAAATTCAAATATATATAAATATATAATATAATTAATGAGTTAAGAATTACTCCATTGTCCGAAATGTTAAATGAATTTCGATAAATATACTCGAACACCTCAAATGTTACCAAAATGTGGACATTCAATGTGTATGTAATGTCTTAAAGAGTCTTGTAAAATCATCTGTCCAGAAGATGGGTACCATATTTCATTTTATCAGATTGCTCTAACCTACAGATCTCTCACTTTATCCAATAAACCAAGCTGTTTTGAGAATCATCTGCAAAACCCAAGATAATGATATAACATAGAACCAAGACAAATTGCAATAGTGTCCTCAACACCACAAACTCCTTGAGCTTATATGTATAGATGACAAGTGTAGAATTTGTGCAAATTGTGCCTTATTTGGTATTCATAAGTAACACAACATACAGAATGCTGAAGTACATATAATTATTGATTCTTAAGTCTGTAGACAAATCAATACAAGATAACCTCATTTAGACTTAACATTTGACTCTCACTATTCAAGATAAAGTCAAATTACTTAAATTACCACTAATAAACAAGAAGATACATGACTAAATTAGACTTTGTATAAAATAATAATAAACTCTTGCTGAAGAACAATTCAAAGTATCTTAAATCAATAATTTTAGGAAATCATTAATTAAATACTTGCCAAGTAACAGAAAGTACTTGAAGAGATTGAATAGAAGTATAAGCTGTTAGAAGATCAATTTTTGAAAAAGGAGACTCTTACTATCACTTCCATTCTTGATAAAGCTGATTTATGGATACTAGGGTATTTATTATTATAATAATAAATTAGATCTAATCAAAAAATACAAGAATATCATGAAACAAAAGTAAAAGGAGAAATTGCATATTCTTTGCTATTATAAGACTCTTCAAATAAATAAGGTAAATAAATCCTTGAAGAAATTGATGATTATCTACTCAAATTCCAAAATAATCTTCAAGATATTGTATCAGCTATACCTACTGTTAATCAATATGAATAAACTTATTTTGATGAACCTAATATACTCAAAGATTTATCAATAATAGAATAGAGTTTCTTAAAAGAAATTGATGAAAAACCACCTCATAATGAATTTCTAGGATCATCTCTGCCAGAATCTACTTGTTAATCTCAACCATCCTCTAATAATATCTCTTAGAATGCTATAAGTCCACAATAACCCCATTAAAAAAGATCATCATAATAATTTGTTTTAGTTTCACCTAAGATATAAAGTAGATAGCAATCTGCTTCACCAAAAAAACCTATAGTTAAAAAAAAGTTAAACACCAAGATAGAATCAATTTTATTTAATTGTAATGGTGATTATCTGGATTTATCACAATAAGGTATTTTAAATTATATATTCTTATAGATCTTGGAGATGAAGGAATTATGATATTAGAAGAATAAATAAGAAATAAGAAGGTTAAAATAATTAAATTTATGAGAAATAGGATAAGTGATGTTGGTGCTATTAAATTAATGGAATTACATTGTTAAGTGTTATATCTATAATCAAATGTTATTACTGAAAAGTTTTTGGATATGATAATGAATGCTATATAAAAGTAGATTCAGATTCACATCAAAACTGTATATTTGGGTCAGAATCTTATTAATTAATTTAGAGTCAAAAAGAAAATAGAAGATCTCAAAAAATTAGGAATTTCAATTTAAATATGAATTTAAAATATTTATATTAATTATATATAATGTTTCTAATCATTTTAATATAGATATTACACTTATAGATATTTTAATAAAAATAGAATACTATCTTAATTTATAATTTTAGTATTGAAATAGAACAAAATAGTGTAAAATATTGTGTGATTTGATGTAGGATGATTGATTATATATATGTTGATATGATAATTATTATTAATTAAAATAAAATTTATTCATGAGCAGACCTTACTCACCTACAAGAAGCAGAGCAGAGAAGATTGTTGGACAATTGAGCGAAATAACTTTAGGACATAAAGATTAAGTATATGGTGTATATTTGATTGAAGACTTCAAGAATAAAGGAAGCAGAGGAGAGAGTCGAAATTTTGGAGACAGCTGTAAAGGATCTTAAGGAGACTTTAGAAGGGAAGATTTCTAAAATAAAAGAGGGATTAGAATATGTGTAATAGGTGCTGGGTGAATAAGAACCAAAGTAGGAGGATGAATAATAGATGATAGAGGATATGAAGAAGGCTGAGGAGAGTGTAAATGAAAAGTTGGAGGAGTTAAGCAAGTAGAGAGAAGAAAGTTAATAGAAGTTCAATGAATAAGTTGAGAAAGATATCCAAGAATTGAAAGAGCAGATCAGTTAAGAGAAGAGTGAGAGAAATCAATCAATAAAGGAAATAAATGAATGTTTAGAGGTAGAATACTGAATAAGTATTTAAGAGTGATTTGCCACAGTTGCAAGAGATGTTACAGCAGAATATAAAGGAGAGAGATGAGATGGATAAAAATATAAATACAAGATTGACTGAAGAATTATAGAGATTATCTTAGATTATTTAATAAGAGAAGGTGAGTAGATAATAAGGAGAACAGAGTTTATTTGAGATGTTGAAGGATGTGGTGAATAGGATTAAGAAGGAGATAGATGAAGAGAAAGTTTAGAGAGAGGCTACTGAGAATGATGTCCTTGGTGTTTTGGAGGAGACACTAAATAAAATTTTAGCAGCTTAAGATCATTGATATATATAGATTATATAGATATAATAATAAATAATTAAATGTAAAATTCAGACAACTCAGACGAATACTATAGTGATGATCAATAGGAATCACCTAGGTTTCTGTACAGTTTCAAGGAGATAAGTCTTTAGAATAAAACTTTATTGGCTGAAATTAGAATTATATGCAAAAACCTAATCTATGTTATAGGTTTGGCACCTACTATAGCAAAAGAAGAAGTATCAAATATTTCATTAAGTCAAAAGCTACTAAAGAAACCAGAATATTTTGGATAGTATGGTTAAATACAGAAATTAATTGTAATTTAAAGTAATACTTTTAATCCACCTTCTCATGCTGCATACATTACATATAGAAATGAATAGGAAGCATCAATGGCAATTTTAGTATACATTATATTTAAAATTTATGGCATGTGAAAGATTTCCACTTCATGATAGATATGTGAAGGCATCTTTTGGTACAACCAAATATTGCACCAATTTCCTTAAAGGATAGTAATGTAAAATAAAAGACTGTGTTTATTTGCACCAACATCCAAAGGATAAAGAGTCGACTCAAGTCATTAAAAAAGTATGCCTCTATTCTATGCCAGGAAGAGATGAACAATTCTAAATGGCTCTTTTCTTACTCCCAAAAAATAGCTTAAGAAAATTTCAAAAAATTCTATACGAAAATCAATTACAAAAATGCTCTTTAAAAATCTATCTTCCTAAATACTCAAAACATTCTTGATCGAATGATCGAAGATAATATTGTAGATCCCATTCCTGAGTAGCCATAACCTCCATAATAATAATAGATTATAGAGGAAACACAATCAATCGAAATTCCAATATAATAAAAGCCAATTGATATTGAAAAGCGATTGGAAGTAATTATACAAAAAAGTATTTTTCATTTCTTAAAATAAGTGGATGGTGATAGTAATTCGAGATTCAAGTTTACAAATGGTAATTGTCCATAAGATTATGAAGCAATATAATAATTGAAGCAATCCCTTCTAAAATGATTATGGAAATAATAAAAATAAATAAACATTTAATCGATTTTTATTAAATAAGATAAGGATTTTAAATTAAATGCAATTCAAAAGTTATAAATAACATCTTATAATTTTTTAATATATAACATAATATTCTAAAGCAGAATCATATGAGTTTCTTTAAGCAATCTTATACTCATTTCAAAAGAATTGATTTATTTGGAATTGATGTGAGATTATTAGCTCAAGGCTAATAAGCATATCGAACAAATATAGGAGCATTTATGACATTATTTCTATTCATGTTACTTGCATATTCATGTAACTCCTTTATTTTAGAAATGAATAAAGGAAAAAATGCAATTCTTAATTAAAAAGAGTCTCCTCTACTCTAAAATGAAGTAAATATAGTTTTATATCATCTTTAGGGGTTTAGTTTTAACTCATCATAATTTATCTATGCAATTGGAATAGTTGATGATTCTGGTTAATACATTCCTAATGAAAACAACCGCATCTTTTAGGTGAGTTTTTATTATTGCAAAAAATCTTTAATAGAAACTACTTGTGAAAGTTTTCCTGCTGTAATTTGTGGTAGTCGCATATCAGAAGCATCAAAAGTATAGTATTCTATTATCTAATAGTAAATGAATGTTCCTGAAGACTACTAATATATAACTTATTGTCCTGATGATCAATTTACATAGACTTATGAAGAAATCAGATTTTAAGGGTCTCAAAGAATGGATAACTTCACTTTTCTAGGTGCATTCATTTCAAAGTGTACAAACTCAACTGAATCTTAAAGTATTATATTTTATATATAAGATAGATTGTGCATCTGAAGAAGAGATTACAACATCTTTATCGAATGCCAATTTATTTTATTCATATTCCTTTTATTAATTCAATAAGGAATTGGATCTATATCCATATGAAAAAATGCAAAACTTAGATGTGACTCCTTGTTATCCAAATATACGTAAATATATCAAAGTCTTTTATCAATATTCAATAACTACTTCTGAATATAATCCATTTTATTTCTTCCCTTCTACCATTGAATAAGATGCTATTGAATATTAATAAACAACAATTGATACATTCTTAGATTATCATCAAGATAATACATTTGCATAAATTGAAATTAACTTGAATGTTAAGAAAAGACTTAATTATGTAACATATCAAACTCTCATGGATGTGGCTGCTAAAATTGGAGGTTTCTTTACAATCCTTAGAGCACTCTTTGAATTACTACTATACCCAATATAAGTAATTATTTATCGACTTTATCTAATTAATTGTCTTATTAATCAGTAATAGACATTTACAACTTTAGAAAACTTAGAATAAAAAGAATTATAAACTAATTTTGCAAAATTACGAATAAAAGACTTAATAAGATATACTAAAGCAAGATCTACCTATTTTAACTATTTAAAAAAAGTAGAACAACTCTTAGATATTACTGAAGTTTTATCTAATCCTTTAAGATTGACTCGTTAAGTTGAAGATATATAAGGATCTATACGAAAATTTGATCCTGCAAAAAAATAAATGAATGTAAGAGCTGTTTTAGATGAAATTATTGCTAATCATGATATGAATGATATCTAAAGTCCTAGATCAGTTAATCAAGAACTTAAACCTGTCATAAAATCATAAATATATTTAAGCAGACTTTAGCCAAAATGAAGAATAATTATTTTTTGTTTTTAATATAAAATTACAAATTTCTTCTATTAAATTCATTAATATTCGTATACAATATTTCCACCAAAAGAATCTTCCTCTTACATACCTTTTGCATCTTCCTCTTCTCTTTTAACTTCTGGTTTAATTTTTTTAGACTTTTTTTATGAGATTATTTCTAATTCACCAGATTTATTTAGATCTTAGATTTCTACCATTGATACATCTAAAAGCTAAATTATATTTAAAAAATCACTCTTACATTTAATTTCTCAATTTAATTTCCATTATTATCAAATTATGATTATTCTACCATATATTTTAAATTTTACATTTGCCATCTTTATCTTCATCATCTAATTAACCTTAATTATCTTTTTTTTTTTTCCTTTTTATAATTTATTTTTCAATTTTCTTTTTAATTCTTGTTTCCTCTTAAAATTCTTATTTAGGAACCATTTTAATTTTCTCCTCAAATTAATCACATAATTTCTTGACTCCTTTTAAAAATTCCTTAAATAATGACAAATTTTCATATATTTCTGGCTTTTGTAATAGTTCCTCCAATTCTTACATTACAATTTATATATATAATAAAAACCATAAAATTTATTATTAACAAATTCATTTTCTTTTATCATTTCTCTCTGAAAAAAATAAACCCTTTTTATATTCATATATCATATAAGTTTATATTTGCAATCTTTAAATTATAAGGTCTTAATCTATTTTTTATACTAACTACTATTAAGGAAATCTCATCTTTGGAATTGTTTAAAATATAACTTTCCCATTCTACTTTCTCTTCAATACTCTAATATCAGGAGTTCGTGTTCTTAATTGATCTTATTCAATAGAAACATGTGATGATGCATCTATAAAACTTTTATTAATGCTTTTGTTTTAGAATAACATTAATCCTTTAGTTGTATTCTTATGAATTTAATATTGTAAATATTCATCTTTAAGCTTATAATATTAAAAAGTGTCTTTCAATTATTATTCATCCTTTTTTAATTAGGCCTTACCCAATATAAAAAGATTAAATTATTTTTTGTTCTACTTAGTTCTAATTTATTTCTAATTTGATGTTTAAAAGACTTCCATATTTAATTAAATAATTAAATATATGTTTAAGAATATCTTATTTGATATTCTTTTTTGAAAATTAAGTATAACTTTATCTATATTAAATATGATATTTATAGAATATCTTATTTAAACATCAATTTTTATATTAATTTGACATTATATATAATTGATTATTTTTAACAAAATATTAATGAAGAATTATAATATAAAAGTAAATATTAAATAATATCAAGATAAGTGTTTATAAGTATGAATAAATAATGTGTAATTTAATTAATAAATATTTTAACTAATTCTAAATAAAAATGAAAATCAAAAGTTTTTACATGAATTACAAAAGTAACTAATATTTTTAGAATCATGATTTTAGATATCCTTATTACATCGAAGACATTTTCTTATAATCTATTGAATGTTGGTTTGCTATTCTGCTAATGCCATTCTAGAATAATTCATAGGGTCTTTAAATAATTCACCTGTAGAGGATTGGCATCTTTATTTAGAAAGAGAGATAGTTAAAGGGTCCTAATGTTAAAGTTTATTGATTTACATCTAATTATTGTAAAACTCTAAAGAAATCATCATTGTCTAAGGATTAGAGTGCTTTAAAGACATTTACACATTTAGATTTAAATTCATCAAAAGGCTATTTTTAATATAAAATTTACTGATTATGTTGTACATACAAGACATTCTCCTGAAGAGTCTACAACATCAATTTCATGTCCACATCCTAATGTTTTTCGTTTTGGATGACGCATAATTGGTTCTTGTTCTTTTCTAACACTACTAGATTTCTTAGTTTATGAATTATCTCTTTTAAGTGGAGATTTTTATCCTTATAGATCATGTAAATATTTTTCTATTCCAGAATCGTTTGCATATAGTAATGCTTTAAATTAGTATAATGATTTTAGCATTTACTCTCTTTAGGGATTATGAGAACTCAAGCGATCAAAAAATGTAGAAAATAACTCTATCATAGTTGTTCTCTCTACAGAAGACAGTTAAATCATTAAAATTTTAAAATATATATATAAAATATATTCATTGATGACAACTTGACAACCTTAAACTAAAATCTAATTTAGATTTTCTCTTAAATATCACAGTTAAGCATATAAATAATGTCTTATTAATTTAATTTAAATAATCAACTATTTCTAATCAAATTGTTTTTTTGACATAGAATTTATATTCATAATCATTTTTAATTTATTTATTTACATGAACCATTTTAAAGAAAATAAATAATATTTATTAAATTATTATGATTAAATTTCTAAGGATGGCACCTAGATTCAATTACATACCTAAATTTCATGTTGGATAAATTGGTCCTATTGCACCAAGTCCTTAGATCTAATAAAAAATGGACGCATTAGAATAAAACCAACCATTCTTTGATAGATTGATATTTTTTGATCCTGATATCATGGCATCATTACCTGGTCCTTTATAAGTATTTGATCCTGTTGTTGATTTTGGAAGTGGAATACTTACATATTTACATGATTGTCATATTCCTTGGGTAGGAGTTTTAAGTTTAACATGTATAATTGCTAGATCAACATTATTACCTCTAATATATTTATAAATGAAAAGAACAACTAGATTAGCAACTGTTATTCCTGCAATTGCCTAAATGAAAAGATTGATTGATAAAACTAATTATTCAAAAACAAAGAAATTAATCACTTTAACAAGACTCTCATATAAAATTGTACATTCATAAAGATTAAAATGGATGAGACTCTTTTTATATAATGTATTCCATATACCAATGCTTATTACTTTAATTTGGAGTATTCGTAGATTATTAATAGATGAATCCTTTAAAACAACTGCTTTTCTTTGGATACCTGTACTTATTTATAATTTTATTTAAATAGTCTCTCTCTAATATGGATCCCTATTTTATTGTACCTTCTTTAACTGTAATATGTTATTATTACAATCTTCAAAGATTTATTACCCCAGAAAATAAAGATACTATACCATCCAAATTACGTAATGTTGGTTAGTTTTTATTAATATTATGGTTACCATTTTTGGCTAATTGGCCATGTGCAATCTAAATTTATATGTTGTTTAATGCCTTTTTTTCTATTATATAGACATCTATTATGTTACATCCTGAATTTTAGAAGATGGTTGATCCAAAAATATTTCTTTATTAAATGATTATTAGAATGATTGAATATGATAAAAATACAAGTCTCTCTTTAATAGAGGCTATTAAAAGTGGAGAGGAAACTAATATAGAGAAAGCAATATCAGAAGAACAATTACTTGATTAGTTTTAAAAATCTTTAATTGAATTAAATGAAGGAGAATTATAAGAAGATGCTGCTAAGATTTCAAAAGATAAACCAAATTTTTATTGACATATTAGTATCTTATGATAATTAAAATAACTCACTATTTTTTCTGTTATTTTGCATGTTCAATAAATTATGTCCAACGCTTTGTTTATTTTGGAAATTAATATTAACTCCAAACCTAACAAATTGATTTTACATGTTTCTCTTATAATCTATTATGAAATCTTTCTTATGAATTATCATAAAACATTTCATCAAATTATCTCTAAGAATTTATTTTCATCTATGTTGGACTCAAAGGATTAATAGCATCAATTAACATATGTTTACGTTCTTACATCTTCTCTAAACTAATATTTAGATTCAACTTTAATTTTTAATCATTCAATTCTTTTTACCTATATCTTCTAGTCAATTATGCTAATTTGCCTTCTGCATTGATAATCGCAGTCATCTTTTAATTTTTATCATAATCTTCAATGCAAGAAGAAAAGATTGAGACATCTTCATTATGGGAAGTTGTTCTTTTTTTTTCAATACGTTTCAATTCTGTCAAAAGATGTCTTTTTCTCTTGGTTTTCAAATCTTTAACATAAGGTAGAATATACCCTTATCTGAGAGAATCTTATTGATCTGTTTGTCAAGATTCTAATTTAAATACTAAAAGTTATTTGGAAGATTCAACTCTTCCCTTATATGAGTTTCTAATTTATTTTTACTTTTCTGACCCAACAAACTTAGACTAGCTACTCGATTGAGATTAGAAAGGGCAACTTCTGACAAAGTTTTTTGATACAATATATTATCTCTTTCAGTATCAATAAATAAATTTGTGGGTTAACGAATAAGTTCTGGAAGTCGCTTCTCCTTCTTTATAACTTTTTTACCAGTTCGTTCTTGTTAAACTTATTACTTCATTTCACTTCTTAATTATTCACCTGTTTATGTAATCAAGAGTCGATTCATTATTAACAATAATTAAATTAGTATAATTAAAATACTCATTTTTAAAGATGTATAAATATCCTTATACTAAATTAACTAATTTTCATATTAGAAGTTATTGTATACTTAAGAGTCATGATTTAATTTAACCAGATTGTTTAATATATAAAATTCTGAATATTATAAGAAAAACTAATGAATTATTGATAGACATCTATATTAATGAAATATAGATGTCTATCAAAAATTCTAAGGTTACTAATTATATATATATTCTTGATGAAATTTATAATAGATTAATAAAAAATTAATTATTTAGAACCATAATTAGGAATAGAAGAAATTTAGAATAAATAAATTAAGAGATTTGAAAGAATATTTATTTTTTTTAATTAATTTTTTTAAGTTCTTGATTAGTACTTTAGAAGATAAGAGATCATCCTTTAAAAGATAATTAATTAATAAATGGTTAAGGAATTAAATTATCATGATTTAGATTACAACTTATTAACTGTTGTATGAATGGCTTTCCTAAATGATAAAATAATAATTACTAATTTAATTCTTCCAAAGCAATTAATTATTTAATACGTCTTGGTAATTATAAATATTGTTTACGTTTCCATTCTCTGGTTTCTCCATAATAATTATCCAATTTAATTTCACAAGCTGATTATAAAGAAGAAGCACAAGAATCATTAGAATTTTCAGGAGGATCTTGATTGTAATGAGTTTTTTTATGTTGTGTATTTAGAAGTTTTCGTGTTAAATTCTTACGAAAATCAACTCCAGAGTCAATTACATTTTGTATATATTTAGGATGTTTTTCAATCATAACACCTTTGGAATTATTATAAAGATAATCATAGAGTTGCACATCACCTATTGTAAGAATACCATCTTGATTTTTTCTGTCTGTCTTAGCTGCTTTATGAAACAATGTAAAATCCTTCCTTTTATTCTATATACTTAAACGCACTAGTTTATTGATATTATTATCATGTTATTCTGCTCTTAATTACAATTCCTACAAATACAATTAGGCATTATTCTCCAATACAGATTTCAAATATTATCTAGGAGGGATAGTATCAATAAAATCTCTTTATATTTTACATATAGGTTCAACATTATCATAATTGAGTCTATATTATTTTAGACTCTTTGATTTAGGCATCAATTTCTTTTAGTAACTTATTGTATTTTCTTTATAATTAGCAATATCCAATATAGTCTAAACAATAGCCAATGTCTAAGCATTTCCTTATCTCATCTCTTCATTATGTGGTTTCTTAATGGCCACTTTCTCTTTGATTAAATTTCTAACTTTTAGAAGTTTACTCTTTAAATAGTTCTTTCTCTATTCTGTTTACTGACGTATTTTTAGAGATCCTTCCTCTTTACGTTGAAGTTAATTCTCTGCAGTTAGTCTTGGACAATTCAAAGTTTATATAAGATTAGAAACATTTAGATCTCCTTTNTAATTAGGAATAGAAGAAATTTAGAATAAATAAATTAAGAGATTTGAAAGAATATTTATTTTTTTTAATTAATTTTTTTAAGTTCTTGATTAGTACTTTAGAAGATAAGAGATCATCCTTTAAAAGATAATTAATTAATAAATGGTTAAGGAATTAAATTATCATGATTTAGATTACAACTTATTAACTGTTGTATGAATGGCTTTCCTAAATGATAAAATAATAATTACTAATTTAATTCTTCCAAAGCAATTAATTATTTAATACGTCTTGGTAATTATAAATATTGTTTACGTTTCCATTCTCTGGTTTCTCCATAATAATTATCCAATTTAATTTCACAAGCTGATTATAAAGAAGAAGCACAAGAATCATTAGAATTTTCAGGAGGATCTTGATTGTAATGAGTTTTTTTATGTTGTGTATTTAGAAGTTTTCGTGTTAAATTCTTACGAAAATCAACTCCAGAGTCAATTACATTTTGTATATATTTAGGATGTTTTTCAATCATAACACCTTTGGAATTATTATAAAGATAATCATAGAGTTGCACATCACCTATTGTAAGAATACCATCTTGATTTTTTCTGTCTGTCTTAGCTGCTTTATGAAACAATGTAAAATCCTTCCTTTTATTCTATATACTTAAACGCACTAGTTTATTGATATTATTATCATGTTATTCTGCTCTTAATTACAATTCCTACAAATACAATTAGGCATTATTCTCCAATACAGATTTCAAATATTATCTAGGAGGGATAGTATCAATAAAATCTCTTTATATTTTACATATAGGTTCAACATTATCATAATTGAGTCTATATTATTTTAGACTCTTTGATTTAGGCATCAATTTCTTTTAGTAACTTATTGTATTTTCTTTATAATTAGCAATATCCAATATAGTCTAAACAATAGCCAATGTCTAAGCATTTCCTTATCTCATCTCTTCATTATGTGGTTTCTTAATGGCCACTTTCTCTTTGATTAAATTTCTAACTTTTAGAAGTTTACTCTTTAAATAGTTCTTTCTCTATTCTGTTTACTGACGTATTTTTAGAGATCCTTCCTCTTTACGTTGAAGTTAATTCTCTGCAGTTAGTCTTGGACAATTCAAAGTTTATATAAGATTAGAAACATTTAGATCTCCTTTTAGATAATGAGAGAAATTGCGTTGAAATTGATGTCCATGAGTTCTAGTTTAAAATGGTTTAACAGTAATAAGAGGATCTTACTTAGTTTTAAAATGTAAACTCTTGAATTTGCGATGCAAGATTTTATTAGAATGATCGAATTCACAAGTTGTTGATATACTCATACTAATTATTAAAATTAATCAAATTAAAAAAGGATCAAATAAATGAAACTAATGACTTCAAAAAACTAATATGAATTTCTACTTAATCTATAATATTTTCAACTTGAAATTAAATTCCAAATTATATTATATAATATAATAATATTAAGTAAATTAAATTCATATTCACAATGGAGTTTACCCATGATTATTGACTACATAAGAAAAAATACTTGAGACAGTACTTTTCTTTGGAAACTATGGAGTTTCATCATCAACATTTGGATTTATATATGCTGATACTACACTGCTGAAATCATTTTAATCCAGGTTCTTTTTAGATGATAGACTATGAGTTTCTTATTGAATTCTGGACTTATTTTTATTGTGTTTTCTATTAAATAATATATAATATATTTTACATATATTTTAATAATTATGGTGCCATTGAATTAAGTAAACTAATAGAAGTATTAGTTGATGATGTATTTGGTCGATGTGTACTTGTTTGCATCTAGTAATCTTAATTAAGATTATTGTTAGATTTCTACAATTTTAATTTCTCTATAAATTCCATTACATATACTCTAACTTTCTTCCATAACAAACAAGCTTTTCTTCTGTTATGATAATTCTTAGGCTTTTTAATACAATATTTAATGCAAGGATAACGAATAATAAGATTAACAATTCTTTCGATATGTTATTATTTTAGACTTGACAAGTATTCTCTTATGATCTTTGAAAATATATAAGTACAATATAATAAATTAAGTATTGAACACAATATTGATAATATGTAAACTAATTCAGTATATGGATTATTATCTTAACTATATGATAAAATTAAAGTAATCATTGCTAATTGTGTTGATATCTTATCAATAAAATTGTACTATTTCTCAATGTAAGGATGATGTTTATTAAGTAATTCTAAATAGACAAGGAGAATAAGTATGGCAAATAAGAACATTAATTTTATATCTTAGATCAAAAGAGTTTCCAATAGATAAAATAATGATTTAATAAAGAAACATACAAATTCCCAATAATAATAATTATCTTTATATTCCACATATAAATATCCATAAGGCATACGTAATTGACAAGTCCATAACTTATTCTTGTTTTTGAATAATTTAATGATATAAAAGAGGGGAGACACTATTCCAACAATAATTAATGTAGGTATAATAAGTATCTTAAGATAAAGGTAATATTCTTCAGTATAACACATATATGATGTTGCTGCCAAAATATAATATTGTCCAGATGCCTTTATACAAAACATTAATTGTAATAGACCCTCTATAATATCACCTTGAAAATAAAAGTTGATTTAGATAAGACAAGAAATGAATATAGTTTTTATTGAGTTTTCCATTTAATTTCGTTTACATAAATGAATAAGATAGTATATCAATACAAATGAAAACACAAATAAAAGTGATACAAACAGATTCCAAAATTGTCTCAAATACACTATTTCCATTTACAATTATGAATTCAATAAGAAACATTCAATAGAGTATCCCAAAGTTGATAAAGGATTACCAATAGCTTATGCAATTACTTCTATTGGAGTAGGGAAATCAAAATCAATAACTTATACTATTGATATTAATTGAAAATAACTTGAAAATAGTTTAATTAAAATTTCTGTTTGATCAATCACCATTGTAGATCTAGTAGCAAAGAATATACCCATCATTCTTAGATAATGAGCTGATAATTATGCTCTAACTAATCTTAAACTTCCTCTGATTGATATAAATAAAGCAATAAGGATCCAAGAAAAAGAAAATATAATCTTAAAAATATTAAAGACATCATTTTCACAAATTGTACAATTACCTCCAAAACCACGAGTATAAGAATTATTCCAATGTTCTGCATAATAATCACAATCATCACATAATGCTCCAGTATAACCTTAACTACAAGTGAATTCATTTGATCCACCTAAACATTAAGATACAGATGATTAACAATATTCAATACTATCAGTACTTTTATTGGCTCTCCAATATCCCTATTTCAAAACTAATTCTGAACCTCCAGGACATGATTCTATTGAAGTTATACACTATTAACAATGATTGAAATTATCTAAACTATATGATCCAGGTGGACATCTAAGACATGATTAATTTTCCCATTCTTCTCCTATCTCACATTAAATGAGATTTAAATATATTGGTAATTTAAATGTATCATTATAAAACTTAAGTGATTAAAATTCAAGTAGAATTTAAATAGTTTCATTTTTTGGTAGTTTTTAATAATAACTATAAGAAATCTCATATTGACATTCCAATTAATCAAATTCAAAAATCTACTCTTCTATAGTTAGATAATCCATTAAATCACATATTTTATTCTATCCACTATCTAAAATGGATATACTCATTTATAATGTCTATCCACTCTTATAATTATCTTTATGTATGATCTCCTTTCTTTTTATTAGATTATCAAATAAATAACTATCATTATTAACAACTAAATAAACAGGTCCTGTTACATAAGTTAAGATATCAGGTTCTACTATTTAATTTGTAAGTATGAATATATGTTTATTAGTCTTCATTGAACAATTGTTAAATAAATTCTATTAAATATAATGGGATAATCCTGATGATTACTTTAAGTAGATCACACCTCCATCTGGAGATACTAGATCAATAAATTGATTTCCATATATTTTAATTGCTGTATTTTATATAGCATAAGCAGATCCTTAATTTGCTGATATATTCGTAAAAGTATTATTGTAAGCACAAAAATTGTTAGAATCTTAAATATTAATAAAACCAAAGAAACTTTGTAAATTTTTGAATATTGATTTAGATATTTCTATCTAATTGCTCTATCTAATCATTATGATACCATTACAATATGGGCAATCCATATTTGTAAATTGTAGATCATTGAATATTAATTTTGTACAATTTTATGTAGTTATCAATTCTTTATTATTATAAGTGATACTATTTAAATACATTCCTTTGATATTTATATCAGTTTCTAATGCTTAAATTAATGGATTAAGAAAATTGCTAATTTGAAATATTTTAATATAAATTAGATCTGCCTAAGTAGCATTCAATGTTAAGAAATTGCATTCATAGCAATTGTTAATTGTTAGATTACGAATCATTAAATAAACAATAGTTTCTAATTTTGCAATTTAAATTGAAGAACAATCTTCTATTATAATATTAGTTAATTAAATAAGGGAAGCTTCTTTTAAATTAACCAGTATTGAATTATTGATTTATTTAAATTCCACTTAATCAATATTCAATTCTGTAATTGTTTTTGAATTAATTAATATTCCAAATAAGGAATTAAAATTACCCTTTGAAAGTGACAAAGTTCCATTAATTTAAAATAGACCTTTTTATTAATTATTAGATATATTGAAGTAATTAAGCATAATATTAGTTTGATTAGATATTGATATTAATAATGGCCCAACCAAAGTTGATATGATGATTTACTGGAGAAATATATTTTGGCTATCCATAGAGAATAACGCTTTACACTCAACTTCCATTATTGTACTATTATATATATAGACATATTGACTTTCTGCTATAATCAATTGTGAATCTGATACTACTCTATTAATATTCAAGCTAGAGAGCTTGATTTAGTTTTGACTTTGTAGTCGTATCAAAATACTTTAAGATAGAGTTACATTGAGAATTTTAGTGTAGAGAGCACCCTTAGCCAAAATTCCAGTTGAGAGAGTTAAATAAGTATTTTAGATTGTGATTTCTTGTGAAATATCTGTCTCAATCAAAATGCTTTAAACAACAAATGAATTATTGAGAGTTAATCTATTCACATAGGTTTTAGGTGATAATGTTGAATTGATAAAACTTACTTAATCAATAATAACATTTCTTAATTAGATCATCTATGAACTTAGTTAACTTCTAAAAAAAGTGCAATCTGAAATGAATAATCCATCTACATCAATTGAAGATTGAAATGCTGTTTTATTTTAAAATGTCATTCCTATCATCTAAGAATCACGTATCTACATTTTAGTACTATTTATTTAACAATTCCTAAGAAGAATGACTTTCTAGAGCAGAACTGGACCTATGATGTTTATTGAGTCTGTTAAGGTGTCTATAGTAATGTTCTGGAATTCAACAACCTTAAATCCTATCAGTGTTACATTTTAAGTCAATAGCAATTCAGTTCCTATTACTTTAAGTTAGCCACCAGAAGATGTCATATTCATTAATTTCTCATTATTCACATTAAGAGTACAATTGTATTCTGGTATCTAAACAGATTTGTCAATTTGTATTGTGAGTCCCATCTCATCCTTACAAATCAATAACTCCATTGTGATATACAAATTTATGAACAAAAACAATCTTCTCATCAAAACAAATAAATAAATAGTGATTAAATATTTCAATATACATCCAAAATCATAAAACATCAATCCTTCATAAACTATCATTACATATTCCATAGAATAAACTTCTAACATTTTTATTATTTATTCATTCCTTCTCCTCATCATACTATTACACTCAATATTTATTCAACATTTTAATTATGTATCATACAAGTCTTATTTATATTGTCTTTATTTATATAATATATATTAATCTTTAATGGAAAAACTTCAATTTATCATAACAACTCTTAAAATAGGAGATGATATCACCTATCAAAAAAAGAAAGGAAATCATTTACAAATTCATTTTTAAGATTTCATAAATAATCAATTCTTCTATTAAATATCTCATCAAATGAATTTAAGATTAAAACTAAAAAAGATGATGATCCTCCATTTAAGTTTCAAATAGGAGTATTGATGATATTATAACTGGATTTACATTAAATACTTAATAAAATGACCATAAGAGAAAAAAGTCAAAGCAGAAATCCCTCATTCAAATTGGCTAATAAAGAGATGGATTGACTTACAAAATCCAATAATAAATAAAAAATTAATCTTGAAAATTGAGTTAATATGAATAACATTCTGATCATATAACTTCATTACTGTACTAATGGGTATGGATGTGAGTATTCTCCACTCTGCTAAGAATTCATGAATGTATAATACTTATAAAGGAGCAAAAGGTTTAGATGCTGAGACTGTATAAGCAGTTGGAATGGTTTACTATGGTGCTCTAACTACAGGTTAAACATATTAAATAATCTATGGTTAAGGGATCTGTTGTTAAATAGTAGGTTATGGTACTGTGATTTATTAGATAACAGGTTCTTATTTTGGTGAAACCATTTTGATTGGACTTTCTTGATAATAAACTAAAGGTTGAGGAGGTTCAGTTTTATTAATCACAATAGGTTATGGTTAAGGTGGAGGTTATGTATATGTTGATAATGGTTAAGGTGGATGTTATGTATATGATAATGGTTATGGTTATTATATATAAGTTTATGTATATGGTTAAACTTATGGGACTATTTAAACAATTGGTGGTTATTAAGGTTGTACAGGAGGAGCTACTTGAGTTTGATAAATAATTTATTAAGGTATTTATTATACTGGTTAACTAACCATCATCCTTTGTGGACTATAATTATATGGTTGATAATCTGCATGTGTAGATAAAACAGGATCATATATCATTCTTGATACTCTTCTTATAGGATTGTCACCAGTTTTTTCACCTGGTCTGAAGAAGTATTCTCCATCTTCCAATGTCACCATGAATAGATGATGAAGATGGAACTTTGCTTATTCTAATGCTTCATAATTCACTTAGATAGGAACACCTTAATATTTCAATTAAGGATTCTAATTATCTTGATCTGCAAAATATAGTATAGTTTCCTTTAAACAGTAATTTGGGTCTTTTAATTTTTCTAGTTTCTTTAAGAGATTCCTCCATTACACAATTAAGTTGTATTGGTAATTTTAATCTGCTTTATTCAATACATCATCTACAATAGTATCAATTAATTTATGTAAATCTTGTCTGATTTATAGGATATCACCTGTTTGATGAGTAGCAATTTCATTTGCCCTACTCGCATAACCTTTGTAAACTTATGTTAATGTACTCTCAATTGAGTCAACTAATAAATTAGTAATTATGATATACTATATCGAGAATGTTAATGTGGATGCACCTAAATACAATCTTAACACAAAGGCATCAAACAATTTGGTTCTTTACAAAAATGACGTATGTATTGTGGATGATAAATACATCTAGTCAAAGGAGCTTCTTGAAATAGGTATTCTGATGTAATTTTTACGGGTTATTAGTGATCGTTAATTGGTTAAAGTACTTACATAAATTTATTAATAATTATAAAAAGTGAATAATTAATCAAGTTTTTATTGTCTTAAAGAAATAAATATTAATTTAATTCAATGATGTTTGACTACATATTTATATATATATATGTATGTAAATACATTAAGTTAGTAAAAAATAACTCAATTTTTTTAAATATAATCACAAACCTCTAAAAGAGGAGGAAATTTTGAAATCATACAATGACTACATAGGAGAGTGATGAACAGTATTTGGTTTCGAATTTTTAATAATAAATTATTTGATTGGACTCTCCAATTAGGGAATAAAAAATAATTATCTTAAATTCCTTCTCCCTTTAAGTAACGAAGAGTATGAATTTTTATTATCTTTACTTTTTGGTTTGCTTCTCTTTGATTATTAAGTAGTATCAACTATAATTATTTGTTTCAGTTCCGAAATAGCATTCTAAATAGTTGATGGTTTTTATTATTGTTCATTGACTGTTTATTTAGTTAATACCTTTTTAATAGTGAATTTCTTTTTTGTTTTTATTCTTTTCATAATTCTATATCTGATAATAAAAATAACACAATTGATAAGTCTTCTGAATTTGCGAATTTATTTTTGTTTTCTCCATTATCTATTTATTTAGAGTAATATGATACTTGGTTTGAGGAAATTAATATAACTGAAATATTTTCTTCATTAGAGTAGATCTTTTACCACAAGAATCACAATAACAACTTGACTCACCAAATATATTTTTCTAAATTCTAAGATTTTTGTTTATTCTTTCTTTTGTAAATACTGATCTATCTTATATTAGAGTAGCATTCCGCTTAGATCCACAAGAAGGTAATGGTTTTGAATATTTCTTATGGTTCGAATATATACTTCTTTATTGCTTAATTTACATAATAGATTGATTCATAAATTAAATAATAAGCTAAAATGAAGATCTTTATCAAATAACGTTTAAGCAACATTAAGATTATAAATGTAAATAAGAGTAGTGAAAAATTGTATATTAATGAAAAATAAAATAGCTCATTTAGATAAATTGAATGATATATTTATGAAGGTTCATTATATTCATATGAATTGAAGTTTGTGATTTTTTCAAGTATATTTATTAGACAATCTTATGGTAAATATAGTATAATATCTATTATTTAATTGAATAGATGAAGTGATAAATTTTTATATTTAAAATTGATAAAGAAATTGAAAGTGAAATTGAAATGTCTAGATATAAAGAGAATACCAATTATAAATATGATAAATAATAAAAGGATTGCTCAATAATAATTTTAATAAATTGAAAGGATTTCATTTTTAATACAAAAATAAAGATAAAGAATTATCATAAAATTCATCTTATCTAATAATTAGACTCTCAAAGTAGTTTGGATTTCATTAACTCATTTTCCAATAATAGCATTAAATTTAGATTCAATAAATTTTAGTTATTAATATATTTTATAATTTAAATCATAAAATAGTAATTAGTATTATAATTAAGAACATACACTTCAAAAATGATTAGGATGCTTAAAATTCTGTTTATGATTTTAATAGAACAATAATTCTAAGTTGTGATAATTGTATCTTTAGATTTATCTTTATAAAATCCTAAAATTATACATATTTTTATTTATTTATTAATATTTCACAACCATTCGTTAATACCTAATGGATCATAATCGACTAATTGATACTCAATTTGATTAAGAGGGGACTAATTATAAGATAGTTTTACTATTTTTTATTAATTTTCTCTAATTTTAATAATAGTAAAGGTTAAATACAATTAACCAATTTTTCTAAAAAACAGTTTTTTCGAACATTAAGATCTATCTTGAAGTAATGAAAGGAATAATAAATTTCATTAACAATTATTTTATAAATTTTTATAAATTGTTAACTAATTTTCTAATTAGATTATTTATTTATCAACTTGTATATTTGAATAATAATAATTATGATTTGAATTCTATTTTACATATCGTATTTGTGATTTATATAAATTATCATGTGTTATATAATTATTCTCCATCTCTTCTTTTATAATATAAAATTGATTCATTATAAATTAATTTTGATAAAAAAAAGTGGCATTTTAATAATAAATCATATTAAAAGTTATTCTATCTGATTATATTTTTTAAATTATTATGATATATTAACGTCTTTTAAATGACAATTTTCAAACTTAAGATATTAATAATGATAATAATTGATATTTAAATTTTACAGTTAATTACAATTTAATAATAAATAACTTATAATAAATTTAGTAATCTTATTCAACTTAAAATAATAATATACTTATTAAATTTCTATCTGGTTTTGCTACAGTAAGGCTAATCATATCATTCCCTATAAATAATAGTTATACTTAAATGTTTAAATCATTATAAAATTCTCATTTATTCATTTTAACTAAACCACAATATAAAATATAGTAAAATTTAACATATAAAAACAGGAAAACCTTTGTAATATTTAATTTAATATACCTAGAGATATAATTTAACATATAAGCTATATAATAATATTTAAAATAAGATAATAATCATTCTTCAGGGACAATACTAAATATTTTAATATCTAACCCATTATTCCCTATTATATATTTTTAAATTAACATATTTTCATTTGTCATTTCAAATTTATAGATATTCTAAATACTCTAATTCGATATCTTATTGAATTAATATAACACATTATCAATTTCTATAAATGTCTCTATTGAATTATTTACATTAAAAATAAATAATTTATCATTTTCATAACTTCTAATAACTCCAAAACTATTAATCTTAGATCCATTATACATAGGTCCAATAACTTATAAATTTTATGTTAAAATATAAATAGAACTTTCATTATCATTATCCATCTTTAATATTACTCTATTGTAATCTACAATCATTTGAGTGCATAATTTATTAAATTAATATTCAATTTTCTTGATTGTTTATCCATCAAACAATAATATTTTTTAATTCTTTGTTCCAATTAAGTAATTACTTCCCACCTTTATCACTGTTTCTATTGTTTATTCAAAATTGTAATGCTAAATATATTTATATTGATCTTGTATTAATTGAAATATTCTTATCAAACCATCTTAACAAAATGTTAAAATTAGATCTTAATTATAATCTACAAATACTACTTTTTTTAAAGATACTTCATTTATAATTAAATGAGATTATTATTAAAATAAATTTGAATAAATAAGTAAATTTTTAATCTTTTCTCCTTTATTCAAAAATTCAATTGTTAAATTAAAACTACCATCATTTTTTTGACAAACCCAACCATTTACAAAAATCTTATCCATATGATCAAAATTTGTCTTTAAACTTTCATCTAAGATATCAATTCCATTTCTTTTGAATGGAATATTATAAAATTCAATTTTATTAGCCTTCAATATTATCAATTATTAATTATATAATCCAATAACTTTAACAAATTCATACATTTCTAAACTTTATTCTAATTTTAATATTTTAGCTCTTTTCTTAATAACTACATCATTCCTTTTTATTCTTTTTTAAACATTCTTTTAATCATCATAATTATCCATTTTATTATTAAATTCTTATGTTCTTGATATTTCATTTCTATTATTCCATCTATCTTAATTTACATTATCTTTCTTGTAAGCAGATTATTATAAATATCCTCTACCTCTTCCTCTTCCAGTTGTTCTATTTTAAAAATCTCTAACTTCATTTTATTTATCTTCTTTATTTTCTTGAATTCTCTCCCATCTATCAGAATTTACATTATTTTTCTCTCTTTATTAAGAACCTCTAAAATCATTTAATGATGATCCTATCATTAAATTTATAATACTTTACTTCTCTAATCATAATTATTTTATTATTACGACTTCTCTATATTTTATGTTTAGTAATTGTTATCTAAATTATCAAATTGCTTTGTTATATTCAATTTATATTATTAATCATTGTTATTTGATTTATCGTAAACATTACTTTAAAATTCTTCAAATTAATTTCTATCATTTATTTATCTTGCATTTTATTTCCCACGAAATGCAAACTTAGTGGTTTAATGATTAGATCCATTTTATCTGTTTAATTAAATTCTTTCACCATTTCCTTCTTAATTAAGTCTTTCTGTGCTATGCGAAAATCTACATTAATCCCCTTCTCTACATATACCTTAAAGGAAGAATCTACATGGGAAATCAGATTTTGCATTCATATTTAATAATAAATTATTATAAACTCAAATCAAAAGGGTGTAATAACAACAATTCATTATTAGTACATTAAATACCATGAGTTTTCAAAAACATCTTCACATGATTTTAATTTACTGTTAATCTTCCTTAACTTAAAAATCTGAAAGCCAATTCAGGATTAAATTTATAATGGCTTAAACATTTCAACTATTTTAATTACACTTCTAATATCACTTTAAAGATTTTGCTCAATACTTCAATTTTGATATCTCCAATCTAATTGATATTTTAAGTATCTAAAGATATTGGAAGAATCATCAATTTAAGATCTTAATCATCCAAATATCCTTTTTCTTATTTATCATAACAAGAGAACAATCTTTTAGCCACTTCAATATTGCAATCATGTTTAAATTTCTTGAGTACACCTAAAAAATCCTAAAAATTCAACTTTGTTCCTATTAATTTTGAAATTGCCTCCCAACTTATATCTTAAGTTATCAACATTAAATTCTTGAGATCAACTATTTGTCTCTCTAATATAATGAATTCTTTCATAACAGCAGCTAAATTCATTTGTTCTTAGGGTTTTAGTCTATTAATTATCTCCCTCTACATTTATTAAATATAATATTACTTCAATAATTACAAATCAATGAAATGTACATTAGTGAAATAATTAATTTAAATTAATATGTTGCTGATAATTTCTTCATTAATAATATAAATATTAATATGGCTTCTTATGTAGCTAATTCGGTCTTAAATGATTCGATCAGGCAATTCAAATCTAATCAAAATGATTCAAAATAAAAAATAGATTGGGATGATTTCAACTATCCACCTTTGATAAAGGTCATTCATTACAATATTGAAGAAGTATAACCAGAATATAGATTGGTGGTAAGATCATTATGGTTGTCAAGTATTTTAATTGTTGCTTACACTCTCTTAAATATAATTGATAATAGTGTTTAAGCCGGATATGGACTTGATGGAATATGCATATTGTATAGTTTTATGTTCTTGTTTTCCTTTATTCCAATTTAATTGTAACATATTCTGCATAGTTAGAGTTTTATATTTTATCGAGGTTATAAGGGTGTAGTTTCAGATCCATATCTATTGATTTTATACAAATGGGTCTAAATAATATTGATATTGTGTTGGATAACATTTTCGATTATTGACATTCTAGGATTTAATGGATTCGTAGCATTATCATATCTTTTTGAATTGTATTTCATTCTAAATACTTTGTTAGTCTCCCCTTTTGTGGTGTATTAGCGTTATTTGAAGATATCATCTTTTTACTAATTGTGTTTTTAAGCGGATTTGCACTATTCCGTATATGGAGTATAAAAGAATGATAATAGATATATTTATAAAAATGTTATCATTAATCTAAATTCAAAGTATCCTTATTCATATCTTTTATTAATTTTAGATTATATTTATTAAATAATGATATCTAAATTAAAATATTTCTAAATAAATATTAATAAATATTATATTCATAAAATACAAATAGTTTAATATATTAGAAATATACACAAATAAAATCAAATATAAAATCATAGTTTATATTCCATAACGTTTCTTAATGGATATGGATCCATTTATTAATTTTAATTATGATTAATTGATTATTATAATTTTTTTATTATAACTTTTCTTAATTTACTTAAAACTACATATAATTAAATTCCTAGGTTAATTATTAAGACCGATAACAATGTAGCTATGTGAAACCAGCCAAGGATAACTTAATTTTCATAATCAAAATTGGATTGTGTTTAATTCCAATATAAAATAACTGTAAAACAAAATACAAAAACACTCATCTCTGTAATTATTAGATTAAAATACTCAAATTTATTTTCAAAGGGTCTAAATAAATACACATATAATAAATAAAGTTGACAAATCAATGACAATAACATTGACTGAATTTCTTAACTATGTTAAAATAAAACTAAAATTGAAATAAATAATAATTTTTTCAAGATTAAAAATAAATCAAACTTTTTGATCCAATATTAAGAAAATGAAGTTAATTTATAATTTCCTCTTAAAAAATAACATGATATTATTAATGCACATATGTAAATGATTAAATAACCTAAAATAACTGATAATATCGATCTTATATTTGTAAAGGATGAAGAGCGGATTTATAAAAATGACATAAACAATAAATCCCAGCAATTAGCCATTAAAAATTATTTCAATCCATCCTTCTCTAATTCTCTTTTTATTTAACTACAACTTCTAAAGATTTTCAAAAAAATAGAAGCAATAATTTCACCAAATTACAAATAATGATTATGGTCCATAATTCTAAATATTTATATTAAAAAATTGGTTCCTAAATAGACAGACAAAAGTGTTATGCTTAAAAATATTTGAGCTTATATATTATTCACAATATCAGCATTAATATCATAAAATTTTAATTTTTCATAAGATTCAACAAAAGGCATTTCTACCAATTCAGATGAAAACTAATTAAAATTAAAAATATCCAACATTGGCTAAACTGATATGATGTTGGTTGATTCAAAATAAATGAATAAATTAAGTGGAAATACTACATTAATAAACCTCAAATAAGATTGCTATTGGAGTACTTCAATAACTCCTCTTAAAATAAATGAATTACCAAGCAATAGTACCAAAATACCTGCTCCACCCATTGAATTCATTATATATGTTCCCATTTTTTTTAAAACCTATGCAGATTTTTATTTTTAATCATCTAAGTATTTAGGTAGATTTAATCTTACACTATCTTTTTGATTAATCAAAGGAGCATCATTTTCATTATATAATTATTCATTTAATATAACTTCGAGAACAGGTGGAGACGACAAAGTGGTATTAATTACAATCTCGACTATAAATTCTACATAAGTACAATATTATTAAGCTTCCTAAACTATGATCAATGTGATATTATAAAATTCAAAATCAATTCCTATTAAATTGAATTAGATATAGTCTGAAAATAATATATCATCTAAAATTTTAACTTATTGATCAAAATGTAAAGAAACATATTAAATTTCATAATCTTATTTAATAAAAGAAGCTTCAAATTTAGGATACTTCTCATAAGTACACTAAGTAAAGGAGTATTAGTAGTTTTTGCAAACATAATTAATCTCTATTTTGCACTTTTAAGAACATCCATCTCCATCTTGTTTATTCATATCATCACATTCCTCTTCTTATGAAACTAAACCATTACCACAAAATGTTGAACATTAGTTTTGGATAAGATTTAATTCATACCCTTATTCACATAATTTACATTTTCCTTCTTAACATATTTCACAATGATTTGGACATAGAAATTAACAATTATGACATCCATCTAATTAATTATCATTTAAATCATCACAATCTTCTTAATGAACTATAATTCCATCGCCACAAATAGGATAACATTAATAATCAAATTCATAATATCCATATTCACATTAATCATAACATATACCTTTAATACATAATTTACAATATTATCTACATTAATAATTACAATTATAACAACCATCATATGGTATTTGATTCATATCATCACATTATTCATATCCAATAGTAATTAATCCATCTCCACAAATAGGAATACAATATTAATCAATTAATGTAAATGTATATTCACAATTATAACAATATCCATAAATACATATATTACAATAATGACAACATTCAATTTTACATTAATAACATCCATCAAATTAATCATAATTAGAATCTTCACATTCTTCATTTGATATTAAAGCAATTAAATTATCTCCACATTAAGATTCACAAATAAATTAATCAGTTAAATACCAACCATAAATACAATCTAAACATATTCCTCTTTAACAATATGAACATTCTTTTTAACAATCATTTCTACAATTATTACATCCATCAAATCTAATTGAATTCATATCATCACATTCTTCTAAACCTTAAATTGAATTATTTCCACAAATAGATTCACATTAATAATTTATTAATCTCCA